AACTCCACCCTCCACCCATCTCATGCCTTCCCAGGGAAGTCCTGACTGTGCTTCTGCTGCCTTGGGAAGACAAGGGGTCCCAGGGGAACTCACGGGGTGGCCGGGAAAGCATCAAAGCCGGAGACTGCCTTCGCCTCGGGGCGAGGGGTGGGGGCGTGTGAGTCCCAGCTGCACCATTTGGAAGGGCTCCCCCCTTCAGCTCATCTTCCCCATTCTGTGCGAGGCCAGCCCAGCCCTCCAGGTCAGCCCATTTCTCTCCTAATTCAGTACCCCTCGCCATCCCTAAAGAGAGCGAAAGGGACAAGCTGCCCCTTCTCCGTGGGGTTTGGCGGGGGGGGGCTCTTGATTATAGTATTTCCCGAATCACAGGGATTCTGAGAACTTTCCTCCTAAGGGGAGGGAGGGCTGGCTCTGGCTCCAGTCCCCCAACCTGAGCAACCTCCACACATCTGGGCGTGTGTCAGAGCAACAGGACGGGAAGGGTCTGTTAGGTTCTGCCTGGGTGAGAATACTGCCGTGGATTTGAAATTAGAGGAAGGGCTCTGCTTTTGCATTTCAGGACCCACAGCACCCAGGCTCACTATGCTCATGGCCGCCCTTGGGAAGACCTGACGGGGGTTTTCCTCATTGGACGTTAGATGACGGGTGCACCAGGAACCTCAGCTTCTCAAACACAGAGGCTGCGTGCGGCTTGTGCTTCCTGTCCGTCTCTCAGGGGGGACTGGACATTCCCGCCTGTGCTGGAGAAAAGGGAACCGTCTAGGTGTCGCGGCCGAAGGTTGTAGCCATCTAGGAAATGACCAGCACAAAGACTCGGCCACAGGCTGGTTTTATTTTACTCACTTTTTAACAGAACTTTTATGAAGGCAAATTTCACTTGGGTCTGGTTCTAGGATTTTTCTTTACTTGTAAAAGCTGCTGGCACCTCCCGGTTTCGTAAGTCATCTGTTCTAAACTGGAAGCCAAGAGTCTTGCCTCAGAGCTTCCATAGCTCCACTTGCAGAAATTATAAGAGGATGGTTGAGGGCCGTGTCTTCCTGGTGACACCCTTGAGAAGATGTCAAGCCTGGGCCCTATTCATCATATTTGGAGAAATGGGAGGTGATGACACTTTAGAGGAACAGAGATCCCCTTCCAGGAATTATTTTAATCGGGGACTCTCAGGGGAGGCTGATTTCAACTTACAGATGGCAAATGTGCCATGTGCTGCACCCACTCACACAAGACGCGGACCGGATCACAGTTGCAGCTCATTTCGTGGTCACGCAGAACCAGAGCCAGAGACCAGATGGGGCAGACAGAGGCTTCGCTGTCCCGTGTGTACACAGCCTGGGCTGCCCAGTGACTTACCATGAGTTCCTCATCCCAGGTCACGGTTGAATTTCACATCCCAAGGGCATTCATGGCAGCCCTTGGGAAGACCTGACGGCTTTTCTTCATTGCAACTTAGATGACGGGTGCGCTGGGAACCTCGGCTCCTCAAACACAGGACTTACGGCTTCCTGTCCACCTCTCGAGGTGGAATAACGATCTCGTGTGCAAACCATGCATGCCTTTCCTTTGGCAAAAATATTTATCACATTTTTACTGGGGTATAATTTACATGCCATAAAATTCTCCCTTTTAAAACATGCAATTTGTTGGTTCCAACTGGAAAATATTTAGATTACCCTGCTCCAACCCAGGACATTTTTACCCCCCTGGCAGGAGCCATCGGCTCACCCTGTGCTCGGCAGCCCCGTCCCTGCGTTGGTGTTTTCTGGACATTTCATCAGAGTGGACTCACAGCCGGCGTTGCTTCCCGTGCGGGACATGCTTCCTGGCTCTACGCGTGCTGGCCTGGGTGTCGGCGTTTCCTTCCCTCCCGTGGCTGATTAACACGCCTCCTTTTGCTCTCCCTTCGTCAGTGGACCTGCGTCTGGAGGCGGCCACTTTTGTCTTTTGTGGACAGTGCAGCTGTGAACCTTATGCCGAATTTTTCCTGCCCTCCAGGTGTCACTGGAGATGGTCCCCTCGGGCAGTCCCATCAGCACAGTGTCCATTTTTACTTCACTCAGAACTTGAGCCGACCAGGGGACGTGCCACGTGGCTTTCTTGGTGCAGTTAGGACGGGGGCTGCTACCGAGTCGTTAGGAAACCTGCTAATTGACAGACAGTCTGGTGCCTGGTTTCAGCTTTGCTCTGCTGGTGGAAGCCTCTGGCCATGGCTGGGACTGCGGGAGGAGTTGCCTGGTGCTGGCTGAGTGGTGTTGCGGATCCTGCCTGGGAATGAGGAGAAACAGGCTGGGGTCCCCCTCCTCCTGTGCTGGGGAGCTTCCTGCCCACTCGTGTCTTTACTCTGAATCCTGGAAACGACTCCATGTGCTGTGGCCCTTTTTTTGTTATGTTTTGATGCAGAGTCTGGCTCTGTCATCCAGGCTGGAGTGCAGTGGCACCGTCTTGTCCCTGCAACCCTGCCTCCCGGGTTCAAGCAGTTCTCCTCCCTCAGCTTCCCAAGTAGCTGGGACTACAGGCGCCCCCACACTCAGCTAATTTTTTTTTTTTTTTTTAAGTAGAGATGGGGTTTCACCATGTTGGCTACACTACTCTTGAATTCCTGGCCTCAAACGATCAACCTGCTGTGGCCTCCCAAAGTGCTGGGATTACAGGTGTGAGCCACCATGCCCGGCCATGACCACGTTTTGTCTGTGCACCCATTTATGCACAGTGCAGGTGGCCCTGGGTTCAGGAGTTACACGATTGGGCTCCTGAGTTTGTTTTCCTTGTCACTGTGCAGAGAACCAGATCTTAGGGCTGAGAGGACCATGAAGGTTAGCTTTCCTAATCCCTTCATGTCTCTGCTGATGGCATTTGACAGAGAAACGTGGCGTGATGCAGCCAGTGAGCAGCAGCGACCGGGCACCCTGTCCCCAGGCACCGCCGAGTCTGTAACTGCGTCTGCACCCTCGGGGGGTCCTGTGTGTTGTCGTCTCTGTTGCTTTTGGGCAGAGAGCTCCCTTTGAAGTGTGAACCTGAAGAGACACTTTGGTTTCTGACCTTCCCGATGCCCGGGGTGAGGCCGTCGGAGTGACCTCGTGGCCTGGAGTCCTTTCCTTATCCAGTCTGGTGTCTGCTATGCTGACGATGCTTGCAGGCAAGGGGGCCAGTGGTGACAGAGCTTCCTGGCATCAGCGTTCAGTTTTGGGCCACTGGGTCATAGCCCATGGGTAAAGCCAGGAACCAGAAAGCAGCCTCAAGGGACTCTCCCGTCCCCACCGCCCAGGGGACATCTGCGAGGTGGCGTCTCCCGCGGGATATGGCTGTCATCGAATGCGTATGCGCTTCATCTCAAGTGGGTTTTGCTGGGGTGGATGGTTAGGAACTCCCACCGCATGTAGGCTGGCGGTTTATTTTCTGATGTCATAGCACAGACAGAAGTAGTGCTTCCCACTTGTGTCAGTGTAAATGGCACCACACTGTAGGGCTGTATGTGAGCCGTGTTTAATGGATCATTTAGTAAGTGTCTGCTCGGCAGTGTGGAGAATATGGATTGAACTTCATTAGTTCATCCCGAGCGGGCCTCCCTGAGACAGGGTCCCTTTGTTGCTGGCTGGAAGTGGCCTGGATGCACGGGCTTGCCGTGGTGTGGGCTCACCGTGGCATAGGCTTCCTGTGGTGTGGGCTCACCGTGGCATGGGCTCACTGGGGCGTGGGCTCACTGTGGCGTGGGCCCATCGTGATGTGGGCTCACCATGGCCTGGGCTTTCTGTGGCGTGGGCTTACCATGGCATGGGTTCGCCATGGCGTGGGCACAGCCGCACGGCTCCAGGGAAGTGTTCAGCTTTCAGAGCCAGTGTCTGGGCTCCTGGCCACTCCCAAAATTGAGATGTTGTCTTTGAAGCTTAGAAGAAAGTTTCTAGGATTTTTACTTTTGTATTAAAAGATATCTATATGTCTTTCTTCTTCTGGTTCACTTCTATGCTTATTCGGCACAGTATCCTGGTTCCGTGGGGATGAGAAGTGTCTGTTTGGCTGTGTTCTGGATGGAGAAAGGAGCCAGGGGCTTTCTTAGCCGTAATAGGCAGCAGTTTATGCTGAAGCTCTCTGGACGCTTTTAAGTCCACATCCCTTAGGTTTGTTGGCTTCACCACAAAACAGAGGCGGCAGGGAGGCCCCGTCCCGGAGCGGGAGTGCCTGTCTGTGTGGGGAGGGGCAGCCAGGCTGTGGCGTGGTCAGGGCAGTGAGGTTACACTGCCCACCTGGCTTTGAGTCTGGGATGGCAGTTAGTGCCGTCCAAGGGCAAGCAGGAGGTGGAAGAAGGCTGCGTTATTGAAGAGGCGGTGCCACAGCTCTGTGACTGCTCCCGCAGAGCAGGGTGCCCCACAGGCGGAGAGGAGCAGCTCAGGGTGGTGCTGCAGTGATACGGGCACCCACTTTTAATTGCATGCAGCTTAAGGGGTGCTTTATGCAGAAATTTCTGGGGGAAGAATAGTAACTTCTAGGCAGTTGGGTTATTGCCATGGAAAGGGGGGGCAGCTCCCTGCTGTTGCCATGGCAATGGTAAACTGACAGGCACACGGGGGCGTGTCATATGGAAAGCTGCCTCTACCCTAGCCCCATTTTCACTAGTCCTCTATCTGGTCCGGTATCCAAGCCCCACCCCTGCAGTTGTGTCCCGCCTTCTGCCTCAGCTTCACTGTCTCTTCCCTTTTGGAAGCCTTTTGATTTAGCGGTGTGTTCTGTTCTCATGTCACACCCTGTGCCGTTTCTACTGGCAGTCACCTTTGGTGTTCACTGTGTGGCTCTCACAGGAGCACCAAGCCTCCTGGTGCTCACCTGAAGACTTTGACCCCTGAGGGCTGCGTAAGACAGGGTGCCTGGGGCCTGGTGTCTGGGGAGACACTGGGGGGCCCGTGTCTCCCCCAGCCCTGAACGAGGCTCTCAGCAGCAGATTTGCTCTGGGGGGGAGCCTTTGCATGAGGGTTCTGAGGCAGCTGCCTGATGTTGCTCTCCTTTTCCAGTGTGCAGGAGAAGAGAACTGGGTGGACAGCAGGACCATCTACGTGGGGCACAGGGAGCCACCTCCGGGCGCAGAGGCCTACATCCCACAGAGGTACCCAGACAACAGGATCGTCTCCTCCAAGGTAACTGTCTTGGGTCTGAGTGTCCCTGAGTCTCTAGAGCAGCTGCCTGGGGTTGTTAGTGCTTCTTGGTTTCAGAAACTAGCTCTGCTCCTGGCCCTGCTGTCACGGCCACCAGCACCCCCAGAAAGGGTTTCGGATCAGAACCTTACCGAGGGCGCTGGACTTGCTCCCGGTGACCGTCCACAGGAGGCTTTCCCCTGGCCAGGCCTCACATCACGGCGTCTCTGTCCTTGGGCGACCGTGTCACAGAGGCAGTGTAGGTCTCACGTCCAGAATTCAAACCCTACCCAGCTCCCACTTCGGAGGCGCCTGGCCGTGTGCCTGTCGTGGGCCACCCTGGCCAGAGTCTCGGCGCTGGTAAGATGGAAGTGATACCAGCCACCCCAGACAGCAAAGCCCGGGGCAAATCTTTGAGCTGGTTCATGACATGCAGCCAAGACACAGCATGGGCAACGTGAGCGCAGTGCCACCATCTAAGTGAAGCGTGTTTCTCTCGTGGACGGGAGCATGGACGTGCACACACATTTCCCACATTCAGAGAGTGACAAGGAAACGGGTCTTAAGAATAGGGTGGAAATTAGCAGCTGCCATTAAAAGTGGGGCGGACGGGGCTTTCCAGAGAGTGCATGAGCCTGTGTTCAGACTCTTCCCTTTAGTTTTATTCTCCTTCAGAATGGACGGGGCTAAACACAGGCACACTTGTGGCTGGCTGCATATGTGGACACATGAGGCCACCACAGAATTCATAGTGTGTCCTGACATTCTAGTGCACTTAATTCACACCGGGCAAGTGTAGATGCCCTTAATCCACACCGGGCATCTTGACATGTAAACCCTGTGGAGACCTGCTCAATTCACAGAGTGTCCTGATGTATAGACCCCTGTGATAGACCTAGTTAATCCACACTGGGCATCCTAGAATGTAAACCCCTGTGTAGACCTACATAATTCACACCAGGTGTCCTGATGTGTAGACCCCTGTGTAGACCTACCTAATTCACACCAGGTGTCCTCATGTATAGACTGCTGTGATAGACCCAGTTAATCCACATGGGGCATCCTGGAATGTCAACCCCTGTGTAGACCTACCTAATTCACACCAGGTGTCGTGATATATACACCCCTGTGTAGAACTACCTAATTCACACTGGGTGTCCTGACGTGTAGACCCTGTGATAGACACACTTAATTCACACTGGGTGTCCTGACGTGTAGACCCTGTGATAGACACAATTCACACCAGGTGTCCTGACTTGTAGACTCTGTGATAGACACACTTAATTCACACCAGGTGTCCTGACGTGTAGACCCTGTGATAGACACACTTAATTCACACCAGGTGTCCTGATGTGTAGACCCTGTGATAGACACACTTAATTCACACCAGGTGTCCTGATGTGTAGACCCTTTGAAAACCTACTTAATTCACATCCTGACGTTTAGACCCCTGTGCTAAATGTGAATTAATTAACACTCAAGCGTCCTGGCATACAGACTCCTTTGGGTATTATTTGTGTGCTCTCAAAGAGTTGCACATTTTTAAGAATATTTTACAACAGAAAAGATCACCTTTCAAAGCCTTTTTATGGAATTATTTAATTTGCAACTGTGAATTACAAAAAATTTTAATAGCTTTAATCTCTAGAAACAGGACCTATAAATGCTCAAAAACAAAGTCCGATCAGGTAGGTGTTCTGGGTGTTTTCCCAGTGGTGATTCATGGAAGAAGAGTGCTGCTGAGAAATCCCATCTAGAATGCTGTCTCCGCAGTGGTAATGTTTGTAACGGTGTCAGGTCAGCACAGTCTCAGGCAGAGCTCACTGAAGACGGCTTCCAAGCTAATGTGCGCTTCACCTACCTCCAGGCCCCAGCGAATCCCAGGTGTGTTCCTTTGAGCTCAGCTTTCACAGCACCAAGGCACAGGGAAGCAGGAAACACCCAGTGTCAACCTGCAGTGCCCCTGTGGACTCGTAGGGCAGGATTCCGGGACACAGGTGGTGGGCGCTTGGAGCCGTGGCTCCCCCACTGCGCAGTGTCGCTCATCTGAGCCAGATGGGGGCCATGAAGGCATCACCCACCCACGCACCCCCCCTCCCCGGGAGCTGGCTTCTCCCTTCTTAGGGCAGACGTGCCCGACAGCCACACATGCCTGGTTCTCCCTGCAGATGTGGAGGGTGCTGTGTGGGGCCGCAGGGAGGAAGCCAGCAGCAGCAGCAGAGCTTGATTGAGGCGCCAGAGGAGGGTCGCCGTCCACCTGGCGGGGGCTGGCAGGAAGCTGAGGGCGGTTTTGGAGGAGATGCCGGAACACAGCGGTTTCTGCCTGCTACTCCTGACTCCTCTGCTGGGTCATTCAAGTTTTGTCATTTTCTACTGTCCACAGACGATGGCCTTGGTGGCCTCGTGCCGCCCCACCCTGCTCCCTGGCTCTGCGCTACCCTCTCTCCCACTCGGCTGGGCCCTTCCTCTCCACTGCTGCCTGTGGAGCTGGAGCCCTGTGAGGCCGCTTCGGTTTCCGATCGGGAAGTCCTGCGCTGAGTGGGTCATCAGGGTGGGTTTTGTGGGCTTGTTGCTGGTGTCCAGGGCCTTTTCAGAGCTGTGAGGGTTTTCCTACCAGGAAGCCCTCGAGCAGGAACTCATAGACTGGGGTCAACAGGCTCTCAGGAGCGGCCTGAGTGCAGGTGGAGGGCCCTGCGGGGCCAGGAGAGTACTCGGAGGCCTTTCATCTCAGCCTCCGAGGACCACAGATACGCCCACGAGTTGACCGGTCTTCGCTCTTAACAGAGGTGGTTAGCGGCTTACTCTCCGGTTCAAGTGGATGAGGTTGTGTAATTTCAAGGGAGAACTACGTCCGGCATAACCTCTTTTGCTGAGGACACTCAGGAAGGAGAGGCCCTCAGAAAGGGTGCGGTCTGGAATCCAGGCAGGTAGCTGGCCTGACAGTGACCTTGACCCAGATAAACCAAAGTGGAATTCTCGAGCCTGGAATGGAGGACTCATAATTGTTTTGGTGTAACAGCTCAGGATGCGTGAAAAAATGCTGTCTGATTTGTAAAACGTAAGTTTACAGCTGATTTTGGAGAATACATCTGTGGCGATGTATCTATGTTTTCCTGAGGTGGAAGAGAAAATGATTTCTACCTTAAAAAAATCCTGGCAGTTAAGACTTTTTAAGTGCCACGGAAGCTTGTTCTCTGCAAGTTTGCTTTTATGAAATCAAAGAATGTGAAAGCCTTTTTCAAGGAAGAAGACGTCACAGGGGATGACAGTGCCAGTGGAATTATTTTTAAGTTCTCATCTGTTTGATGGAAGTAGTTACCGGTGATCAGTGATCGATAGAGTTCTGTTTCCTTCTTGAGGGAGAGACTTTGGGCAGTGTCAAAACCCAAAACGACAGCCCAGTGCGCCCCATTCCCTGCTCCCTGTACTGTGCAGAGCTCCTCCAAGCCTGCCCTCCCCACACAGGGAATCCTGAACTCCAGAGCTCCCCCAGGCCTGCCATCCCCACATTGGGAATCCTGAACTCCAGAGCTCCCCCAGGCCTGCCCTCCCCACATTGGGAATCCTGAACTCCAGAGCTCCCCTAGGCCTGCCCTCCCCGCAGAGGGAATCCTGAACTCCAGAGCTCCCCGAGGCCTGCCTGCCCTCCCCACACTGGGAATCCTGAACTCCAGAGCTCCCCTAGGCCTGCCTGCCCTCACCATGTGGGGAATCCCAAACTCCAGAGCTCCCCCAGGCCTGCCTGCCATCCCCATGCAGGGAATCCTGAACTCCAGAGCTCCCCTAGGTCTGCCTGCCCTCACCATGTGGGGAATCCTGAACTCCAGAGCTCCCGGAGGCCTGCCTGCCATCCCCATGGGGGGATTCCCGAACTCTAGAAAGTGATAGGTTGCCTCATAGCTCCTTTTCCAGATTCGTACTTTGGGCACAGAATTCACGTGGTCCCCAGCTTTGCCCTCAGGAGGCTACAGAATTAAATCTTGGCTTAGCCTCTACTGTCCCTCCATGCCTTCAGGAAAGCAGAGTCCTCCTGGCAATTGGGTAGGAAAAATGCCCTCTGCAATCGTAGGTATAGCCAATGTTTTCAGGACTTTATTTGTATGAATGATTTCCATGTTTCTTACATTGGCAAGCTCTAAAACAACCCCGTGAGCCCACCAATACTGATTATTCCCAGCATATTCATGAAGAAGTGGAGGCTTAGAGCTCAGCCATGTGCCTGAGGCCACAGAAGAGGATAGACTAGTCCGTAGCCCCTGCAGGCTGGAGTGCAATGGTGTGATCCCGCCTCACTGCAACCTCCACCTCCCAGGTTCAAGTGATTCTTCTGCCTCAGCCTCCCGAGTAGCTGGGGCTACAGGCACATACCATCACACCCAGCTAATTTGTATATTTAGAGTAGAGATGGGGCTTCACCATTGTTGGCCAGGCTGGTCTTGAACTCCTGACCTCAGGTGGTCCGCCCACCTTGGCCTCCCAAAGTGCTGTGATTACAGGTGTGAGCCACTGCTCCTGTCCAGGAGCACTTTTCTTAGCCCCTCTGGGTGCTCGTGCATTTCCGGTGTCAGTGATCCACCGTCCTGGCATAATTTTCTGTGTTTTGCATCCCCGCTGCCCAATCTTAAATGAAAGACCCCAGTTCCGTGTGAATGGCTTACTGTCCAAAGCAGATGGGTGTCCGGTGTCCCCACCATCTTCAGGACCATCAGGTGGGCCCTGCAGTGCTGGAGCCGTTTCAGCTAAACACGAGCTGAGGCTTCAAACAGCTCGCAGGTGCTCCTGCGGGGGCCCAGGCTGCTGGCAGAGGACAGTGCCCGGGTTTGTCTCGGGGCCAGGTGAGGCCGTGTTCTTCCCTGTCTACACACCACACTGTGGGCGAGTAACACAAGCCAGAGACTGGCTTCCACAAGGGACAGGAGGCAGACGGGAACTCGAGGCTCAGACACTGGTGTGACGTTCCATCTCAGGGTCAAAACCACAGCCAGGCAGCTGTGGGCTCTGGGTGTGGCATCTGTCATACAAGTGAGAACTGAAAAGAATGACTGTCCTGTGTCCTTCAGCAAGGCGCATAGCATCTGTGAAGAGAGGTACTGAGGGCCACTTGGCTTTCCCGGATCTCCTGCAGGAGGGAAACCACTTGGCTTTCCCGGATCTCCTGCTGAGAATCCCCAGGGCTGAGTACATCTACCGATCGTATCACAGTTGAAGGGTCCAGCGTTACATTACATGAGTCTCCAGCAAATATTTATATTAATACAATTCCACGAAGATGAGCAAAGGATAACTGGCCACCGTTGTCAGCTTCCCAGCTCTAGCGTGTGCCGTCAAATGCTCATTTCAGTTTATTTTATCCAGATGTTGCTGGTACGTCAGTGTAGTCATGACGGTTTATGTGAGTTCCTTGCGGTTAGTATGCCTCACCAGGAGTTAATAACCCTCCTTTGGGCTATATTAATGGTCAGCACTAAGAACTTACTCTGTGAAATGCAGAGATTATACAGCATCATGGGGTTCAGCTGCAGCCCTCAGCGCCCAGTTAGAATAAAGCAATTGAGGCCAGGCGCGATGGCTCACACCTGTAATCCCAGAACTTTGGGAGGCCAAGGTGGGCAGATTACTTGAGGTCAGGAGTCCTAGACCAGCCTGGCCAACGTGGCGAAGCCCCGTCTCTACCAAAAAATACAAAAATTAGCCGGGCATGGTAGTGGGCGCCTGTAGTCCCAGTTACTCAGGAAGCTGAGGCAGGAGAATCGCTTGAACCCGGGAGGCAGAGGTTGCAGCGGGCCGAGATTGCGCCAACACATTCCAGCCTGGGTGACAGACAGAGTAAGACCCTGTGTCAAGAAAAGAAAAAGAATAAAGCAATCATGCAGGTGTTTTCAAATCCCAAAGCTAAACAGTAATGTTCAAATGTGGCAAGTCCGGGCCAGGCTCAGTGGCTCACGCCTGTAATTCCAGAACTTTGGAGGCTCAGGTGGGTGGATCACCTGAGGTCAGGAGCTCAAGATCAGCCTTGGCAACATGGTGAAACTCAGTCTCTACTAAAAATACAAAAATTAGCTGGGTGTGACAGGTGCCTGTAATCCCAGCTACTTGGGAGGCTGAGGCACAAGAATCGCTTGAATCTGGGAGGCAGAGGTTGCAGTGAGGCAAGATGGTGCCACTGCACTCCAGGCTGGGTGACAGAGTGAAACTTCATCTCAAAACAATTAAAAAATGATGGCAGGTCCAGACGTTAGCACAGCCTTCCAGGGTTGGTGGAAGTTGGTCTGCGCTTTTGGAAGGATTGCAGATGATACTTTATTTTATCCCGTAAATATTACTAGAAGTCCCTCATATAACATGGAAACTTTCACAACCATAGAGGAGCATCGTAAATCTGCAGCTCACCACCACTGTCACGGTTCCCAGCCTGTGGCCAGCCTGTTTCATCGGCACCTTCACTTCAGTTCCAAGGTCCTTTGGAAGGAGTCCTGGACAGCATGTACTTTTCATGTGAATGCACTTCAGTAAATGAAAGGTGGCATTTTAAGTAGAATCTTTTTTCATTAACGTGACTTTGTTACTGAGTAATAGAGAAATTTGTGGAAATGTTTAGTTATAACAAATGTGTTGGCCTGGGCGCCGGAAAACAAGGCTGCTCTCACATGGGTGGCTAAGATATTTCTTTACTGTGTCCTAGAGTTAATGGAGAGTAACTGACTTTTTCATTATGGCCCATTTGAGAGAAAATATATCTTTCTTAAACATTTAAAAAGATCGATCACATGTATAATGTTTGCCAAGTTGTATAGACAAGAAAACTAGAACTCAGAATCATTAAATAATTTGCTGAAGTTTACATGGTTTTTAAATGGCAGGGCCAGGATGTAATGGGGGGGTCTGACTGTGTTTTTGAGAGTACGCTAAAGAGTAAATACTTTAAGAATTTCATAGAGTACCTAAATTGTCTTGAGATGGGGTTAGCGAATTGAGAATTAAGATTGTGGCTCTTGTTTTAAGGAAGAAAGTGCCTGTACTTCTATTGGCAATCTGGAGTTTTGTTTGCTTTCTTCTGAACAAGAAGCAAAATAAATGAAGAGCGAGCCACATGCTCTTTACTCCATCTCAGTGTGTGGCTACTTTTCCGTCCAGAGCTCTTGCCTTTTGCTTCTCAGTTTGGCTGTATTCACATGAAGAAAACCTGTGTGGCAGGCAGAGGATGACCTCCCACAGATGTCCACACTCTGATCCACAGAACCTGTGACTGTGTCACCGTCCGTGGCCAGGGGAGTCAGGATTGCCGAACAGCTGACGTGAAAATAGGGAGGAGACTATAGAACTGTTCACGTGGTCAAAAGTCATCAGAGGCGCTCGTAAGCAGAAGAGCAGGCAGAACAGGGAGTGTCCAAGCCACCGCTGGCTTCAGAGGTTGAAGGGGACCAAGGGATGGAGGCAGCCTCTGCCGGAAGCAGGAACGGCAAGAAAACAGTTTCTCCCGGGGCATCCAGGAGGAAACTGGCCCTGCCAATACCTTAATTTTAATGCCGTGAAACCCATTGCAAATTTCTGACCTCCAGAATGGTAAGATAATAAATTTGTGTTGTTTTAAGTCACAAAGTGGAATTTGTTAGAGCAGCATAGAAAACTCATACACCTGGCCTAGCCACATTGGGGCTTTATAACACAGACTGCACAGAGACTGACGCAGTGTGCAAAGGACCCGTGAGCTTGTCACATGTCTGTGGAACATAGCCCTGGCTTAGCCACGTAGGAGATGTATAGTACAGACTGTACGGTGTGCAAAAGGATCCGTGAGCTTGGGACGTATCCACGGAATCATACCCCTGGCTTAGCCACATTGGAGATTTATAACAGACTGCACAGAGATTGATGTGGTGTGCAGAAGATCTGTGAGCTTGAGACGTGTCCACGGAATCATACCCCTGGCTTAGCCACGTTGGGGGTTTATAATACAGACCATACAGAGACTGACATGGTATGCAAAGGAAAGCTTGAAACTTTCCAAACTGAAGAGCAAAGAGAAATGATGAAGAACAGAACTGTGGACAATTACAAAAGGTGAAGCAGGCTGGGCACGGTGGCTCACACCTGTAATCACGGCACTTTGGGAGGCCGAGGTGGGCAGATCACCTGAGGTCAGGAGTTCAAGACCAGCCTGGTCAACATGGTGAAACCCCATCTCTACTAAAAATACAAAAAATTAGCTGGGCATGGTGGCCCATGCCTGTAATCCCAGCTACTCAGGAGGCTGAGGCATGAGAATCGCTTTAACCTGGGAGGTAGAGGTTGCAGTGAGCCAAGATTGTGCCACTGCACTCCATCCTGGGCAACAAGAGTGAAAACTCCATCTGAAAAAGAAAAAAAAAGTGAAGCATATATGCATAATGGAAAAACCAAAAGAAGGAGGAAAGAAGGAACAGAAGAAACATCTTCAGTGAAAGTGCTATTTCCAAAATTAGTGACAGATGGCAAACCACAGATCCAGGAAGCTCAGAGACAAATACAAAAGCAAAACAAATTTTTAAAAAAGGGTACACCTGGACATAACATGTTTAAATTACCGAAAATTAGACTCAGAAGAAATCTTGAAAGAAGCCAGAGGAAAAGAACGTTTTACCTGCTGAGAAACAAGGGTAAGAATTACACCAAATTTCTTGCCAGAAACCGTCTAAGAAAGAAAAGAATAATGTGAAAAATTTAAAGTGTTAAGAAGGCCACCAAACCAGAATTGTCTGTCTCGTAAAATTATTCTTCATACATGCAGGAGAAATAAAGACTTTCTCAGAAAAGCAAATGTTGAGGAAATTCATCGCCAGTAGACCACCCTCGCAAGAAATGTTAAAAGAAGTTCTTCAGGAAGAAGGAAAATTACATAGGTCAGAAATTCAGGTCTGTAAAGAACAGAGTGTTAAAGTGTGAGTTATTTGTGCTGTTGCAACAGAATACCACAGACTGGGTGATTTGTAGAGAAGAGACATTTATTTCCCCACAGTTCTGGAGGTTGGGAAGTCCAAGATCAAGGCACTGGCAGGTCTGGTGTCTGGTGAGGGCCCAGTCTCTGCTTCCAGGATGGCCCCTTAGTCACTGCATCCTCTGGAGGGGAGGAAGGCTGTGTCCTTACGTGGCAGAAGGTGAAAGGGCAAAGGGGTAAACTCCCTCTGCCAAGCCCTTTTAACAGGCACCTAATCGCATTCATGAGAGAGGAGCCCACATAGCTAAATCACCTGTGAAAGGGCCCACATCCCAGGACTATGACTAGTTGTCTCACTGGCAACACCTGAATTTTGGAAGGGACACATTCAAACCATAGCAGGAAGGAATAAGGGAAGGTCATACAATTAAATATTTTGCTTCTGTTTTGTTTTGTTTTTTTCTTTCAGAGACGTGGTCTCACCATGTTGCCCAGGCTGGTTTAGAACTTCTGGGCTCAAGTGATGCCCCTCCCCAGCTTCCTGAAGTGCTAGGATTACAGGCCACGGCACCCAGCCTTCATTTTGTGTTCTTAATTGGTCTAACAGAGAGTACTTTATTCAGAATGCTAGTACTTGTCCAGTGATGACTGCTCTGGAATGAATGAATGTACGACAGCAGAAGAGGGAACTGGGCGTGCCCTTGCCCGGAATCTGGGTTACATGAGAGCGGACGCAGATGAGCTGTACACACGTACTGCAACTTCTAGCGCAACCACTAAGTAATTAAAAAAAACAAGTATAGTTCATATTCTAAGACAGGAGAGAAAATTCTCACATAGAATGCTCAATTAAAACCCAAGAAGGCAGGAAAAGAAGTCACAAAAGAAACAAAGACTGTGAAGAAAGGAGTAAAAGTCAGTTACAAATACAGTAAATATTAATGCAGCTATAGTAATAATCCCTCTAAGTGTGAACTGTCTAAATACACCAGATAAAGACAGAAACTGTCAAAATAGAAAAAACAAGCCCTCACCATATGTCATGTGCAAGAAAGCCACTTTAAATATAAAAACACAGATTTAAGGGATAGAGGAAGAGCTCCCATGCTATTGTTACTCAAAGGGACACAAGATTAGGTCTATTAACTTCAGACAAAGCGACTTTAGGACAAGAGAAGTTACCAGGGATAAAGGGGCATTGCATAGTAACAAAGAGGTCAGTTCTCCAAGACAACGTAACAATTCTTTTTTTTTGGGGGGGGGGGGAGGAAGGAAGGGAATAAGGACTGTAGGGAGGAAGGAAGGGATGAAGGAAGGAAGGAAGGGAGGAAGCGGGGAGGGAGGGAGGGAGGGAGGGAAGGGAAGAAAGGAAATCAAGCAATGAAAGAGACATTGCCGACCTGGATCTAGAGGTTTACAAGTTGATTTCTTTTTTTTTGAGAGAAGGAAAGAAAAAAGAAGACTCAAAACAAAGGGATGGAGAAAGATTTACCAACCAAATGGAGAGCAAAAATAAATAATAAATAAATAAAAAGCAGGAGTTGCAATTCTTGTATCGGATAAAATAGATTTTAAAGCAACAAAGATATAGTGGTAAAAGGATCAATGCAACAACAAGAGCTAACGATCCTAACACCCAGATAGGAGACTTAGATTCAATGAGACAGAAAATTAATAAGGATATCAAGGACTCGAACTCAGATCCAGAACAAGTAAACTTAATAAATATTTATAGAGCTCTCCACTTCAAATACACAAAATATACATTCTTGTCAATACCACATCACACCCACCCATTAGTTTAAATGAAACATTGATTGGCCATTATTAATACCCAATTTTTTTCAAAATAACGTAACAATTCTTAATGTCTCTGTAACAACAGCAGGTGAAAACATGTGAGGCAGAAACGGATAGAACTGGAAAGAGACAGAAAATCCACTGTTATAGTTGGAGACTTCATCACCTCTCTTCACAGACAGAACATCAGTAAGGCCACCGTTAAACACAACAGCACCATCAGTCCCTTGGACCTAATGGACATTTGTAAAATACTTCATTCAGCAATAGCAGACCCCACATTCTTCTCAAGTTCACATGGAACATTTGCCATGACAGATCACATTCTGGGCCATAAAATACACCTTAGCACATTCTCAAAGATTAGAAGTCATACCAAGTATTCTTTCAGACCACAGTAGAATTAAACTAGAAAGAAAGAAATAAAATTAACTCGAGAATCACAAAATATTTGGAGAGTGAACAAAACACTGCTAATAACACATGAATCAAAGAAGTCTCAAGATACATAAAAATATTTTAAGCTAAGCAAAAATTAAAATATAACTTATCAAATCTTGTGGCATGCAGGAAAAGCAGTGCTTAGAGGGAAATTTATAGTATCGATCACATAGATTAGAAAAGAAGAAAGATCCAAAATCAACAAGCTTCAACTTTAGGAAACTAAAAAAAAAAAAAAAAGAAGAATGGATAAACATTAGAGCAGAAATTAATGAAATCAAAAACAGGAAATCAGAGAAAATTTTAAAATCATAAGCTGGTTCTTTGAAAAAGATCAGGGAAATTGATGAAGCTCTAGCCAGGCTAAACAAGGGAAAAAGAGAAGAGACACAAATTCCAAACATCAGAAATCAAAGAGGGGCGTCACGACTGGTCGCATGGCTAATAGAAAGGTTAAAGGGGTATTATGAACAGCCCTGCACATAAACTTGATAACTTAGATAAGATTGACCAGTTTTTTGAAAAGCACTATCTACCAAAACTCAAACAAGGAGCAAGATAATCTGGGTGAGTCTACAGCAATTAAAGAAATGGAATCAATAATTAATAATCTTCCAAAATGGAAAGCACAAGTCCCACATGTTTTCACTGGTGAATTCTGCCAAGCATTTCAGGAAAAAAAAAATCAATTCTCAGCAATCGCCTCCAGGAATGGAAGCAGAAGGAACACTTTCTAATTCATTCTGTGAGGCCAGCATCACACTAAAACCAAAACAAGAAAAAGGTATTACCAGAAAGGCAATACCACAGACCAGTATTTCTCATGAACATAGAAGCAACAATTCTCAATGAAATATTAGCAAATCGATTTCAATGTGTAAAAAGAATTATGCACTGCGACCAAGTGGGATTTATCCTAGGTATGCAAGGCTGATCCAACATTTCAAAGTCAGCTAATATAAGACATAATATTTACAGGCTAAAGAAGAAAAGTCACATTATTATATCAATAGGTGCAGGAAAAGCATTTGAGAGAAGTCAGTACCCACTCATGCATTGCAGCGAACTAAGAATAGAGGGGAATTTCCTCAGCTTCATAAAGAACATTTACAAAAAGCCGTATAGTTGACGTCATACTTAGTGGTGAAGAAGTAGATGATTTCACCCTAAGATTGGAAAAAAGGCAAGGAATCCCTCATCACTGTTCCTTTTCTTTTTCTTTTTTTTTTATTTTTGAGACAGAGTTTCGCTCTTGTTGCCCAGACTGGAGTGCAATAGTGTGATCTCGGCTCACCGCAACTTCCGCCTCCTGGGTTCAGGCAATTCTCCTCCTTCAGCCTCCCAAGTAGCTGGGATTACAGGCACGCACCACTATGCCCAGCTAATTTTTTGTATTTTTAGTAGAGACGGGGTTTCACCATGTTGACCAGGATGGTCTTGATCTCTTGACCTTGTGATCCACCCACCTCGGCCTCCCAAAGTGCTGGGATTGTAGGCGTGAGCCACCGTGCCCGGCCATCACTGTTCCTTTTCAACATTGTACTGGAAGTCCTGGCTAATACAGTAAGAGTAGAAATGGGAATAAAAAGCATACAATTGGGAAGGAAGAAATAAAGAGTTTGTTCACGAGTGATCGGTTGTCTATGTAGAAAATCCAAAGAACTGACAATAACAAAAAAACTTCTGGATGTTAGAGGCAACGATAGTACGGTTGCAGGATTCAAAAATTAATCACTCCCCTATATGCCAGCAATGAACAACTGGAGTTTGAAATTTAAAACTCAGCACTATTTACATTTATCCCCCCACCCACCAAATTACACAGATATGAATCTAGCAAGGTATGTACAAGATCTAGATGAGGAACACTGCAGAGCTGTAATGAAAGAAATCAAAGAAGATTTAAGTCAGTGGAGAGGTGTTTCATGTTCATGGATGGGAAAACGCCATGTTTTTAAGATGTCAAGACTTCCCATCTTGACCTATGGATTCAGTACAACCCTAATCAAATTCCCAGCAAGCTACTTTGTAGATATCAGCAAACTGATTCTACGTTTAAATGGGAAGGTGAAAGACCCAGACTAGCCTGACAATACTGAACCAAGTTGGAGAACTGATACTTGACCACTTTAAGACTTACCGTGAAACTGCAGTAATCAAGACAGTGTGGTGTCGCTGAAAGAATTGACACGTAGATCAGTGAAAGAGCATAGAGTGCCTGGGAGGAGATGCACCCGGTGAATTCACCCAGATAGTCAATCCATCTTTGACAAGGGAGCAAAGGCAATTCAGGGCGGACAGAAAAGCACTGTTTCTTTTCAACAAAGGGTGCTAGAAAAGCTGGACATGCAAAAACCCCCAACGACAGTGACTCCAGACAGTGAGCATACACCGTTCAAGAAGATTAACTCTGAAAGCTTCGTCTCTTGGGGCAAAAAAAAGAAAATGAACTCAAAATGAGTCACAGACCTACATGTAAAATGCATAATAATGAAACTCTTAGAAATGTAGGAGAAAGTCTAGGTGACCGTGGGTTTGGCAACAGGTTTTTGGATATAACACCAAAAACTCTGTTCACGGAAAAATTGGTAAGTTGGACTTCATGAAGATTAAAAACTTAACGCTTTACAAAATACAGTTAAGAGAATTACAATATGAGCCACTGACTGGGAGAAGAGATTTGCAGAACACATCTCTGATAAAAACCTGGTATCAGACAACACATGGAAAATAATGGTGTTTGGATGGGTAGGGCGGGATGAGTTAGGGGGGCCCAGAGGCCCTTTTATTACAGTCAGCTGGAGAAGGGAGCTGAAACTAGGGCCATAGTGTCATGAACAAGGGGAGCCACTTTTTATCCTCATTAAGGAACTTTATTATGAAAGTCGAAATCACTTTGTAAATGTGAATTAGAATAGAAAATGGAAATTCCTTATATAATCTCTAAGCCATTGGAAACTTGAGGCAAAGAAGTTTTAAAACAAAACACATGGATTTCCTCTGAAATATTTGTAAACACCGCATTCGGAATATGTTGGATAGTTTAGGACCGTACCAGGCTTTATCTGTTACGTTGAATTGTAAATAACTTACGTTCATGAGCCCGGAATTAAAGAATCTGACAACTACTTCTGGCTTCCCAGAGCCAGAACCCACCTCGGAATGGGATTTTGAAATGCGTGCCGTTGAAGAACACACAGATGGCAGAGGCCACCGCACAGGCTGTGAGAGCTCATTCAGGTTTCCGTAGACTGTCTTCATCACCGCGTAAAACATGTCAGATGAGATTTTAGAAACTACTTCCAAATTCAGAGAAGGTTCATGACATCTGGGATGTTGTTGTTTTCAACACAGAAGTTGAGTGAAACTGTTAGAGAAGGAAAATAAGAAGTGTGGAGAGAAGAGACTGTGGTGGCTGGGCACCCCCCCTCCTCCCTTTCCCCTCCTTTTCCTCTCCTTCCCTCCTTCCTTACTTCCCCTCCCTTGCCTCCCTCCCCTGCCCTTCTTCCCTTTCTTTCTTTCTTTTTTTTTTTTTTGAGACGGAGTTTCGCCCGTTACCCAGGCTGGAGTGCAATGGCGCGATCTCGGCTCACCGCAACCTCCGCCTCCTGGGTTCAGGCAATTCTCCTGCCTCAGCCTCCCGAGGAGCTGGGATTACAGGCGTGCACCACCATGCCCAGCTAATTTTTTGTATTTTTAGTAGAGATGGAGTGTCATCTTGTTGACCAGGATGGTCTCGATCTCTTGACCTCGTGATCCACCCTCCTCGGCCTCCCAAAGTGCTGGGATTACAGGCATGAGCCACTGCGCCCGGCCCTTCCCTTTCTTTTCCTCTCCTACCCGCTGAGTCCTCAAAGCCCTTGTGCCTGGGCTGTGGAGACAAAACCCCTTGGCCTCAGAAGCTGCTTAGAACTGGGTGAAGGCTCCACTCAGCTGCCATCACCTCGTCAAGCCATCACTCAAAAGAGAGATCACGCAGAAATTACTGAAGTAAAATGCTAATGTGTCGAGTTACTGATCACAGGTTTACGTTTTATGAAAGACGTCTTCATAATCAAACTATTGTTGAGCTACCTTGTGTTTTATCTCGAATTCTCTGGAGTTAGGTAATTTACATATGTTTCAGAGTGCCGTCCTGGCTGTCAGCAGACGCTCTGGAGTGTGAGTGATGAGTTTTCTGTCTAAAGCTAAACACGGTGCTTTAAAACCCAGTGCTGCTTACTCTGCCGTAAAGTAACACTGTGGGGAGCAAAAGCTGATCTAAATTATGGATGTTTGTTTTTCTTTTATGCAGTACACGTTTTGGAACTTTATACCCAAGAATTTATTTGAACAATTCAGAAGAATAGCCAACTTTTATTTCCTTATCATATTTCTGGTGCAGGTAAGACCAGTCATTGTTTTCCATCGAATATAAATCTAAATAAGTGATGTTTTGTTCTCAGGCAACTGCCGTGTGGCTAATGAAGGAGCCAGGACGTGGTGCCCTCACCTACGATCATGTGTTTATTTTCTTAGGGACAAAGCGTGTTGGTTCTGTGAGACCCGCACAGTTATAAAGCACACGCGACGTCACTTTGGGTTTAAGTTGGTGACAGCCCTTCCTGCCCCTTTCCTTCTAGAACCTGAGGGGAAATCAGAGCCTGATCGTCTTTCGGACAAGCTCACAGCCCAGCTGTGCGTCGCAAGCCTTACTTTACTCTTCCCAAGTGTGTGTGGACTCGCTAAAGAAAATCAAAATCCGAAGACGGTTCATGTTAAAGGACAGTTTTAAAAACAAAAAGAGTGAAAAAAAATCTCGGGGGTATGAGTTAGGGAACGGTAGGCCAGATGTGCTTTCAGGACAGCACCCTGATTCTTCCAGCATGAAATTATCCAGATCGTGTAAGTGAAGTGTGACCCTGGGTCCAGGGGTGGATTAACACTGTGCCCCGACTTCAGGCTGTCTGCTGCTGATGATCGGTGGTTTCCTGAAGCATGTTCCTTCATTTAAAAAAAGTTGCCCTCACAGATCGGGACCATCCTGGTCAACATGGTGAAACCCTGTCTCTACTAAAAATACAAAGAAAAATCAGCTGGGTATGGTGGCGCATGCCTGTAATCCCAGCCACTTGGGAGGCTGAGGCAGGAGAATTGCCTGAACCCAGGAGGCGGAGGTTGCGGTGAGCCGAGATCGCAACATTGCACTCCAGCCTGGGTAACAACAGCGAAACTCCATCTCAGAAAAAAAAAAAAAGTTGCCCTCGTTTTAACAGTTGGTAAAATAGGAGATTTACTCCCTGTCCCCTCCCCAGTGGTGGGTGGAGCCGGGTGCCAGCAAAGGGTTTTAAATGAGTCAAAGTGAATGCGAAGCGCTGGCTCAGGGCAAACTCGCCTGCCTGAAGTCACTGGTTTGCGTTTTTGAAGATGACGTTGCAATTCTCTCTTTGGTTTGCGTGTTTGAAGATGACATTGCAATTCTCTCTTTGGTTTGCGTTTTTGAAGATGACGTTGCAATTCTCTCTTTGGTTTGCGTGTTTGAAGATGACGTTGCAATTCTCTCTTTGGTTTGCGTTTTTGAAGATAACGTTGCAATTCTCTCTTTCTACAGTTGATCATTGACACGCCCACAAGTCCAGTAACAAGTGGACTCCCACTCTTCTTTGTCATTACTGTCACGGCCATCAAACAGGTAAGCATTTCACAGATGAAAAGAAGCAAGCGGTCCTCTTTGCCGGGCGAGTCGCCTTTCATTCAAAGCGTGGTAGTCAGTGTGTTTCAGCCGGTTCGTAGAAAATCCAACCAGGTTCTGGAAATGCATTTTTGTAACTGTGTTAGGTTGATACTTGTGTGAAATAGGAGATGCTATGTAATCTGGTTGCTAGTCTGGCGCCGTATGAGTTTGAGGAGAAATCCATGCTTTCCGCATGCGAAGCCACCCAGGGGTGAGCGCTGATTCAGATGAGTCCCTGAACCTTTCTGCATCCTGCACCGTCTTGACCACCACAGAACACGCTGCTTTGGACTCCAGCAAAAGGGGCGGTTTTGTTTTTGTTGTTTTGCTTTTTGTTTCTTGTAGCTGGTAAATAAAGCCAATGACTAACGTGAAGAAGAATCCATTTCAGATCTACTCTCCATTTGCCCATTTTCTCACTCCAGTTACTCCGCTTTCCTCCCTGTCCCTGGCAAAGACTCATCTTTCTATCCCCTTTCTATCTGCCTGTCCTGAACGCCGCGTATTCCTGGTTCCTCTTCGGCGCTCTGACTGGCTTCCTCACTCGGCGCAATGTTTGTAAGGTTTCTCTGCACTGAACGTCAGCTCTTCGTTCCTTGTCACGATTGAGTGACTGCCGCTGTGTGGGTACAGGCCATTTTGCTTTTCGCCTCCTCTGTTGATGGACATTTGGGCTGTTTCCACCTTTTGGCTGTTGTGAATAATGCTGCTGTGTACAGGTTTTATGTGGACATAGGCTTCCTGTTTTCTGTTTAATTGACATATAATAATCAATATATCCTCTATTTAGGGGTAAACAGGTTTGTAATTTTGGAGGTACATCCCTGGGAGTAGAACTGCTCTGATGTTTTGAGGAGCTGGCCACGTGTCTTCCCGAGCAGCCAGGCCAGTGCAGGGGGCTCTTCTCTCCGAGTTCTCACCGACCCCTGCTGCTGTCTGCCCTTCCATCACAGACACTCCGCGTGCAGAGAGCTGCCTTGAGCTCCTCTAGTGACTAAAGGTGTTGGGTAGCTTTTCACATGCTTTCTGGCCATTTGTGAATCTTTCAAGGAAAGTCTTCAGATCCTTCGCCCATTTTTAAACTGCGTTATTTGTCTTTCTGTGAGAAAACTTGTAAGAATTCTCTATATGTCCTATACGCAATTCACATACCTGCGCAGACCTCTGACCCAGTGCTCTTTGCATTTTGACATTTGTTGCTTGGTTACCATTTGAGACATCTGGATAATTTACAAAATGACAGCCTCTAGTTGTCAAATTCTTGCTGGAAAAGCTGTGCTTTGTTGGTGTCTTTTTTTTTTGAAATGGAGTCTCGCTCTGTCACCCAGGCCGGAGTGCAGTGGCACAATCTCAGTTCACTGGAACCTCCACCTCCTGGGTTCAAGCAATTTTCCTGCCTCAGCCTCCTGAGTAGCTGGGATTACAGGCATGTGCCACCTTGCCTGGCTAATTTTTGTGTTTTTAGTAGAGGTAAGGTTTTGCCATGTTGGCCACGCTGGTCTCAAATTCCTAAACCCAGGTGATTCACCTGCCTCGGCCTCCCAAAGTGCTGGGATTACAGGCTTAAGCCACTGCGCCTGGCCAGTGTTAGTCTTTAAATCAATGAACACCTGAAGCATACTTTACATGCGAGGTGGTACGCACGCAGCCCTGAGCGGGCACAGGCGCTGAAGGTGGCGTGTTGCAGAGTGACTCCTCCAGATTCTAAAGGATGCCACATGAGGGCTGGCATCACTGTAGCGTGTCTGTGCATGGGTTTTCAGAGTACGCCATTCTCCTTCTGGTGGTCTAGTTGATTTTCGGTATGAGGATGGATGTCTGGGCGTATCATTTTTCAGATGCACCTGTGAGGAGCAGGTGAGAGTTACAGAATGTTAATGCTGGTTTGACTTTCTTTCTCACTCACTAGTAATCTGGAAATACAGATTTGGACAACAGCCTGAACTGTGTTTCACACCCACCAGATTGGCTTTCAGATGTGAAAGTCTGGAGATGACGTGGTGAAGCAGGCGCCATGGGCCCATGGCAGGAGCGTGGCAGAGCCACCGAGCACAGCACTTGGCATCATCCAGTACAGGGACCAGTCCCAGGGCAGAGATCGTGTCCAGACCAACATCTGGACACACAGGTGCCAATGTGGATGATAAACATGCAGCTGTGCGGCCAGCACAATGGGCGCGTCTTCGCTAGGCCAGAGCTGGCTGTGCCTGCCAGGATGTGTGAACTAGGTTGTTCGTGGTGGCCATCATTGGTTAGTAAAGGACTCGGGCGGCCCCGCGTCCCTCAGTAAGCAAGTGGATAGCTCCACCGTGGCGCGTGGCAGAACACGGCACAGCGACCGAGAGGAAGTGCTCTGCCTGAAAATGGAACGTGGGGGAAACTCACGCTGCTGGAGGCCTCGCTGCCCGTGACTCAGGCAGCTTAACGCTTACACGGGATGAGGCCTCGCTGCATGATGGTGGTGGGCTCTTGCAGACTTCAACATTCAGCAGAACGATGGGTTTTCTCATCAACTTCAGAAGGAAATGGCGTTATTCGGGGACCTGCTCTGTTTCCAGGAACCCATTGAGGAGATTAGGTGAGGGCGTCCTGTGCTGTCTGTGGCATGTCCGTGTGGCAGGAGCAGAGGCTGCAGACATGAAGGAGACCCCTGAGACTCGAGGGGCGCTGAGAGAGGAGGTGTGGGGTGCGGAACAAGAGGCTGAGGCTCTGCCGCGGCGTCCTGTCCAGCCCTGCCCTGGGAGCTGGGCGCAGACAGTTGTTATTCAGTGTCCTCTGCTCTGCCTTTTCTAAGGATTGTATCCCTCCTGGGACCCCACTGAGTAGGAAACACCTGAGGGCTCCAGGGGCGTCCTGGAGGTGAGGAGAGGATTGCATGGAATGGGGAGGGTGGCTGTGAAGACCCATCTGGGCCAAAGAGGCAGCAGCCAGGGAGCCCGCAGCCCTGTGCATGCGGAGGCTGCTTCTCAACACCGTGCAGACCATGGCCCAGACAAGAACATGAGGTGTCCTCGGCCTGGCCATGGGGCAGTGCCCAGGGGCGTTGTTGGGGTGGTTAAGAGGGGTCAAACGAACAGAACCTCAGGTCTGGGCCTCATCTCCAACATCCCTGCCCGGAGGGGTTTCTTCCTCTCCCATGGGTCTTGCTACCCAGCCCTCACTCTGGGGGAGGCCTCGCTTCTCCCACTGCTGGTCTGGATCTGTGTGTGCCCGAGCACCCTCCTGGCTTCCCCACCACTGACCTTGTCCTGCTTCCTCAGGAACAGCGCTTCCCTCTGCAGCGGCCCCCCCACACTCTGGGGTCCCCATGCTCCCTCCCAGCCCCTCCTCGCTTGCCTTCGAAGGCCCCCTGCACTCACAGAGCCCTCCCTGATTTCTCTTAGGTTCCCGCCTCTCTTTTCATGCCATCTCCCCAGTGTATCCCCTGGACACTGACAGGCATCTCACTATACCTGGCTCTGCTGCTACCCTCTCCCTGTGGCACCCAGGGGGCCCTCCCATCAGCCCGCCACCTGCATGGGCCTCCATGTGTCCCTCTTGTCCCAGCCAGGCTGGCCACTGGGCAGTGCCATCCCCACTCCATCACCACTGGGCATTCCTGGGCACCTCCTCTCTGGCTTCTTCCCACAGCCAGGGCACTGGGCTTCTTGGGGGCACTGGCGTCTCTCACCTGAGCTGAACTTGCAGTTACTTCTGTTTCTTCCCCACCAATCCTGAGAGCAGCAGTACTGGGGACAAGGTCTGTCATCTGCAGGTCCCTGGTGCCTGGCACTTGCTGAGTATGCAGTTAGTGCTAAATAATTGTGTTTAATGAACCCAGGAATCATCTACCCACTGCCGCCTTCCAAGAAGACTGTTCTTCAGTTTCCCCAGAAGGCGGGTATTTCAGCCATTTGGGAGGAATCTGTGAAAAGCAGTCGGATGCCACGGCGTCACTTGTAACCGTCAGAGCTGGAGAAGGCTCCGCACCTTCGGACATCCGTGCACCCGGGTTTCTTAACTCTCCAGAAGCTGGAGGTTTTGGGTTACTTGTTTTTGCTCTGGTCAGAACAGACACCAGTCGCAGGCCTCTGATGCCGGGTGGCCCACAGCGAGGGGGCCCCGTGAGCCTCCTGCCCCACGGGCTCTCTCGGTGTACACGCAGCGGGCCCGTGACACAGGCTTCTCATTGCCACCCCGTGCGGTTGTGTTGTGTGTGGCACAGCTGTGTTCCCAATCCCGGCGTGCGTTAGGTGCAGTGGATGTGTGTAGGCCTGGGTGTGCTGTGCAGTCTTTCATGCTGGGGATGGTCACTGAGAACGGCCATTCCCCATCCTTATCTGAGGCACCTGCACCCAGCAACACGAGACACAAAGGCACGTCCGTCCTCCCAGGAAGTGTCAGGGTGCGGCCTCTCCTGTTGCTGCTCCTTTCAAGATACCACCTGACTCTCCGAGCAGAGAGTGTGCCTCGGGAGCTGGAATTGGGGTGCATGTGTCCGCACCTGTCTCAGGCTGGGGTCAGGGTAAGCTGGGGCCGCTTCCCCAGTGCACGGCCTACGCATGCAGGAGCCCCGATGGGCTGTCTCCCCATGGGTTACTCAGACGCAGAAATGCACGGAGAACCCTAAGGCTGCCGCGAGCGCCACAGAGTGAGCCAGGGCTTCACTGAGAGTCTGAGCTGCCCGATCTCATGACAGACATCAGTGTTTAATGAAAGGGAAGTATGGCCAGCATGTGCTTTTCCCAGCTGAAGGCTGACACTCAGCGGGCGGAATGCGGCTGGCTCCACAGCGTTATGTGAGAAGCCTTCCCTCCTTCCACTTGGACGTTCCTTTTTTAGGAATTTATCCTAAGGTGACGTCAAGAATGTGCACAAAAGTGCAGTTACGTGGCACTTACGCAAACTTCCAGAAGCATCTCTATCAAACGTCTTTGCAGTTATACAACCGCAAACACGTAAAGCAGCTCAAATTGCCTGAGACAATGTCGATGCTCTGTCGGGGATACAGAGAATAGTGTGTGTGGTGTATCCTGACGTGAAAAATACACCTCTGCAGGCTCGGATTGTGCTTACGCAGAATTCATTCAACTGCAGCCTCCGTCCCTCCCTCCCTCCTCCCCACTTCCTCTCACCCTCCTTTTCCTTCCTTTCTTTAGGGTTATGAAGACTGGCTTCGACATAAAGCAGACAACGCCATGAACCAGTGTCCCGTTCATTTCATCCAGCACGGCAAGCTCGTCCGGAAGCAAAGCCGAAAGCTGCGAGTGAGTGGCACGCGACACGTCTACCTGGGTTTAGTCTAGTGACCGTGGGAGAAATAAGTTTTACCCAGCTGCGGTGGCTCACATCTCCCGTCCCGACGCCTCAGGAAGCAGAGGAGGGAAGATCGCTGAGCCCGGGGGCTGGAGGCTGCTCGGAAGGCTCCACCATGCCTGTGAACAGCCACTGCTCTCCAGCCTGGGCAGCAGAGAAAGACCCAGTCTCTTCAAACAGTTTTTAACTATAAATTTTGTTTAAAGTTTTTATTTTCTTTGACAAAGCAGACTGTCTGAGATGTTTTTTATTGGGTGTAGGCCCCAGCTCCCTACAACCTTTTTTTTTTTTTAACCTTTAATTTTTTCTTAATAGACTTTACTTTTGGAAGCAGTTTTGAGTTCACAGCAAAATTGGGTCGATGCACCCACCCCCCACCCCCCCCCACTGGCAGCATTCCACACCAGAATTGGTGCAATTTAAAATCGTTATGGGAACACACGAACCCATCAACATAGAGGAAGGTTGGAAACTGTTTCTAAAGTTTGTTTTAGAATAGGATATAAAAAAATATTAACATAAACTCTACTAGGTGGAAATGTATTGTTTTATAATAAGGTATAATAAAATCGTATCAGTATAAATTCTGCTAGGTGGAAGTTGCTGAAAATTGGAACAGGAAACCTCATCGAAGATTGTATTTTTTAAAAATGTTATTTATTATTTTAGAGACAGAATCTTGCTCTTTCACCCAGGCCAGAGTGCAGTGGCACAATCACAGCTCAGAGCAACCTCCATCCCCAGGTTCCAGTGATTCTCCTGTCTCAGCCTCCCGAGTAGTTGGGGTTACAGGTGCATGTCACCACGCCCAGCTAATGTTTGCATTTTCAGTAGAGATGGGGTTTTACCAAAATGTTGGCCAGGCTGGCCTCGAACTTCTGACCTTAAGTGATCTGCCCGCCTCAGCCTCCCAAAGTGCTGGGATTACAGGCATGAGCCACCACGCCCTGCCAAAAATTTTATTTTTTATTGGTATATAATAGTCGTATGTATTTGGGGTTCTGTCATACTTTGATGCCTGCACACCGATGAGTAAAGATGACGTTGGGGTTACTGGGATGCCCATCACCTTGTGAGTTGTTTCTCTGTGTTGGGAATATGACAGTTCTTCTTGAAGGCTGCATTTTAAATGTTTCAAATGAATTATTAGTGTAACTAACACATCAAAGCATTTTAAAATGTGTTTAAATTATTTAAATGAGATGTTTTCGGACTTTTACTAGCCGTTTGGAAGCACCATGAGTGTGGTTTTCATGTTTGTGTCAAGGTCAGCAGCCTGCTCCAGTCTGCCATCTGACTGTGGAGCTCGGCGCCAGGCCCACGACGGCCCCTTCCTGCCCCTGCTGGTGCCCGTGCTCGCTGCCTGGCCCTCGCCCACTCCCACGCCTTCCTCCCTCCTGCAGCCCCACTATTTTCCCAGCCGAGCTGTGGGAGGTTCAGTGAGGGAGACAGGGAGCTCTCCACTGGGTCCCGTGCACAGGGAGAGCCAGGCTTGTTCCAGAAGCCCGGAGCGGGGAAGGGCCTCTAAGTAGCCTGGCCAGCCTGGCTCAGTGAGCCTCTCCGGATCAGGCTGCAGCCCCTCCCGGTGCAGTGGGACAGGACCCCAGGAGGCGCTCAGAGGTCCTTCAGAGGAGCTGGCACCAACCACTAGCCCCCCGCCACCCCCATTCACCTTGCTCTCACTGTTCTATGTATCATACACATCACCGAATGGACTTTTAAGCGTTTAAACATTTTCACTTATAAATCTGCCATCCAGGTGTTTAAATGCTTCTGAAAGAGCTTCCCTTCTGTGAGTTCAGGTGGGTGATGTTTCCAGCAGTCAGGGGTTCGGAGAGCAGATGGCCCCGGCCTAGGGAACAGCCGTGAACTCACACCTGTGTCAGCCGGCGTCCGGTCTCAGGCATTCAATGCCGTTTCCTTTAACAATTATATTTCCCTTGCGAAGTCTTTCATACTTGTAGCTAAACATCTTTCTTAAAAAAAACAGACCTAAACTGTATCTGTCCACATAAAATCGAATTTTTAATGTCCTGGTCTCCGTGGAAAATGCCTGCTCTCTATCCTGTGCATCGTAACAGAGAGGATTCTAAACAGGCTATGCAGGATGAGAAAGAAAAGATCAGGCTTTTCCTACAACTGCAGGCATTGGCTTCCATCAGTCGTAATGGCTCAGGCCTTGCAGGGAGCTACAGCGAACTAGAAAAGCAATCCTTTAATTAGTTTTTCTTTTTTAATTAAACTTTTTATGTTGAGGTAATTACAGAGGCATCCTGTGTTCCCTTTGCCCCAGCGTGTTGCCCAGTTCTAAGATATTGTTATTTCAAGGATGATATAAAAAGATTCCTGCGGCCTGTGACCTCCTGGGGCTGGCTGTTGTCAGGAAGCCTAATTCCCTCGGGATTCACTAAGTCTGTGCACGAGCTGTTCCTTCCCTTCATTGCTAAGGAGTGTTCCGTGCTGTGGATGTCCCTCGGTTTCACCATTCCCAAACTGAAGGGCGTGTCGGTTTTTCTAGCTTAGGGCTATGATCTGTGAAGCTGCTGTGAATATTTGTATGCAGGTCTTCACGTGAATGTAGTTGTCATTTCTTTGGCATAAAAGCTCCAACATTCAGTTGCTGGGTCGTGTAGCAGCAGATCCACGTTTGGTTTCTAAAGGAACTGCCAACCCGTTTTCCAGCGCGGCTGTCCCGTGTCATTCCCGTCCGCCGCGTTCCAGCGTCTGCCGCCCACAGCATCACGGTGTGGCTGAGACGTGCATGTCCCGATGGCGCTGTCCGACACTCTCCCTGGGCCCGCTTGGCGTCTGTGCATCCTCGTCAGTAAAAACAATCCTTCGTGTCTTCTGTCCATTTTTCCAGCTGGATTATTTGAGCTTCTTTTTGCTGTTAAATTATTTATTTATTTTAAAAAGCCAGTCAAATTTAGCAGTATACCAACTTTAGTGACGCTAATGCTAATAAGTTCTGATAACCTACTACCATCGGAGCAGCCCCCTGTTAAATTTTAAGAGGTCATGTAGTCTAGATATTACTACTTTGTCAGATACCAATTTTAAATACTCAGCAAGGCATTTCACAAAGCAAATGTTTTAAATTCTGTCGAGGTCCAATTTTTTTATTTATTTAATTTTTTAAAAATTATTATTTCTTTTGAGACAGTCTTGCCCTTGTCACCCAGGCTAGAGTGCAATGGCACGATCTCGGCTCACTACAACCTCCACCTCCCAGGTTCAAGCAATTCTGCCTGAGACTCCCAAGTAGCTGGGACTACAGGTGCGCATCGCCACGCCTGTCTAATATTTGTAGTTTTAGTAGAAACAGGGTTTCACCCTGTTGCCCAGGCTATTCTTGAACTCCTGGCCTCAAGTGATCCACGTGCCTTGGCCTCCCAGAGTGCCAGGATTACAGACGTGAGCCACCGTGCCCGGCTGATTTTTTTTGAGGACTGTTCAGTGCCCTGTATGAAGCATTCTTTGCCTAGTCTTGAGACCCAAAGACTTTCTCCCATATTTCTTTCTGAAAGTGTTATAGTTTCATGTTTTACATGTAACTTTATGATCCATTTTGAGATGGTTTTTGTATAAGGTGTGATGTTTCTGCCCTTACTGTTTTGCCTGTGGCTGTCCGATTGCCCTGCACCGGGGGTTGGTGGCTGTCCCTCCTCCAGGGAGCAGCCCTTGCCCTTGTCACCATCAGTGAAGCCCATTTGCGAGGGTCCATTTCTGGTTTACTGGTCTGTCCCATCGGTGTCCACACCCATGCCCCGCCGATCCCACACTGTTGGTCACTGTAGCTATCTCAGAAGCCATGTTGTTGGGGAGACCGAGTCCTTCCACTCAATCTTCTTTTTCGAGGTGGTTTTAGCGATTCTAGAGCCTGTGCCTTCCATGTGAATTTTAGAATCAGCTCATTTATGTCTATAAAAATGCTTGCTGGGATTTCCATAGGGATTTGAGTAAACCCACAGGTACATTTGGGGAGAGTAACCCTCGGCTTTTAAAGTCTCACAATTCACGGTGTGCTGTGACCGTCACGTAGTGGGACAGAGAACTCTGCTTGCAGTGTAGACAGAAGCACGGCAGGCCCCAGCCCTGGCCGGAGGACCCACACCAACTCACTCCAGGGGCCTGATGATCCTTCACCTTTCAGACACCTTTCAGTCCAGCTCACTGAGATGCCATCCTCACCAGTGAAATGAGATGGATACAGATACAAACTAGACCGTCCATTGAAAACCCACGTGGTGAACTTTCTGTGATTGACTTTTAATTTGGCTTTTGAGACGTTGTTGCCACTTTTGCATGATTCGTCCTCATGCTCTGAAGAGCTGGGCGGTGCCTTGGTTCTGTTATCAGGAAGCTCTCAGAATTCTGCCACCTGGTTCATAAAGGGCCAGGTTGCGGTCAGAGCCTCTCACGGGAGTACATCCCACTTGGCCGTGCTGAGACTCTGGAACGCGTCTTGCTGGGTCTGAATCAAAGGTAACCTTGTTGCAGGTGTTTGTCTCTGTTTTTGCTCCAGAATATTCCATCGTGCTGTGCTTTGGTACTTCTCTTAGCTGCAGTTGGAATACTGAAACCTGACCTGGTCTTTGGCCCCAGCAGAATGTCTGGCAGGTGTCTTCCTAGAGTCATCTCTGCATCCCTGTATCTTCCTGTAATGAGCACCTTGAAAGAAGCAGTCCTGCACGGCGGTGAGCTTTCACGGAGGGGCTTTCTGCTGACCGTCCTTTCTGCTTGTGCTGTAGGTTGGGGACATTGTCATGGTCAAGGAGGATGAGACCTTTCCCTGCGACTTGATCTTCCTTTCCAGCAATCGGGGAGATGGGACGTGCCACGTCACAACCGCCAGCTTGGACGGAGAATCCAGCCATAAGGTAAGGGGCCTTTTTGTTAGATTCCAGGGCGGGGTCCGCCAGCTTAGACGGAGAATCCAGCCATAAGGTAAGGGGCCTTTTCATTAGATTCCAGGGTGGCATCTACCAGCTTAGATGGAGAAACCAGCCATAAAATAAGGGGCTTTTTCCTTAGATTCCAGGGCGGGGTCCGCCAGCTTAGACGGAGAATCCAGCCATAAAGTAAGGGGCTTTTTCCTTAGATTCCAGGGCGGGGTCCACCAGCTTAGACAGAGAATCCAGCCATAAAGTAAGGGGCCTTTTCCTCAGAGTCCAGGGCGGGGTCTTTCTGCCCAGCTTCAGGCTGCCCGTGTGGCCACAGGAGCCAGCATCCTGTTGAAAGTCGGCCTTTTCGGTGTTCTCAGTGCGAGCCCCAAGACCTGTGCAGCCGGGATTTTCTCACCTTTGCTGCCTCCTGTTTTTCACTTTGCTCTTTTTCCTTTTTTAAAAAAATAAATTTTGTATATTAAGGCATATATGATGGTGTCATGAGATACGTGTTTTTATAGTGAGGTTGTGGTGAGAGTGGACCAGATGAACATGTCCGCCTCTCACTGGGCTTCCCATTCCCTCCCCTGGCGCCCATGCCGGAGCAGCCAGAACCTGCTCGACGCAGCAGAAACCCTGAGCCCGACATCCTTGCCCACTGCAGCCCTCCTTTGTGAGCTGGGTCTTGGGACAGGTCATCCTAAATGTTGCTACTCTGTGCTCTTTTACACCTCCCCATTTCCTTCCCACTCTTTTTCTTTCTACTCTCAATGTTTAAAACAACCAGTCATCTCAGGTTAACAGAAATAACTTCAGTGTTCGCCCGTGTCAATCAGCTAATGCACCAAATTAAAGATTTAACGAATAGATTGTTGGAATTTAAAGAATTTTTATTTTACTAGTTAAAATTAATGTGAAAACTGGCCTAGAATTATGTGAAAAGTCACACACAATTCTAGATTTTGCCTGTTACTTCAACAAGTGTCTTTTTGTTAATTTATCTCAAACAGGATTTTCTGAAATTACTATATAAGGAATTTCCTGCACTCAACATAAAATTCTGCACAGGCAGCTGATGCTACAAGAATTTTCATTGTCAATCGTAAAAGATGTACTACCGTTAATTTTAAGATTCTTATTTTAAAAATCAGGAAGTTTCTAAGGAGTTTATGAGAGTGAGCATAACTCAGTGGATTCAACTATTCCTAAGTCATCAGCTCACAAAAGTGCAGCTCTAAAATGGTATTTAGGTAATACCTATGGACATAGGCCATTTCTGCTATGAGGCATTTTCTTTACAAAATCACTGAAGGGTATGTTAGTCTTTCATAGATAATTCAGATATGTATCATGAATTGATCAATGAAAAGTCTGTGGGTATTTTCGGTTAAATTTGCTTTCACGTTTTCCGTGTAGCCTATTCCAGGAGAGTGAGCACTCTGACACATTAGACTGTCAGCAGCAGTGCTTCTGGGGAGTCAGAGTCCCTGGATGATTCAGGTATTTCTTGTAGCGGCTGCTGGTCCCTCTGGAACCTGGGAGGAGGTTAAGGTTCCATCCACCCAGAGACCTTGCGAGCCCTCTACACTCTCTGCAGGCAGTGGCTGCCTTTGTACCCCTGCCCTGCAGGACTGTGGGCTGGTCAGGCTCTGACAAGTCCCAGCCACGCTAGTGAACAGATGCTGTGGGTCTCCAGATGTGCCATGTTTGACCGGATGAAATGTTGTTGTAGTTGTGGAAGATGATAAAATAGCTATTGCACTTTGACCTGTTCATGTTATAGTTTTGTGTTCTCTAATGTCATTTTTGTGCATTTTGTTTAGCTTTGGGGGACTGGAATTATTTGAGCCCTTTCCTTAAAAGCAGAGTGGGGCATGGGAAGGGTCCAGCCAACCTCTGTTGGAATCCCGGGGGCAGGGGGAGGCTCATGTGACTGCACAGGCTTGTTAGCTTCTCTGGACTCTGCATCTTTGAAATGGGACAACCGTGTCTCTCAGGGGCTCTTGTGAGGATATGATTAGAAAATGCCCACTGAATTTAGAAAATAAGTGCCCCATGATTCGTGCGCTTGGTGACAGAGCAGCGAGCACTTCCCTCTCCCAGGCCGTTTGTGTGTTTGGTGATGGAGCAGTGATCCTTCCCCCACCCCCTTTTGTGCACTTGGTGACGGGGCTGCTATTGGTTCCCCCTGATTTGGGCGCTTGGTGATGGTGCAGTGATCGTTTCTCCCTTTTGTTCTGACTCCTTCTGTGTTTTATTTGTCCAATGCTCGTCCCTTAGAAAGAAACACAGGGATTCAGAGATGCTCTTGCCTCTCCCCAGATTCTTGGGTGCACAATTCTCCTCTCTCCTCTTAAGTCAGGGCCAGTGCAGTCCTCATGCCCACCTGTTGGTGTTCACAGATGGTCAGCAGGCCTCAAAATGTGCTCTGAGACCAGCAGCATCAGCGGGCACCATGTTAGAAGGGCAGTTCTCTGGCCTTCCCTAGACCCGCTGCATCGGAAACCCTGGGGCTGAGCCCAGGAATCGGGGGCTTAAGAAGCCCTGGGTAAAGCTGGCACACACGAAGGCTGAAGGAACCCTCTGGCCCAGGCCATGTGAACAGTTAAGTAGAAGGCGTGTGCCACCCAACAAGGACGGGCGCAGGCAGGTTGTTGCTGCATAGTGGAAATGAAGTGAGGTGATGCCATGACGACTCCCCGTGAACAACAGGGCATGCTGTAAAGGCAAAGGGGTATTTCAGGTCCTCAACCTGTTTCCTAATGAGTAGCTGCTGTGACAGATAAATCGGTGTCCACTTTCGAAGCATTCGAGCATCGCTATCTGTCCTTTTTAAGTTGAGGACACTGGGTAAGAATTGGAATCTTCTGGCACCTCATAGATGCAGGAATAACAGTGGGACCTTATCTTTCTGTGACTTTTAAGCATTTACAGACCCTGGTCAGCCAGGCTCTGTAGCTACTTGGTTGGAGGCACCAGCTTCTGGGTTTGTGTTGACCGTTTGGGCTGTGAGCTCACCTGTCTTGTGATTTGTAGACGCATTACGCCGTGCAGGACACAAAAGGCTTCCACACGGAGGAGGATATCGACGGGCTCCACGCCACCATTGAGTGCGAGCAGCCCCAGCCCGACCTCTACAAGTAAGCAGGCCGTGGGGTCTCTAGAAATGGGTTACGCCCTCAGCCTTGTTCTTGCTTTTTCACCCCAAATACTCCAGCCATCTGCTGGGTTGGAAAGAGAAGATAAATCGCTGCTTAGAGATTAAGACTGAGTCAAAAAGACGTCACTTCTTTTCATAGACTTGTACTACTCAGATTGGTAGCTTTTTATTTATGCAAGTATTTGACGTGGCTTAATGGAACTAGATTTGTGGGGGAAAAACAAAGTTTTCTTTATTTTATGGAAGACATTTGTAAACTGTGGGTTAAGGAAAATGACAAGCCGTGGGCTGATCAGAACAGAAAGTACAACAAGGAAGGGGCTGGAGGAGAGCTGGCTTAGCCACACGGGGGACGGGCTGGCCGGCTTAGCCACACACAGAACAGGCTGAGTGAAGACCTGCAGCTCACAGTGGCCTCCTCTGTGGACACAGGAAGGCAGGCAGGCCAGGCGTGCGCGTCAGGGTGGGGCCGCTGGGTGCAGCCCGTCAGTAACGTGGCTTTTCTGTCGCCAGGTTCGTGGGTCGCATCAACGTTTACAGTGACCTGAATGACCCTGTGGTGAGGTGAGTGTCTCTGTGAACGCGTGGACTGTGGTCATCTTCCTTGTTGCGTTAGAAATGTGTTCTTGGACAGACCAGTGTTTCCATGGCCGCTGCTCGAGTAGATTTGGAAGGTGGAGTTCCACTTCCCCAAAGGGCCAGGCTCCACTGTCTTCCCTGGTGTGTGCCTGAGGGCACACATCTGTGAATGTTGACAAGTTGCTGATGCGTGTGAAACCAAGTTTTGCACAGGACTCTGCCAGGAGGGTTGTCTCACAGGCCGGGGGGGTGTCAGGGTTCCATGAACAGTTTCGAAGTGAGGGGCAGAGTACAGCATCCCCGTGAGAAATGCCCTCTTATGATTCATTCCTGTTCTGATTTGTCTTCAGATATGAAGTTGAAGACTTCTAATTTGGGGGCCGTTTTTTGGAGTCTATTTCATCCCCTCGCCATTGTTACTGGGGTGCATTATGGGCTCAGGCCTCTCTCTGGCTCACGTCCACCCAAGAAGGTGGACACAGTGACCCGGGGCAAGGTTGGGGCAGCTCACAGGCGACTGCTGTGCCTCCCATTCACCAGCATAGACTCAGCAGCAGTCACACCGCATATCCGTGAGGAAACCCGAGCCTCAGGCACCTCCTCTGTGGCCCCGAGACAGCCTCGGCTGAGAGCCAGCTGGTGCCCAGCCCACCTCTGAGCAGCGCCCGCCTCCCGGGCCTACGATATTCTCTCTGACATTATTTCAAGATCTAGCATTTGTTGCTGGAAAGTCACAGTTGAGGGAACTGGCTTTCGGTACGTTGTAAAGCTGCATCTTTTCATAAACTCCATTGCTAGGGAAATGGTTTTTCTTCTGTAAGCAGTCTCTAAGTTGTTGTCTCGGTGTGTGTGGAATCATGTGTTAAAGAGCACATCTCCCAGACACAGAAACACACTCGCCCGGAGACTGTGGCAAAATGCATGGTTCCCGAATGCCGGCCCCTGGGGCGTGGGAGACTGCAGTAAAACGCGTAGCTCCCCAATGCCAGTCCCTGGGGCGTCTCCTCGTGGTCTCCTGGAGTTGCTGTTTCATGGAAACCACTCGTGCGCGTATTAGCGTGTTAGTCGTCATTACCCATCAGCAGGCCAGCAGGTGCTTCCGAGAACTGATAGTGGCCTCGCCTTGGTTTTCCTAAACCTGTACTTTTCTAAAGGTAAATTCCTCCTTGCGTTGGAGAAATCACTTGTATTTCTGTGTGCTGTGATAATTATTTTGTGTTTGAGTGAGTAAACAGGCTTAGGTTTGTTCATATGACCTGTGGGTTGAATGCACAGTATTAAACATGGCAGGTTTTCATCTTTATAGTTAGACCCAGTTGATTGCTCAGCAACCTGGGGTGATAATTGCTTGTGTATTTTGCATTTTGATACTAACTCTAGTTTCACTTTTATTTTATTTTATTGGAGAGAGTCTCGCTCTGTCACCCAAGCTGAAGTGCAGTGGTGCGATCTCAGTTCACTGCAGCCTCTGCCTCCCAGCAATTCTCCTGCGTCAGCCTTCTGAGTACCTGGGATTACAGGCGCGTACCACCACACCCCGGCTAATTTTTGTATTTTTAGTAGAGATGGGGTTTTGCCATGTTGGCCAGGCTGGTCTTGAACTCCTGACCTCAGGTGAGCCACCGCACCTGGCCTAGTTTCACTCTTAAATATTTATCCTGTTCAATAGACTTAATATTTAGGTTACTTAAGATGTTTATAAATTTGTGATGTGGACAGTTAAGAATTATGCTGCACCCAAATTCTCAATCCATTCAGAGTGATGTTTCTTCTTCCTTCTGTCCTAACTCGAAGCAAAGTACTTTTTCAATAAATTATTTTTAGACTTCCCTGAGTCACCTTTTTAAAAAAGCTGTTTGTTTTTATAAACACTTGACAGGAATTATTGTAAGTGTGTTGCAAACAGAAGCTGACAGTCCTTATCACACAACCAGACAGCCCACATGCAGCCCGGAGCTCCATCTTGAGTGACAGCCGGGTTAGGAGGCGCGTGGCGCTCTCAGCTGCAGCCGGGGGCGGACGCCTCTGCCTGCCTTCAGCCAGATGCAGTTCTGAGTTATATCGAGCAGATATACTGCATGCATTTCACATTCATAATAATCAGTAGGTTCTTCCCTTTCCATGATAGAAGGACAGGAAATACAGTGATACATGAAAAGCACACTTCAGCAAACACTTTTGACCCTTTCCCCTCCGAAGAAATGATGATATCAGTAGCAAAATTTATGAATTGGAATCTTGCTGCTTATTTCTCCCTTAGGACTATGAGAAGAGATGATTTTTCCATCAGCAGGGAGCCCTGTTATATCGAGCATATAGGCCCCTGATAGCAGGGCCCCACCCGCTGCTCCCCATTGGTTCAATGCGCAGAGCCGTGCTTGTTTCTCTATGCATGAGATCTTTGAGTTCTTTGGCCATTGCTTGTTTTCCCCAAAGTAGCCACGCATGGACTGCCCCGGATGGCTCGGTCTCCCGTTCAGAGGAGCTCTGCAGTGTGGCTTCCAGTGTTTCTAAAGGCAGACGGAATATCAGCCTTTGTCTCCAGGACAGACAAAGACTGTTACATGAGACTCCCCGAGTCTCACTGAGATGTCATGGAAACAACTGAGGCTGGGCATGGTGGTGCTGGACTGTAATCTCAGCACTTTGGGAGGCCAAAGCAGGAGGATCACCTGAGCCCAGGAGATCAAGGCTACAATGAGCTATGATCGTGCCCCCAGCCTGGGTGACAGAGTGAGACTTTGTCTCTTAAAAAAAAAAAAAAAAGAAAAACAGAGACAGTTGAAAGCTGAGCAAGTCACGTGTACCCCTCTTTAGCCTTTCCAGAACATTCTGGGACCTTCCAGTGCCGCTGTCCTCAACCTGAGGCTCGTTAGGAGAGGGCTGCTGGGCCCCACCCCAGGATTTCAGGTTCTGACTCTTTGGGTCTGGGACGATCTTCTTGACTGGTGTGATGTTCCTGATGGGCTCCGGGTGCTACTGATGGCACTGCTGGGGCCACTGCAAGGACCCCTGCCCTAGAGGTCTCTCAAGGAGTATTGCTGAGGCTGTCGGGCTCAGCTCAGTGGGTCTGGGTGAGGCCTGAGGTCCCACATACCTGCAGGCACTGACGGGAGGTCCTTGCCGCTACTGCTCCCCAGCAGGTAAGACCACAACCTTACGCATGGACCTGGGCAGACTTCATCGTCTAAATGTAAGCAAGCCGCCGTGTACACCATCTCTCCTGAAAATGAGATCTGTTGAGCAAACCAGCAGGCTTTGTGTCTGCATCTCCCCCTCACTGCCTGCCCATCTGCCCTCACATCCGTATCATTTCTGATCATCTGTATCTTTACAGACCCTTAGGATCGGAAAACTTGCTGCTTAGAGGAGCCACACTGAAGAACACAGAGAAAATCTTCGGTAAATATTTAATTCGTGAGTTATTAACCATTGCCTCTAATGTTCGTAAGACCCGCAGTAGAACCCTGAGAGCGTTTCTTGGTGCCTTGAGGCGCCGGAGGCTTTCTGGCCATGCAGTTCCACCCCGCTGAGATTAGTGTCCGTGGGTAAGCGTGGTCCTGAAGCAGTGGTGCCGGAGGACATGGCTGGCATGTTGAGGCCTCTAGTTTTGGTTTCAGAAACGGAGTTGCATCCATGAAGGAATTTATGAAGTCGAATTGTGCAGGACGTTTCTTTCCTGCCTGCATTCTGGGCTAGGATCTCCCTTTCTTGTGGGCTGTTGTCTATTTTAACTGAGGTAACTTTTAGAAATACGCCTATGTGCCCCACTGTCAGAACATGCTGTGCAGTTGTCCCTCGTGTCCTTGGGGGGCTGGCTCCAGGACGCCTGCAGATGCCACAATCCACAGATGCCCAAGGCCCCTTTTTGCATGAGGCCTGCACACGTCTGCCCCTCTGGTTTACGTCGTCTTAGATGACTTCAGTACGTAGCACAGCGTAAATGCCAGGCACATAGTTACCCTGCTGTTTTTATCATCTGTATTTTTAATTATTGTATTGTTATTTCTGGGGGGGATTTTTTGAAATAGTTTCTATCCCCAGTGGGTAGAACCTGCAGATTCTGAACTCATGGACACGGGCAGCCAATGTATATTAAGATAGGAACTCTTCAAAAATGAAGCACAGATTGCCTCCTGTGTACGAAGAAAGGTTTTGATCCTAAGGAATCAAGTAATCAAGTGCTCATGTTGTGTGACTCTGGACACTAGTTCGTGAAATCAAAAATAGGGTTCATTTTACCCAAGAATTGATTTTCCCCGCACCTGTGTGTAACTCACCACAAGGCAAGACACGCTTCTGCCACGGTCCTCACCTTCCCCTTCCTCTCTGTAGCTGTGGCTGTCTACACGGGCATGCACCATGGTCCTCACCTTCCCCTTCCTCTCTGTAGGTGTGGCTATCTACACGGGCATGGAAACCAAGATGGCACTGAATTATCAGTCGAAATCGCAGAAGCGGTCTGCCGTGGAAAAGTAAGGCTCCCTGCCCCGTCGCTGGCGAGCATGAGCATCTGCGACTAGAAGTATTGGCACCCAGTGTAGACGTGGAAATAGCTGCTTCCTGGCCTTACTGGTGGTTCCTTCACCAGTAGACAGCATCTTAGTAACCGCAGAGCTGACTGTTCAGATGGACTTTCTCACTCTGTGGGGAGGTGAATGGCCGCACGCCCCCTTCCCGCACTTCCCAGCGCCTGGTGAGACGCAGCGCTGTTACCCCTTACGGACGCCCTGAGATTCTGGTTCCGAAACCAGTCCAGTGTTGCACAGTTCCTCCTACTGTTTCATGAGAAACTCCACATGGGCTCGCTTTTCACTCTGGGCTGGGGTGGAAGCCGCGCATTCCCGGCTATGGTTTTATGAAGGAAAGCATTAGCAAAGAGAACAGAGCCATCTTTGCATTAAACAGTGAAGTGCCGATGAGAAATATGTCAGAATGGTAGCTGAATTTGAGCTGGAAAATAAAGGCTTCTTCCCGAGCTTGGCCGAGACCTTAGTGAAGGATCTGTGCTTTCCTGTCCTGAGGATACTTCCTTCCAGAGTATTTACTGGTCTCCCGTTCTTCCCTCCCTCCCTCTCCTCCTCCTCCTCCTTTCCTTTCCTTCCTTCCTTTCCAGTGGGGGCTAGTCACTACGTTCTGAACTAATTTGTTGATGCTCAGTGGTAGAAATTGATCTCTGGATGTTCCAGTCTTGGAGACACAGTCTTGCTCTGTCATCAGGCTGGAGTGCAGTAGCGCAATCTTGGCTCACCGCAACCTCCGCCTCCCACGTTCAAGTGATTCTCCTGCCTCAGCCTCCCGAGTAGCTGGGACTACAGGCACGTGCCACCACTCGCAGCTAATTTATGTATTTTTTTAGAAGAGACAGGGTTTCACCATGTTGGCCAGGATGGTCTTGATCTCTTGACCCCATGATCCGCCCGCCTTGGCCTCCCGAAGTGCAGGGATTACAGGCGTGAGCCACCGTGCCCGGCCTGGGTGTTCTTTTCAATGACGGAAGCAGGTGTGGCTGTTTACACAGGCATGGAAAACATGGGCAACGCAGAAGCATTACAGTGTGGCTGCGAGCGGCTCTCTCTCTCCTGCTTGTGGCACTTTCCCCCTGCTTGACTCTTTCCTTTGGCCTCTAGAAGTACGTGCCAGGGACCGTGGCATGGACGCAAGCATGGGGGCCCGCTGTGGCACGTCGAGGGCAAACACATCAGCGTGCCGTTCCTATTCTGTCTTCACAAGGTTTCATCTTGACATTTGTGAGAAGGAGGGCGGAGCTCGTTTCCACAGGGGCCGGTGGTCACCTCTGTCCTTCCGTTTCAGATCCATGAATGTGTTCCTCATTGTGTACCTTTGCATCCTGATCAGCAAAGCCCTGATAAACACTGTCCTGAAATACGTGTGGCAGAGCGAGCCCTTCCGGGATGAGCCGTGGTATAATCAGAAGACGGAGTCGGAAAGACAGAGGAATCTGGTAAGGAGAGCGACTGCCCGGTGTGACCAGAGGTGACCTGTGGGCCATTGTCACAAAAGGGCGGTGCCAGAAAAGGTGGAAGTGAATTTACTGTGGGCCAAAAGCACCCTGGATGGACCCAGTCTCCATAGTAGATGCATTCACGAAAGTAAAGTGTCAGTGGACCCAGCTGGTCCTGTCTTCTTTGAGTCTGGAGAGGTATAGCTTCCCACAGTGAATTCATCAGGACGGTGCTGTAAATACTTGCAGTGTCCCTTTGTTTAGAGGGTGCTAAGTAAATGCTTATTAATGACTGTGAGGTAAATGGCACGTATTTGTGGTAAATACTTGGAAAAAAGTTTCTGCTTTCAGTCCAGAGAGGGCTGTGTCCAAACCCAGACCTGTGTCCACTGAACCTAGGGCAGGGCCGTGTGCAAACCCAGACCTGTGTCCACTGAACCTAGGGCAGGGCCATGTGCAAACCCAGACCCTTTCTGCTGAGCCTAGAGCAGGGCCGTGTGCAAACCCACATCCTTTCCGCTGAGGCCTAGGGCAAGGCCATGTGCAAACCCACACCCTTTCCGCTGAGCCTAGGGCAGGGTAGTGTGCAAACCCAGACCCTTTCCGCTGAGCCTAGAGCAGGGCCGTGTGCAAACCCACATCCTTTCCGCTGAGGCCTAGGGCAAGGCCATATGCAAACCCACACCCTTTCCGCTGAGCCTAGGGCAAGGCCGTGTGCAAACCCACACCCTTTCCGCTGAGCCTAGGGCAGGACCGTGTGCAAACCCACACCCTTTCCGCTGAGCCCAGGGCAGGGCCGTGTGCAAACCCACACCCTTTCCGCTGAGCCTAGGGCAGGACCGTGTGCAAACCCAGACCCTTTCCACTGAGCCTAGGGCAGGGCCGTGTGCAAACCCAGACCTGTGTCCACTGAACCTAGGGCAGGGCCATGTGCAAACCCAGACCCTTTCTGCTGAGCCTAGAGCAGGGCCGTGTGCAAACCCACATCCTTTCCGCTGAGGCCTAGGGCAAGGCCATGTGCAAACCCACACCCTTTCCGCTGAGCCTAGGGCAGGGTAGTGTGCAAACCCAGACCCTTTCCGCTGAGCCTAGAGCAGGGCCGTGTGCAAACCCACATCCTTTCCGCTGAGGCCTAGGGCAAGGCCATATGCAAACCCACACCCTTTCCGCTGAGCCTAGGGCAAGGCCGTGTGCAAACCCACACCCTTTCCGCTGAGCCTAGGGCAGGACCGTGTGCAAACCCACACCCTTTCCGCTGAGCCTAGGGCAGGGCCGTGTGCAAACCCACACCCTTTCCGCTGAGCCTAGGGCAGGACCGTGTGCAAACCCAGACCCTTTCCACTGAGCCTAGGGCAGGGTCGTGTGCAAACCCAGACCCTTTCCGCTGAGCCTAGGGCGGGGCCGTGTGCAAACCCACACCCTTTCCGCTGAGCCTAGGGCAGGGCCGTGTGCAAACCCACACCCTTTCCGCTGAGCCTAGGGCAGGGCCGTGTGCAAACCCACACCCTTTCCGCTGAGCCTAGGGCAGGGCCGTGTGCAAACCCAGACCCTTTCCGCTGAGCCTAGGGCAGGACCGTGTGCAAACCCAGACCCTTTCCGCTGAGACTAGGACAAGGCCATGTGCAAACCCACACCCTTTCCGCTGAGCCTAGGGCAGGACCGTGTGCAAACCCACACCCTTTCTGCTGAGCCTAGGACAGGGCCGTGTGCAAACCCAGACCCTTTCCGCTGAGCCTAGGGCAGGGCCGTGTGCAAACCCATAGCCTTTCCGCTGAGCCTAGGGCAGGGCCGTGTGCAAACCCACACCCTTTCCGCTGAGCCTAGGGCAGGACCGTGTGCAAACCCACACCCTTTCCGCTGAGCCTAGGGCAGGACCGTGTGCAAACCCACACCCTTTCCGCTGAGCCTAGGGCAGGGCCGTGTGCAAACCCAGACCCTTTCCGCTGAGCCTAGGGCAGGACCGTGTGCAAACCCAGACCCTTTCCGCTGAGACTAGGACAGGGCCATGTGCAAACCCACACCCTTTCCGCTGAGCCTAGGGCAGGACCGTGTGCAAACCCACACCCTTTCTGCTGAGCCTAGGACAGGGCCGTGTGCAAACCCAGACCCTTTCCGCTGAGCCTAGGGCAGGGCCGTGTGCAAACCCATAGCCTTTCCGCTGAGCCTAGGGCAGGGCCGTGTGCAAACCCACACCCTTTCCGCTGAGCCTAGGGCAGGACCGTGTGCAAACCCACACCCTTTCCGCTGAGCCTAGGGCAGGACCGTGTGCAAACCCACACCCTTTCCGCTGAGCCTAGGGCAGGGCCGTGTGCAAACCCAGACCCTTTCCACTGAGCCTAGAGCAGGGCCGTGTACAAACCCACACCCTTTCCACTGAGCCTAGGGCAGCGCCGTGTACAAACCCACACCCTTTCCGCTGAGCCTAGGGCAGGGCTGTGTGCAAACCAAGACCCTTTCCACTGAGCCTAGGGCAGGGCCGTGTGCAAACCCACACCCTTTCTGCTGAGCCTAGAGCAGGGCCGTGTGCAAACCCAGTCCCGTGTCCCTGCCATCGGGATCAGGGCCATCTCTGCACATCATCCGTCCTTCCTACAAAACTAACTTGGCTTCACAGACCAGGATAAAGTATACTGAAGAGTCATTTCGTCAGGCTCAGTTTTTACAGCTGTAGGTTGTTGCCAAGTAAGTTTGGTTGTAAGAGTCACAAAGAGGTCCCACGGATGCAGAGGTAGAATTGCCACTGGCGCCTGGTCTGCCTCCTGTCACACATGTGCTTGTTTGAACTCATGCTTTAGTCTCCACCCCCACAGCGGGGCAGCCCTGCAGCTCATCCCCTGGCCCCAGCAGGTCCTGGCACAGAGACCAGGTGACCCTGTGGCAGCTCCCCCCGACCAGCCCATAATCCTCGTCTTTGGCCTCTGAAACCTTGTACTTAGCAGTAGCACATATATGAGTTACGGCTAAGCCCGAGGTGTTAGAGCAGCGTGGTGGAGCCCTGCTGCCCTTCCCGCAGAGGCGCTGACCGTACCTTCTGCTCTCGCAGTTCCTCAAGGCCTTCACAGACTTCCTGGCCTTCATGGTCCTCTTCAACTACATCATCCCCGTGTCCATGTACGTCACGGTCGAGATGCAGAAATTCCTCGGCTCCTACTTCATCACCTGGGACGAAGACATGTTTGATGAGGACACTGGCGAGGGGCCTCTGGTGAACACGTCAGACCTCAACGAAGAGCTGGGACAGGTTGGTGTCTCCCAAGTCATCTGCTGTGATTTGCTAACGTGTGGGTGAGTGTGTTTCACGTTCCTCAGGTCAGGTGCCTGTCTTCCGAGCGTGGCTGTCCCTGTAGCTGGTGGAAAACAGCAGCAGGGTTGTTTTGAACCTTATTTGTGAAACAGTCGGCCATGCTGTTACATGTACGACGGATGTGGAATGACCTACACTCGCTGGTGCCTGGAAACTCACTCGGAGCTCACAAAGGTGTGAATCAAGGCTGGTGGGTAGAAATGGCTTTGCCAGCCTTGCACTCGCCTTCTGCACCTGATACTGAGGTCTCATAGCAAGCCAGGTATTTTTTCACTTTAAAGATGAGCAAACCAATACTACAGAGAGTTTCAGTGACTTGGTGGATTGCAAAGGGTTCAAGTGCCTCCATTCAAACCCCACTGCTGCGTGATGGCTGCAGGAGCTCGGGCTTCACCGCCACACCTCGAGTTTCTCAGTCCGTGAAGTGAGATGACAGATGCTGGCCTCGCAGGACTGTGGTGTGGAGTCAATGAGATCATGGACACAAGGTGCCCAGCCCAGAGTCTGTGCCACCACCGCCTCCCTGCCACAACACCAGGAGCCACACAGCAGATCTGCCGGCTTGGGAAGGGAACTAAGGAAAGACCCATTCCCCTGGTCCTGCAGCCTAAAGCCGTGACGTTCCCTGCTTTCCCAGCCTTACTGCTGCAGAGCGCAGGGTTGGCAAAGCAGGTACCGGTAAAGGGTAACTCTTTGGTCCTTTTGGAAGAAACAGAAAACGGTTTTGAGGACTGTTTCAGCAAACAAGTCCACTTTAGACAGGTGGCTGAAATCTGCATCTCACGTGCAGGCAGCAATCCGTACATAGGCATAGACCCGGCAGATACAGAGGCCTCTGTCTGCTCCGGTGAGGAAGGCAGACGCACAAAAGGCGCATGCTTCGCTTTTGATGAGTTTGACTTTTCATTATTTCTCTGGTGCATTCCAGGCCCCTCATGGTGGTTGACTGTGTCTGTCAGCAGTGCGCAGACTGTAATTCAGCTGCTCAGTAGTCAGGTACTTTTAGAGAAGACTATTCTATCACCTTTGCAATAAGAGATGGTACATTTTGTGTGCTCCTGATAAATTCCTTGGGAAAGAACAGTTTTCTGTAACAAGGAAAACGCCCAGCAGTATTGAGTGCAGCTGATTTCTCCTCGACCCTCCTCGATCCATTGCCCTGGAGGCCAGCAAAACGGAGTTTTATTTCCACCAATTCTGTCCTGACCAGAACCAGGCTCTCGCCTGCAGGCTGACCTCCCCGGCCACAGAGAAATGTGTACTGTGGCTCCTGGGGGATGCCCTGGGGTGAGGACAGTGGGCAGGCCCAAGAGGCTGGTTCATCTGACTGCAGCTACGTGGGTGAACACCTGTGCCCCCCGTCTACCCGGACAAAAGCCCATGCCCCCCATTGCTGTGCCGTACGATGTACATAACTTCTTTTGTATGTGAGATGGAGATTCACCCACCACTCAAGTGTCTGTGTCCACAAAAAAAAACACCATCTCCCGTGGCGCTCTGGGCCACACACTGTGCACACCTTCTCTGTGTCCTGTGTACCACTGCCCACTTCTCAGATAAGAAACGGGGTCAGGAGCAGGCAGTGCCGCCTGAACACGAGTGCCTGGGAACACAAACCCGGCTCAGGCCGAGTTGAGCAGGCGGGCGTGCACTGCGGTGAGTGCCGTCTTGTTCTGAGAACTGAGGGTGTCGCAGTATTGACCAGCACTGAGCTTAGGGTTGGCTGTCTCACTACCAGAAAAGAACATTGCAGGCCAGGACCCCTGATGAACAAAGTTGAAAAAAACCCTCAACCAAGCACTAGCAAACCAATTCAGTAGCACACAAAAGGGTCACACGCCACCTGTGGGATGCCAGCGTGGCTCCGTCCACATGCACAAATCAGTAAGTGTGGTGCATGAGGTCAGCAAAATGAAGGACAGACCATATGATTATCTGTGATGCAGAGCAGGCATTCGACAGATTTCAGCATCCTTTCGTGATAACGTGTCTCAACAAATTAGGTACAGAGGAGGGTTTCTCAACACGATACGGGCCATAAATGACAGACCCACAGTGGCGTCACACACAATGGAGAAACGTTGAAAGCCTTTCCTCTAAGATCAGAAGGAAGACAAGGCTGCCCCCATTCCCCCTTCTATTCAGCATAGCGCTGGGAGCTCTAGCCAGAGCACTGAGGCAAGAAAAAGCAATAAAAGGCATTCGTCTGGGAAAGGAAGAAGTGAAACCTTGTGATGACATAGGCTTCTATGTGGAAAGGCCTAAAGACTCCACCAAAAAACTTTCACAACTAATCAAGAAATGCATTAAATTTGCAGGATACAAAATCAACACCCAGAAGTCATAGCGATGCTATATTCCAAACAACAGACTATTTGAAAAGGAAATCAAACACCTTCCCAAGCTTGTTTAATCGTGACAAAGCGAACAGTCTTACCTCCGTTTGCTGAGGTAACAGAACTGACTGGATTTGTATCCAGGGGCTTTAAGCTTTTGTTTCCATGTTCTTAAAACTGGGATAACAACACAGTTGATATGTTCATCGCAGCCGAAGATTAAATGAGCCACTGCCTGGTGGCTGTCACTCCCTGAGTGCTCGGTAAAGGTCTGTTATCATCGCTTTTTATTATGTCATTTTCGTGGGTGCGGTTCCTAGAAAGATGCCACCTATTTAGGTATGGCTAAACAGGATGGTAAACCAAACTTCTTAACATGTGCTGTTTCATTCTCATCCATTTTACCCTTTTAAAAATGCTTTTTGAGACTGGCGTGGTGGCTGATGCCTGTAAACCCAGCACTTTGGGAGGTCTAGGCTGGTGGATCACTTCAGATCAGTAGTTCAAGACCACCCTAGCCAACAGGGCAAAACCCTGTCTCTACTAAAAATCCAAAATGTAGCTGGGTGTGGTAGCATGTGCCTGTAATTCTAGCTACTCAGGTGGCTGAGGTAGGAGAATCACTTGAACCCAGGAGCTGAAGGTTGCAGTGAGCTGAGATCACACCACTGCCCTCCAGCCTGGGTTCCATCTCAAAAAAATAAATAAGTAAAATAAAAATAAACATGCCTTTAGGATTGAAAAAGAGTTTATTCTAAGTTACATCAAAATCCTATATAAGAAGAGTACACAGGTTGAGTATCTGTTATCCAAAATGCTTGGGAAAGACGTGTCCCAGTGGGCGTGCCCGAACTCAGTCTCTAGATACTGCCTCTCGTTCAGAGGTCCCACCATCAGTTTTTCACGATAAACGTGTAACCTGTGAGCTTATCTAAAATCAGAGTTTAAGGCGGGTTGTATCTTTAACACACCACCGTTTTCTCTGAGATTTGCTTTGTTCTTACTTGTTTGAATTTTACCTTCTAAAGCTTCCGTGATATTGTGGGCTTTGACCTCCAAGACTTTGTCAAGTTCATCCTCTCCGTAGCCTCTGTTTTCCATTGTGGTTGTTAAATAAGATTCGGGACGACCCCCCTCACACTCTGTCTTCCCAAACAAATGGAGCCCTGGCTCCACCCGTGTCTCCGTCCCTGGGAATGTGACTGTGCACTCTGTTTTGCTCCCCACCCAGAGAAGGTGTCCCCAAGGCCTCTCCACCCATCCTCCGGAATGGCACCTGCCAACACTGCTGGGTCCTGTTGGATGCTGGGAAGGAGGATGGCTGGGAGCATAGCTCAGCTGTGAGATGATCTGTCTGGGGGGAAACCTGTAGAAATCCACGGCCTAGTAAAGTCACAGTGGGAGCTGGGGAAGACACACGGCAGCTGTGTGTCTGCGTCGGAGGCGCTCGGGTTGCTCTTGAAGTGTCCCGACTTGCTGTGCGCTGGCCGCAGGTGGAGTACATCTTCACAGACAAGACCGGCACCCTCACGGAGAACAACATGGAGTTCAAGGAGTGCTGCATCGAAGGCCACGTCTACGTGCCCCACGTCATCTGCAACGGGCAGGTCCTCCCAGACGCCTCAGGGATTGACATGATCGACTCGTCCCCCAGCGTCAGCGGGAGGGTAGGTTCAGCCCCCACACAGTCTGCCTGTGTGAGTGAGTGGGTGGGCGGCTGTGCATCCTGAGCCCACCCCCTTTCACTCGGGGGCCAAGAAAGTCCAAGTCCTCTCTGTGGACTGCAGTGGGAGGGAGGTCAGAAGGTGGGACATGTGGGAGTCCCATTAGATACTGGGGTGCTTGGTGATACTTGTGTTAGAATTGCTATGAAATCTATAGAAGCGGGGCAAACACGCATGCACCCAGACACCATGTGCACACACAGACACACCTGCACACACGCATGCACCCAGACACCATGTGCACACAGACACACCTGCACACACGCATGTACCTAGACACCATGTGCGCAGACACACCTGCACACATGCTCACACGCATGCACCCAGACACCATGTGCACACAGATACACCTGCACACACGCTCACACACATGCACCCAGATACCATGTGCACACAGATACACCTGCACACACGCTGACACACCTCACATGCATGCACCCAGACACCATGTGCGCAGACACACCTGCACAAACACTCACACGCAGACACACACACACTCTCACACATGGCCCGAGTGCTATGGCTCCAGATCTCAGCATCTCTGGGCAGGGTTGGAATCCCAGGCTGACACCATTCCTGAATTTCCCATTGTGGGGTGCAGAGCACTGTGGGGGAGCCAGGCAGCTGTGTTCCGTGGGTTGTGCAGTTGCACCTCTCCCCACCGAGGGCGCAGACCCTCTCTCACTGCGCCCCAGCTGGTGGCAGAAGAGTAACCACCATTTTATCACAAGGCTCAGGGCAGTGGGAGTGGGTGTGTCTGTGCCTGTGCCTGTTCCGAGGCTCCCGCCCCCATACCGTGGCGCTCCGCTGGGTACACGGAATGTGATGGAGCCCTTCCCAGAGCTTTGCCATGGTGCTTCCCAACCGTGGTTTCACATGAGAATCTGGAGTCTTGGAGCTCCCAAAGAATGCAGCGTGAAGCCAAGGGGAGAAAGCCGCACTTGGGGCAGCCTCGGGGATGTGGTCCCAGTCCGCTGTGGCCTTGAGTGCCTCACTTTACCTTCCTGAACTTCGATTCTGCAGCTGCAGGTGCAGGATAATAGCTCCCGCTTCGTAGGGGGTTTTAGGGTTGGTGTCAGTGTGTGAATTAACAGCAGGCACTCCATAGGTCACGTCTGGTCTAACACGCGCAGGCGCCGGGGTGGAGGCACAGCCAGGGTCCAGGGTGTTTGTGAACGTCTGTGTTCGCTGCACCGTGTGACTCAGTCTCCCTTCCTTCATGCTTAGTGGTTGCTTGTCATTTCTGAGTGCACTGGAAGCCATGCCTCTGTGGTTTCTAAAAGTATCACTGCTGAGTAACACACCCCCATTTCATGGCTGCCTTCACGGCTGCACTGAAAACCCCTCACCTCCCGCAAGCTGCCCTCACAGCTCCGGAGTTCCCTTGGGTTTTCGGTCTGCACCTGCTTCCCTCCATCTTCAGTGGATGCACCATGATTTGGGGGTTCTGGGAACTGCTTTTTCATAGGAGCGTGAGGAGCTGTTTTTCCGGGCCCTCTGTCTCTGCCACACGGTCCAGGTGAAAGACGATGACAACGTGGATGGCCCCAGGAAGTCGCCAGACGGGGGGAAATCCTGTGTGTACATCTCATCCTCACCCGATGAGGTGGCGCTGGTCGAAGGTGTCCAGAGGTGGGTCGCTGGCGAGGCCTGCCTGGGTCTCCTGATGTGACTCAACCCCACTGCAGTCCCACTCAGGGAGTTGCACCTGGAGGCATCCTCAGCCCCGCCCCGTGCCCTCCACACACACCCCAGGTTCTCTGGGTCCCATCCCTGCATGAGCCCCTCCCACCGTGATGAGCAATATCTAGTCCCCGGCGTGGGTCTTCATCTCTGTTTTCATGGGTGGCTTTTCCTCCTGAGGTCTGCAGTAAGTTAGAGGTCATTCCAGATAACCACAGGCTTCGAAATATGGAAACAATCCTTCTTCTAACACAAATCTCCCTCCTGCATCTCAGAAAACTGAAGCCCAGATAGCCAGCGGCCTTCCCAGAGCCAGCCTGGTGGGAGCAGAGCGGGGCAGGTGCAGGGCCTCTCACCACCCACCCTTTAAGCAAACACTTGGAAAAATACTTTAAATGTTATTGATATGTGGTCTAATTTCAAGTCAGGAAAGCCCTTTTCAAATCTACCCAGCTCATGGCTTCTGTAACACTAAACCTCCCCTCCCCAAAAGTGACAAAGGGACAGATTATCACTGCCTTCAGGGACCAAGCGTGGTGAGAGTGACATGTTTGCGCTTCTCATCCATCACAGCCCACAGCGCACAGCCCACGGCCCATGGCCCACAGCCCACGGCCCCATGTTTGTTGCTGCTGAGCTCATGCATGTGTTTCCTCATGCAATGTGAATAGCAGCACAGACATGTAAACAGTGTCACTGGGGCGCTTCATTCCGTGTGTGAACCCACAGGAGCATAGGGGAGGCTCCTTGGAGCTGGGGTTCTCTCTTCTGGGAAAACAAGAGCCCGGGAATGCCACCACATTCATCCCAGGTGTCAGAAGTCAGGGCAGCTGCCCCCACCCCCCACCTCCCCCAGGTGTCAGAACTCAGGGCAGCTGTCCCCCCACCCCCCACTTCCCCCAGGGGTCAGAACTCAGGGCAGCTGCCCGCGCCCTCCCACACCTTTGAGACTCCTCCCTGCCCAGAAGCTTTTCCTCCAGCTGCAGCTGCCACCTGAGCTGGCCAGAGGCTTCCACTCCCGTTCCTCAGGTGCCACTTAGCTTACGGCCGCTGCTGCGCTAAGAAGCACATCTGTCTCCCCGGTCTCTGCTGGCTGCCACATCCCGAAGCCATGCTCTTGCCTCTGCTGTCCCAGCAGCTCCCACAAGGCCCTGAAGGCCTGCACTGGGCCTCGGTTCCCCATCGGTGACTCCAGGGGCTTGGTCTAGGGGTAGCAGCCTCCCAGGGACCTGCTCCCTTTGCCCTTGGGGGTGTTTCCTGCTCAATCACAACAACAAAGCCCACTAATCAATGAGCAGGGAGCAGCCACCACTCTCTTCTGGAGAACAGTTAATACCAACAAGAATGTGCCTCACCGTGGCGTGCTGGGGACGGCTGGGTCGGGGAGAAACGCTGCTACTCCCAGAAGATTTCTCGAGATGGTGACTAAGTTCATTATGATCATATCCCAACTTTATAATGCAGTTCATAGTCTGTTTAACAAAATATTTCTTTTCTGAAAAGAATGTTTTACCAAAATGTGAAGCAGATACTCTGCGAAAGAGGAACATCAGACTCTCAGACTCACCCTGAGCCTTGCCCTCTCATTGCAGACTTGGCTTTACATACCTGAGGCTAAAGGACAATTACATGGAGATCCTGAACAGGGACAACGACGTGGAAAGGTACATGCACCCGCCCTCAGGTGTGAAGGGACTGGAGAGTGAAGAAGTGTCGTTACACGGTTCGGCTTTTCGGGGAAAAGACAGATTTTCTATGTTCTCACACAATTCGCTCCCTCTCCTTCCCAGTGACAGCGCAGAATGTTCTGGAGAAGGGCTGGGGTGCAGCCGCAGGGCCGCTTCCCCTGGAGGGTTTCCCTGGAGATGTAACCTGGAGTTGAGTGAAGAGAAGGTCACCGGCAAATGCGTTTTGGGTTAACCCTAAAGTGAGGTTTTGCGCAGGATGTTTCAGGCGTCTAGTGTGTTCTGACCTGTCCCGGCCCCTCCGCCTCCACGAGGGAAGGGAGCGGCAGCCGCCCCGGGATGGCCGTGAGTCCCGCGGGGAGGACCCTGGCTTGCATGCTGGGAGCACGGCCTCCTGTGGAACACAGTTTGCACAGTTGCGCTTTTCAATGGCCCGTTTGATGCTGGATTGTTTTACTTTTCATGTCTTTAAAACCCTTCCCGTTTTTAGGGACTGTCTCTGTCTCAGACAGTCCCTATACCTGAGACAAGGGACCCCTCTTGAGATCTACTCAGGAGAGTGGGTGGTGGTGCCTCCTTTATCAGTAAAGCATGAATGTGCAGTCACGGCTCCAGCAAAGACGCAAGATCTGGTGGTGCCAGACTCAGAACGCCTGGATTTTAAAATTCCATTCTTAGGGAAAGTTAACTCCCGGTGGAAGGGAAAGGACAGACCCCTTGATTCTGCAGCGGCTCCTGGACCCTCTGCTGGCACCAGCTGCGCCTTCCTCACAGTGCCCTAGGCTTCCTGGGGGCCACGACTCACTGCTGTTGAGGCTCCAGATTTGCAGCCGTGGAGGCGGTGAGGTCATGGCCAAGATGAGAGCCCCCGTCAGGGCTCTCTGCCAAGGGACCCCTGGCTCCGAACTGTGCTGGCACCATGGCTTCCCACTGAGTCCGAGGCCCTTAGGAGGCTAAGGGGCAGCAGCGGGGGCTGCTGAGCACTTCTGATGCCCCAGACGCCACACAGATTTTACGAGTCTTCCGATAGCAGGACAGCACCACCCAGAGCATCAGTGTCCTTTGCCTTTTCTGTGGTTTTTATCTCTTAGGGCAACCCTGGCTCATTGGCAGAGATCCAAGCTCTGACACAATTTTGAGTCTCTGTTCAGCAGCATTTAGGGATGGAGGTGGAGCATAGGAAACGCAGCCTGCGTGGCAGAATCTGAGCCCGTTACCTGGATTGGGTGGGGATGTGGTGAGGAGCCAGTGCTACAGGTGCCACAGGGTCCAGACTTGTCCCGCCGGGGGCACCTGCCGCGTCCTTCAAATCCAGTCCTCTCCAGGGTGTCCGTGTGAGGCCACTCCTCATCCAGCGGCCCTCAGTGTGTCCCCCGAGGAAGGGCCAGGTCTGCCCCCATCATTCTGCCAAGGAAGTTCCATAGCTGCCAAACGGAATTGCGTGAGGACCCACGAGGACCGTGTGACCGTCTGCATTTCTCTTTCAGGTTTGAATTGCTAGAAATTTTGAGTTTTGACTCAGTAAGAAGGAGAATGAGCGTCATTGTGAAATCTGCTGAAGGTGAAATTCCTTTTTCTCTTGATTTATTAAACTGTATGTGGCGATGGTGTTTTATTCTGATGACTGAATTCAATAGGAGCTTTAAGGATTTAGAGTTTAAGAATGATTTGTTTATTTTTTTAAGTATGGATAAACCCTAATATTTTATTTTTAAAAAGTGAAACATTTTGAAATGCTGAGGAGGGAGCCGTGGGCTCAGCACCCAGCCCCTTTCCCTGTCTCTTCTAGTGTTGAGCTGGGGCCACTTGACTGCTGAAAATGGCTGAACTCCCTTTATGAGTGTTCCCCTGCCCATCCCCCGCCGCCTTTCTCCCTGCTGAATTAAATGACATAAATATGTTTTTAACCATTTTCAAGGAAAAGGTAATGTGGGTTTGCAAATATATTCGTAATAATGTCCAAAATTGCAAAGTGAGCTTTGTTGATTGGCAGTTGTGGTAACCGTGTGTCGGCTTGTGCTCCGGAGCGCTGGGATGAGCAGTGGCGGGTGTGGTCAGAGCCCTGTAGCCGCTGTGATTTTCTGGCTGACCCGCACAGTGGGCACTCTCCTGGTCCCCCTAGTGATCTGTGGCTGTCCCTGGCCCGGACAGTTCCCGCTCCAGGCCGGGTGGACGCATCTGTGGTCCCCTGACCTCCCTGCTCCAAGCTCTCCCAGGCACTGTGCGTCCCTGTGCACAGATGGACAACCTCGTCTCTTCCCACCCTCACTAGGTCACACACGGCACCTGGCACAGGCTGTGAGTCACTGAACCCTGCAGCCCCTCAGCGTCCTGCCGACCGTGCCGAGGCTCAAAGGTGCAGGCCCCCTGGCTATTTGTCCTGGACCGGCAGGGCCCATGGGCTCCATCTGCAGGGGCCCCTTTTCACAGCCATCACTTCCTAAGAGCACCCACCCACTGGCGCTCAGCTTCTCCCAATGTCCCCTCTGAGGCTGTCACCCACCTTCACTGCCAGGCTGTCCCCAAGTGTCCCCTGAGGGCACACTGACAGCCCCTCACCCACCCCACCGTGGTGTCGATCCCCGTGCCTGCTGTGGGCTTCCCCATAGGAAGGGCCTTTCACTTATCTGTCCTTCCCATGGAAAGCTCAGGAAGCCTCTTGCAGCCTCAGCCGAACAGCCGTGTGCAGGCTGTCGCACCGTGGCAGGGCTGTCCATCCATCTGTGGCCGCTGGCAGCCTGCACGTATCCCAAACGCAGAACCCACACTTTTCAGGGCACCACGCTCATGTCACACCACTCTCTGCCGAGTGCTCCTGAATCCTGTGCCATTCGGGGCACTCCATGCAGTCTGGGAGTGGGGCTTTATCAAGAGATGTGGGAGCTCACTCCATGGTTTCCTGAAACCAGACACCCCCAGGCTGTGTTTAACTCTTCAGAAGGATGCCTGGCAACAACCAAACAGCCACTCGCAGAACCAGACAGAGTCCAGGCTGCAGAGCCTCATGCCAGCGTTTCCCCAAGACGTGCTGAGTTTCATTGTAACACAGAATAGACAGAGCAGGGCCTTCCTCAGTGCCAGGGGCACCTTTCAGACCAGGACCACGGCGCCTCACTTTCTCTCTACGACCCAGAAGGAGCTGCAGGGGAACTCAGTGTGACTCTCGGTGGCACCCTGTGAGTCATGGCAGCTCCGGGGTGGGTGGGCAGCAGCCTCAGGTGGGTGCCGTGGCTGCCCTAGGGCGCAGCCGCCACCTCCCATTGGTTCCCTAGACACAGTCCCACTGCAAGCCAGCGTCACCTCTGAGACAGGCCATTGAATGCAGATGAGTCCAGGCTCCACACTGAGACATCGCTGACTGTCGTGGAACAAGGAACAATCTGTGTAAATGTTGCCGGGACTTCCGGGAAGAGCTTCTGACGACCAGGCCATGGGATCAGCAGGACGAGGTCTGAGAACAGGTTCAGATGTGCAAGACTGCTGTGTGCAGGAGGCCCTTCCCCCAGCTGGGACGAGGCGCGGTCCTGAGAGTCTCAGCCACTTGGAGTTATCTGGGATCAGCACGTCCTGGGTGGGAAGTTCCTGGTGTATCTCGTCATGTGGTCTTCCCTATAGAAGTCCAATCTAGCTGTTGAGCCATGGCTAGAACATGCTGCCCATGACCTGCAGTTTGACCACAGTGCCCAGGAAGGCGAACGTCAGCCACCCCGGAGCTGCCCCTGCCACACGCTCACAAAGGGTCTTCCCTGCGTCCCAAATGCCCAGGACCTCAGGGCTCACATGGTGGGCTGTGCTGCAGAACTCTTGTAAATAACTCCCGTTACCATCAAAAGCCTGAAGAGCTGCCAGATCACACGAAGAATCAAGGTTGGAGGCATTTGCGCCATGAGAATCTCCCCATCCACACAGGGTGCCTCTGGACCTCCTAGGGCCTCTCCAAGGAACTGTGAGCTTGCACAGGAGACTGTCCTGCTGTCTGAAGCCAGGTGCTGCCTCAGCTACTTTTAAGAGATGTTTGAATAGTTAATTAACAAGCTACTCTCTGAGTAGTGATCATCCCAGGAGAGGCGCACTAATTACACTGGAATTCTGCCTTCTGGGCTGAGAGACCCTGTGGCCACCTCACAGCAGCTCACAGCTCACACCTCACAGCTCACACCTCACAGCTCACACCTCACCGCTCACAGCTCGCAGCTCACACCTCACCGCTTACCCCTCACCGCTCACAGCTCACACCTCACAGCTCACACCTCACAGCTCACCGCTCAGCCCTCACAGCTCACCCCTCACAGCTCACAGCTTACTCCTCACACCTCACAGCTCAACCCTCACAGCTCAGCCCTCACAGCTCACACCTCACAGCTCACAGCTCACAGCTCACACCTCACCCCTCACAGCTCACACCTCACAGCTCACACTTCACAGCTCACAGCTCACACCTTACAGCTCACAGCTCAGCCCTCACACCTCACAGCTCACAGCTCACCCCTCACAGCTCACACCTCATGCCTCACAGCTCACAGCTCAGCCCTCACAGCTCACAGCTCACACCTCAAACCTCACAGCTCACACCTCACAGCTCACAGATCATACCTCACACCTCACAGCTCAGCTCACACCTCACAGCTCACACCTCACTGCTCACACTTCACTGCTCACAGCTCACACCTCACAGCTCACCCCTCACACCTCACACCTTACACCTCACTGCTCACAACTCACCCCTCACACCTCACAGCTCACAGCTCACTCCTCACAGCTCACACCTCACTGCTCACACCTTACACCTCACTGCTCACACCTCACAGCTCACACCTCACAGCTTACACCTCACTTCTCACAGCTCACATCTCACAGCTCACACCTCACACCTCACAGCTTACACCTCACTTCTCACAGCTCACATTCTCACAGCTCACACCTCACACCTCACAGCTCACACATCACTTCTCACAGCTCACATCTCACAGCTCACCCCTCACACCTCACACCTCACTGCTCACACCTCACAGCTCACACATCACACCTCACCGCTCACAGCTCATACCTCACACCTCACAGCTCACAGCTCACCGCTTGTGTTTTCTCCTGGGCTCAGCCCTGCAGGGCATGCAGCCACTGGAGCCCTATATCACCATCATGGGGCCCAGCAGCCCCAGTAGGGGCCAGCTATGACTTCAGTAAGACCCCCTTTCAGATGTCTGTATCTCAATCCTGTGCTTTCCCGGGATTCTTCACCACGGAATCTTCAGAAAGGACTTGGGAAGTCACAGGCCACTCGGTGGCATCAGGCATTCCGTTTGAAGGGAGACATGAAGTCTTTCTCTTTGGGGCATCCTGCACCCAAGGTAAGATGTACACAGTGTACAGAAGGCCGACTTGGAAAGAAGAAAGAGAGGGCACAAAAGCATTATTCATCCATACAAAAGAAAAGCAAGCAGAAGGGATGAAACAGAAGAAGGAGAGTCCCGACTGTGCCCGCTCCTGGAGCTCCTGGAGCCGCTTCCTTGACGCCCTGTTTTCCAGCTGTTTCGGGCACATTTGCTGTCATGCCTGGCTTTCTGTGTCCTTGAGCTCGTGTGTGAGACACAGCAAGAGACCTCCCGCCATGAGCTCAAACTGTGGTTCTGTAGCCCTTTCCCTTCTCCAGATGGCACTAAGCCCTTCTTGGTCCTGGAGGGGACAGGCCACCAACCACGGCCGCACCTGGGATGCAGCCACCCGCCTTGGGGACCGGACCCTGTGCGTTCGGTCACGGCACCAGTGTGCGCACAGCTCTGCGTTAGGAACCACGTGCTTAGTTGTGAAACTGGAAGAGCAGGTGCCAACATGGCCTTCTGATGCTCTGTCCTCTGAGTATGTTTATTCCAAGGCTATTCCTGACCAAGTCTTCAGGCTGCAGGTGTTCTGTGTCTTACAGCGGAATGCACAAGCTGAGACAGTGGGAAAGTTAAGCCATTCACACACCGTTAGCATGAGCCGTGAGCGATGAAACATGAATTTTCTAGTAAAAAATGTGTGGTTCAAGAATGCGTCATTATGTCGTCTGCACTGCAGTTCTCTCTTTAAACTGCATCTGATGACAAGACAGCACTGGCCGGAAGCCGCAGGAGTCGGGAAAGGATTCCGACATCGGCTGGGCGGCTTCACCCCCAGGCCTTGCTTTTCTGTGCTGAGCAACTGAGACTCTGTGGTCACCCCTGTGCAGTTCTGCAGGGGTCCTCAGGGTCCAACTCCCAGTGTCAGCCTGCTCCCTCTCCTGTCCCCACCATCCCCACCTGCCCACTCTCCGTCCCCTCCAGCCTCAGCCTCCCTCCTCTCCCATGCCCTCCAACCTCAGCCTCCTCCCTCTCCCATGCCCTCCAGCCTCAGCCTCCCCCCCTCCCACGCCCTCCAGCCTCAGCCTCCCCCATCCCATGCCCTCCAACCTCAGCCTCCCCCCCCACGCCCTCCAGCCTCAGCCTCCCCCCCATGCCCTCCAAACTCAACCTCCCCCCATCCCACGCCCACCAACCTCAGCCTCCCCCCATGCCCTCCAGCCTCAGCCTCCCACCTCCCATGCCCTCCAGCCTCAGCCTCCCCCCGTCCTATGCCCTCCAGCCTCAGCCTCCCCCCTCCCATGCCTCCAGCCTCAGCTCTCTCCTCTCCCATGCCCTCCAGCCTCAGCCTCCCCCCTCTCCCATGCCTCCAGCCTCAGCTCCCTCCTCTCCCATGCCCTCCAGCCTCAGCCTCCCCCCTCTTCCATGCCTCCAGCCTCAGCCTCCCCCCTCTCCCATGCCTCCAGCCTCAGCTCCCTCCTCTCCCATGCCTTCCCGCCTTTGCTTGGTGCTGGCTTGCTCTGGGTATTGGCCACACCGTGTCACCCTCTCTGGTTGCAGGTTGGCAGGTACCTCGGCCACACGAGTGTTGGTGTAGCCATGTTCCCACTGCTCCCCTGTTGGTGCCTCAGGAGTGAGTGCTCCTGGGATCTGGGAAGGAAGGCAAGGTGGGCCCCTGATCCTACTCCCAAGTCCTTGTCCAAGCTCCAGGCCTTGGATCTGGGTCATCAGCACAGGAGCATCCCCTCCCCACGTCCCTCCCACCACACACCCTGTGTGTGTGTGTGTGTGTGTGTGTGTGTGTGTGTGTGTCAGGGGCTGTATGTGGGGGATAGAGGGCTCTGTGTGTGTGTCGGGGACTCTGTGTGTATGTGTGTGTGTCAGGGGCTGTATGTGGGGGATAGAGGGCTCTGTGTGTGTGTCGGGGACTCTGTGTGTGTGTGTGTGTGTCAGGGGCTGTATGTGGGGGATAGAGGGCTCTGTGTGTGTGTCGGGGACTGTGTGTGTGTGTGTGTATGTGTGTGTGTCAGGGGCTGTATGTGGGGGATAGAAGGCTCTGTGTGTGTGTCAGGGACTGTGTGTGTGTGTGTCAGGGGCTGTATGTGGGGGATAGAGGGCTCTGTGTGTGTCAGGGACTCTGTGTGTGTGTGTCGGGCTCTGTGTGTCAGGGACTCTGTGTGTGTGTGTCAGGGGCTGTATGTGGGGGATAGAGGGCTCTGTGTGTGTCAGGGACTGTGTGTGTGTGTGTGTGTGTGTCGGGCTCTGTGTGGGGGGATAGAGGGCTCTGTGTGTCAGAGACTCTGTGTGTGTGTGTGTGTCGGGCTCTGTGTGTGGGGGGATAGAGGGCTGTGTGTGTTGGGGCTCTGTCAGGGGCTCTGTGTATGTGTGTGGGGGGGTGTGTAGAGGGCTCTGTGTGTGTGTGTGTGTGGGTAGAAGGCTCTGTGTGTGTGTGTCAGGGACTCGGGGGGTGTGTGTGTGCATGCACGTGTGTGTGTGTGTGTGTGTGTTGGGGGCTCTGTGGGGGGGGGGCAGGTCAAATCGCTGCAGAACTGTGGTGGCCTTTGCTGCGTTCCTGGGCGCCTGGAAGAGAAACTCGCTTTATCTGAGGCCTGAAGACGCTGCATTCACAGCACAAGTCCGTCCACAGCAACGGCAACCTTACTGGAGACGTGGGGAAAATGAGGCAAACAGCATTTCCCTTGACTCTTCCAAGTGCCAGGGGTGGCCTGGCTGCCTTGCTCTGCATGAGGACACACGACTTTCTGAAGGGGATTTGTGTCCACCTTCCAGCATTTCAGGAACAGTGACCCCCCTGGGTCACCCAGCCCCCATCCCAAGAGTGTTTTATCCTCTTTCGTGTCTTTCCCAGAGAAAAAGCAGAGTCCCGGAGCCAAGTTCTTTTCCTGGTTCCTGACTTTCCTGCGAGATTCTAGGGTTGTAGGAATAAAATGAGTCTTTGGAGGTAACCTGTAGTTTTCATTTTTTCCTGACTGGAACATGTTAACTAGTCCATTAAAATCTAAAAAGTTCTCCGCACTGCTTTCCCTTTTTATGTGTATTTTATTAATAGCATAATTTAAAAAATGATCTAGTCTTCCTCATATTGGGATTAAACTGCTTGTTTTTCTCATTTTGTAGGAGACATTTATCTGTTTTGCAAAGGAGCAGATTCTTCTATATTCCCCCGAGTGATAGAAGGCAAAGTTGACCAGATACGAGCCAGAGTGGAGCGGAATGCTGTGGTGAGAGCAGGTGGAGGGGGGAGGCAGGTGGCAGCAGTGGTGAGAGCAGGTGGGGGGAGGGTGTGGCAGCTGTGGTGAGAGCAGGTGGAGGGGGGAGGACCTGGCAGCAGGCGTGAGAGCAGGTGGGGGGAGGGTGTGGCAGCTGTGGTGAGAGCAGGTGGAGGGGGGAGGACCTGGCAGCAGGCGTGAGAGCAGGTGGGGGGAGGGTGTGGCAGCTGTGGTGAGAGCAGGTGGAGGGGGGAGGACCTGGCAGCGGGCGTGAGAGCAGGTGTGGGGAGGGTGTGGCAGCAGTGGTAAGTGTGGGTGGGGGGTAGGGAGAGGCCCTCTCAGTGGTGGTGAGATCCTGGCTGGTGAGTGCCTCAAATTGGTGGTGAGAGCAGGTGGGGGAAGGCCTGGCAGCGGTGCTGTGAGCAGGCTGGCACTGCAGTGGTGAGAGCGGGTGGGGGAGGGCCTGGCAGCAGTGCTGTGAGCAGGCTGGCACTGCAGTGGTGAGAGCAGGTGGGGGGAGGGCCTGGCAGCAGTGCTGTGAGCAGGCTGGCACTGCAGTGGTGAGAGCAGGTGGGGGGAGGGCCTGGCAGCGGTGCTGTGAGCGGGCTGGCACTGCAGTGGTGAGAGCGGGCTAGGGGGGGCCTGGCAGCGGTGCTGTGAGCGGGCTGGCACTGCAGTGGTGAGAGCGGGCTGGGGGGGCCTGGCAGCGAAGTGGTGAGAGCGGCTGGGGGGGGCCTGGCAGCGGTGCTGTGAGCGGGCTGGCACTGCAGTGGTGAGAGCGGGCTAGGGGGGGCCTGGCAGTGGTGCTGTGAGTGGGCTGGCACTGCAGTGGTGAGAGCAGGTGGGGGGAGGGCCTGGCAGCGGTGCTGTGAGCGGGCTGGCACTGCAGTGGTGAGAGCAGGTGGGGGGAGGGCCTGGCAGCGGTGCTGTGAGCGGGCTGGCACTGCAGTGGTGAGAGCAGGCTAGGGAGGGCCTGGCAGCAGTGCTGTGAGCGGGCTGGCACTGCAGTGGTGAGAGCGGGCTATGGGGCACCTGGCAGTGCTCACCTCCCCAGTAGTCAGGAAGGAATTCCACATTCCACAAATCCCCTGCCAGTAATGTCCTGTCGTATCCCCTGGGGAATGTTCAGAAATCTGCTGGGCCAGAGGCAGGCAGAATGGGCACCTCTGCAGACTCTGCCCCAGGGCCTCCTGTACCCAGCCAGGCACAGGCCTCTCCTCCATGGCCTTGCACAGGGCTTTATTTTGGGGTGGGGGTAGGTTGGTTGCTTGGTGTTTTGGGGAGTCAGAATTATAAGCACATTTGAGGTTATCGTATTGGAGAAAAAGGTCTTTGTCTTGACCTTTTTTAGTAATTTGCTTCAAAACAAATCAGGCTTTCATTTTCTGTTGTGACGTCACCTGTTCGCGTTTCTTTCCCCATCTGGGTCTCAGGCCTGCACGACAAGCTTCCTTCCATGACTTCTTAAATAGCACTGCCCAGCGGTGAGATTTAGTAGGAATTTTAGGTTGGGCTTTTTCATTCCTACAGAAAACGCCACTGGGGGCCAGGTACCCTTGCTCATGCTTGAGATTCCAGCACTTTGGGGGACTGAGGCTGAAGGATCACTTGAGGCCAGAAGTTTGAGACCAGCCTGGGAAACATAGCAAGACCCTGTCTCTACAAAAAAATACAAAAAGAAAGGGAGGATAATGGAAGGATGGCTTGAGCACAGAAGTTTAAAGCAGCAGTGAACCATGATGGCACCACTACACTCTACCACGGGCACCTGAGTGAGAAAGGGAGGGAGGGCAGGAGGGAGGAGCCACTCAGATGTTGATAGGGATTTCATTTAATCAGCAGATCACTTTGGGTAGTGTCACCTTAACAACATTAAGTCTTCCAATCCATGAACATAGGATCTCTTCCCATTTATTTAGGTCTTTTTATAATTTCTTTCAGCAAACTTCAGTATTTTTCAGACTTGAGTATTTCACCTCCTTGGCTAAATTTGTTCCTAAGTATTTTACTCTTGTTGATGCTATTATGAGTGCAATTTTTGGAATTTCATGTTGTTCATTGGTAGTATATGCCACTAGTTCTTGTGTGTTGACTTTGTACCCTGCGTCTTTGCTGAATTCAGTTAGCTCTGATGGTTTGGCGGTGGGGGCACATTCTTCATGGTCTTCTAGATGTAGCATCATGCCTTCTGCAAATAGAGAAGCCTTAGAAAGGCGGCATTTCTAATGTAGAAACTTTCTCTTTGCAGCCCTATCCTCTGACTAGAACTTCTAATACTGTGTTGAATACAAGTGGCAGAAGCAGGCATCCCTTTCTTGGCACTGATCCTAGGGAAAAGTCAGTCTTCCACCATTGAGGGTGATGTTAGCTATAGGCTTTCTCTCTTTCTCTTTCTTTCTTTCTTTCGTTCGTTCGTTCTTTCTTTTTTTTTCTTTCTTTCTTTCTTTCTTTCTTCTTTCTTTCTTTCTTTCTTTCTTTCTTTCCTTTCTTCTTTCTCTTTCTTTCTCTCTCTCTCTTTCTTCTTTCTTTCTTTCTTGTTTCACTCTTGTTACCCAGGCTGGAATGCAATGGCATGATCTCAGCTCACTGCAACCTCTGCCTTCTGGGTTCAAGCAGTTCTCTTGCTTCAGCCTCCCAAGTAGCTGTGATTACAGTCACATGCCACCATGCCTGGCTGATATTTGTATTTTTAGTAGAGGTGGGGTTTTACCATGTTGGCCAGGCTGGTCTTAAATTCCTGACCTAAGGTGATCCACCCACCTCCCAAACCTCTGGGATTGCAGGCCTGAGCCGTGCCTGACTAGGTTATGGTTTTCATTTCATTAAGGAGGTTTCTTCTCTCCCCAGCTTGTTAAGTGGTTTTATTGCCAAAAGGTGCTGGATTTTTTTCAAATGCCTTTTCTGCATCAGTTGGGGTGATCATGTGGGATTTCCCCCTTCTGTTAATGTCATGTATTGCTCACTTTTGCATTCCTGGAATAAACCCCACCTGGTCGTGGTGTGTGATCCTTTCTGTGTGCCATTGGATTCAGTGTGCTAGCATTTTGTTGAGGGTATTTGCATCTACCTTTCTAAGGGATACTGTTCTGCAGTTTTCTTGTCTGGCTTTATGTGCTGTGTCCAGGGTTTTTGTGGTACTTAGCAAGAGGAATAGAGAAAAGTGTATCTTTTTTCTTTTCTTTTTTTTGAGACTGAGTCTTTCTGTTGCCCAGGCTGGAGTGCAGTGGCGTGATCTTGGCTCACTGCAGCCTCCACCTGCTGGGTTCAAACAATTCTCCTGCCTCAGCCTCTCGAGTAGCTGCAACTATAGGTGTGCACCACAATACCCAGATAATTTTTGTATTTTTAGTAGAGATGGGATTTCACCATGTTAGCCAGGATGGTCTCGATCTCCTGACCTCGTGATCCACCTGCCTCAGTCTCCCAAAGTGCTGGGATTACAGGCACGAAAATTGTTTCTACTCCGTGTTACCACAAGAGAAAGTCCTTGATCTACTTTTAAAATAGTAACATACTTATTTCCAAAAGCTTCTGCTTATCATTCACAGCCACCGAAGTTCTAGGGCCACTCTGGGTTATTATCCTTTAAAACCATGTTCTTGTCATGCAGTTTTCCTGGCTTCAGACTGAAGCCAGAAAACATACAATGAAACCCACCTTGTCTATTTTACTGCCTCTGAGGAAAAGTCGGAGAATTCATTTTGCAATTCACATTTGTGTCTCTAGTCTGTAACCTGATCGACAGGTACACAAAGGTCTAATTTCACCACTTCTTTACTCAGCAAAAAGTTACTGTGTTTTGGCTGTGCACTAGGGATTCAGTGATAAAGTGACACTGCACCCACGGCCAGAGAACTCAGCGCCTGACAATAGAGCAAACCCACCAGCAGAAAGCTGCAGGGTCGTGTGCTCAGCAGGAGGCGAGGCTGGGGCGGCTGGGCAGTGTCCGCTCAGTGCTGCTTTCCCCTGGGACGGGTCCCTTGGCTTCTCACTTGTTCTTCTTGACTGGGAACCAGTATCTACAGGATGAGGAGGAAGGATTTCCGAAAGGTCCCTGGAGAACGGGACTCAGGCACACACAGACCCTCCCACTTCTTCGACACCCCTTTTCCCTTCTGGCTTTTTCAAGTTCAAGGGCCAGGAGAGTCACTGACCCAGTGGCAATTCTGTCCTTCACGTGAATTAAGAGGTCTGAGAACTGGTGATGAATGTAAGCCTTCCCTGAGAACTAGGAGACACTTCATCTCATACGATGAAATGCATTATTTTTCACTCTTAAAAACCGGTATTCTCCCAGATTGTGAAATGATAATTTGGGAGAATTATGGTTCTTTTACTATTATCAGTAGGGCTGGGGCTGAAGGAGCAGGGAAAATGGAAGGGAACACCCTAGATCATCAGCTGAACCTTGTGACAGTCAGGCTTAGCAGCCTCGACTGATGGGGTGAAGAGATTCATCTGTAAACCACCCTGTGTGGCTGCTGCAGCCTCTGCCCCACTTCCTGTGTCTTGCTGGTGGCAGCTGCATTTTTTCTATACGGTGACCTCCGGAATCAGGATCACAGTCAGGAGCTTGTGATTCTTAACTGGCCACCAGTGATTTTGATAAGTAACCTGGCAGTTTTCCTTCATTGTGAAAGAACAAGCTACCTCACATACTTCCCACATAAAACATGTTTCTTTAGAAACATCACTTGATATTACCCATGAAATTATAAATGATTTTCCTTAAAAGAAGGTTACATTTAACTCTGCATTTGTCAAAATGAAGGAGCAAAGTTTACCTTCTGGTAGATGGTCCTAGTTTCTATTGTTTGTTTCTAGGCTTTCTAGTCTGAAAATGCTGCGATCCATGATGATTCTTTCTGTCTCACATGGACTTGAATAATTCACTTGTTCATAAGTTAGTCCTTGTGAGAGTTGGTTGTGCTCGCTCTTCCTTCCTTCCTTCCTCCCTCCCTCCCTCCCTTCCTTCTTTCCTTCCTCCCTCCCTCCCTCCCTTCCTTCTTTCCTTCCTCCCTCCCTCCCTCCCTCCTTCCTTCCTCCCTTCCTCCCTCCTCCCTCCCTTCTTCCTTCCTTCCTTCCTTCCTCCCGCCCTCCCTCCGTCCTCCCTCCCTCCCTCCCTCCTTACCTCCTTCCTTCCTTCCTCCCTCCCTCTCTCCCTCCTTCCCTCCCTCCCTCCCTTCCTTCTTTCCTTCCTTCCTTCCTCCCTCCCTCCCTCCTTCGTTCCTCCCTTCCTCCTTCCCTCCCTTCTTCTTTCCTTCCTTTCTTCCTTCCTTCCTCCCTCCTTCCTCCCTTCCTCCCTCCCTCCCTCCTTCCTTCCTCCCTCCTTCCTCCCTTCCTTCCTCCCTCCCTCCTCCCTTCCTCCTCCCTCCTCCCTTCCTCCCTCCCTCCTTCCTCCCTTCCTCCCTCCTCCCTTCCTCCCTCCCTCCCTCCATCCCTTCTTCCTTCCTCCCTTCCTCCCTCCTTCCTTACCTTCCTCCCTCCCTTCTTCCTTCCTTCCTACCTTCCTTCCTCCCTCCCTCCTTCCTTCCTCCCTCCCTCCTTCCTTCCCTCCCTCCTTTCCTTCTTCCCTCCCTCCCTTCTTCCTTCCTTCCTTCCTTCTTCCCTCCCTCCCTTCCTTCCTCCCTCCCTCCCTCCCACTCTCCCTTCCCTCCCTTCCTCCTTCCTTCCTTCCTTCTTCCCTCCCCTCCCTCCCTCCTTCCCCCCTTCCTTCCTTCTTCCCTTCTTCCCTTCTTCCCTCCCTCCCTCCCACTCTCCCTTCCCTCACCACCTCCCTACCTCACTCCTTCCTTCCTTCCTTCCTTTATTTCTTTCTTTTTTCTTTTCCTTAGTATCATACGTTTTGAAAGGGTTGTAATTCTTGGGTAGGTCATTCTAATTAGCAAGAAGGCCGTGGAGCCTCATATTTCACTGAGTGACACCTTGAATTCGTGTCAACACTGCATCGTCTTCTGCAGGAGGGGCTCCGGACTCTGTGCGTGGCCTATAAAAGGCTGATCCCAGAAGAGTATGAAGGCATCTGCCAACTGCTGCAGGCTGCCAAGGTGGCCCTTCAGGATCGGGAGAGAAAGTTAGCAGACGCGTATGAGCAGATCGAGAAGGATCTCATTCTGCTTGGTGCTACGGCCGTTGAGGACCGGTAAAGTAATCGCACGCGCCCTGTCCTGAGAGACGAGCAGTGCGCTGGCAGCCCGGGCTGCGTGAGGACAAGGGGACGGGGGAGGCAACTGCACAGCTGACAGCATGTTTCTGCTCAGGGAGAGGCTAGGCGTCTTGCTGCATGCTCGAGTCCTGTCAGGAAGGTCGTGCCTGGGGGGTATTTTGTTGTCGATGAATAAGTCTGCTGAAACCACTTTCCCAGGAAGTTCTGAAAATAGCTTGTTCCTGTCATCTTATGAACAGGCAAGATAGAGGGGCTTTTAAAAATTGTTGTTGTTGTTTTTTTAAAGGGATAGCATCTTGCAGTGTTGCCCAGGCTCAGTTCAGTGGCACGATCACAACTCACTGCAGCCTCAGACTCCTGGGCTCAAGCTGTCCTCCCTTCTCAGCCTCCTGAGTAGCTGGAACTTCAAGCACGTACCACCATGCCTCGTTAATTTTTTCTACTTTTTGAAGAGATAGGATCTGACTGTGTTGCCCAGGCTGGTCTCAAACTCCTGGCCTCGAGCGGTGCTCCCACCTCAGCCTCTGAAAGTGCTGGAATCGCAGGTGTGAGCATCATGGAGGCTGTACCTCCTCTTTAGGGTGGAATCAGTCGCTGACTCTGCTCCTAAACTTCGTTGCTAGTTTTTTCCAAATGCTGATAGTACTTCTTAGATCATTACCTACTCACTATATTTATCATTACCTGAAAAACTTAAAATAATGAAGTGGAAAATCACAAAACCTAATCAGCATCATAACTGGTAAAATACCAATTACGGAGGTTCAGGCAGCTCTAAGGCAAGAGCCGCCAGTGCGCCCCCGCTCCGCAGTTGGGATGAGCGTTGTGTGAGGCCAAGACCCCAAGAAGCGTCTTCTGGTCCACATGGTGCCTTCTCGGCAGAGTGAAAGGCATGGATTTCAGTCGTCTGTAGGAATGGAGAAGAGAAAGAAAAAGGCCCCCATTTGTGAGAATAAAGCAGAAGCTTCAGGGAGTTTGCGGGGAGTTTATGTCCTAGAAGAGGTGAAAGCATAAAGTTTAAAAGTGTTTAAGATCCATTTCGGTCCAAAACTTAAATCCTCATCACTAACCTGCATTTTCTGAGTGCGTTTAGCAAACATTCCTGGGTTCTTGATCCGAATGGAGCATTAGGCAGAGCAGGAGGTTTAGATTTGGTGGTTTTGTGTTTGTTTTGTTAGAGGAAGCACACGGAGCACTGTGTAAAGAACACCGTTGCACATAGACAGGCTCTAGAGCGCAGGGCCGTGGCCGCCGAGCGGCTTTGTAGCTGATGCCGCTGGGAGCGGGGGGCCTTGCTCTGCTGGTCAGCCACTCGCCTCGCCTGCGGTCTGTCCAGGAGAAGGGGGTGTCCATAGGACGGTCTTTGCCAGGGGAGCAGCTGGGTCAATCTTTACAGGCTGTGGTGGAGGAGCCTGGGATGCCTTGGGCAGAGCAGATGGGATGGAGACCCCGGGGTGGGGGCAGGTTGACTCCACTGGATGGGAATGTGGAAAAGTGGAGAGTTAAGGCCTGGTGGGGGACGGGGGCCTGGTGGCTTTGCAGTGATGACGCTTGCTTCCAAATCAAAATCTCCAGTCAGCAAGTGGGAAACCTCTGAGCCTCAGCTTCCTTTTGAATAGAATTCTAGGGCCAGGCCTGGTGGAGCACGCCTGTAACCCCAGCCCTCTGGGACGCTGATGCAGGAGAATTGACTAAGGCCAGGATTTTGAGGCCAGCCTGGGCAACATAGTGAGATCCCACCTCTCACATTTTTTTAATTGTTCAGGTGTGGTAGGAGGCACCTCTTGTCCCAGCTACTTGGATGCTGAGGAGGGAGGATTGCTTGAGCCCAGGAGTTGGAGGCTGCAGTGAGCTGAGGTCGTACCACTATACTCCAGCCTGGGCAGCATAAGAAGGCATGCATGCTCCCTCTCTCTCCATATATTTATGTTATATATGTACACACACACACATGAAATTAGAGGCATGTTTTCCATCTCTGGAATACCATGATTGTCTGATCTTGAGACTTGTGGCTAGGAGTTCTTCCCAGAGCCTAACCAGATCATTCCAGTTAGAATTTAAAGCCTTTCTTTTCATACATTATAGAAATAGGGCAAGTTACTTCACACGAAAGTAGAGTCTAAAACCTAGAGAAAATGTAGACCCCCAAATGAGGCAAGCATGGTTTTGACACCAGATCTTTCAAGGAGAGGGACGTGACCTGTCTGTTTACCCGCAGATACCTGCTGTAGTGTCTGCAGGCTTTGGGTTTTCCATGTGTAAAATGGATGTGACGCCAGCGTCCTTACTGGTGACCTCGTGGTAAGGACGAAAGAGCACACACAGGAAGTGTCACACAGGCCTGGCACATAGTAAGCCCGTGATGCGTGTTAGCTAGCCATAGAATCACTATAGTATTATCAGTATTTTATATTATGTAGAGGTACCTAGACCCAAGCGTGTTCTAAGCGAAAACTTTGAACAGTTTATACAAAACGAGCTAATGAATATCCCTCAGCACCGTGACTCCAGATCCCATCTTTCCACGGTGGAGACATTGGTGTTGGTGGTTATAATAGTCTTTGTTACCAGTAAATTTTTCATGCCACCAAAGAAATAGCACTGAAAGATAAACCCTCCCAGCAAGGCAGTTTACTTCTCTAGAAGGGTGTGGTGCACGGATGGAGCAATGATGGCCACCGCACACCTGGATGAGCGGGAAGGGGTGCTTATGCCTGACAGTGGGGGGTGTCGTCCCTGCTGCTATGTCGTCCCCTCTTGGCTACGGTTAGACTGCACAAGCTAGACTAATCCTGATTGGCTGTTTTAAAAAGAGCAGGGGTCCGAGCTGGAGTGGCAGGGTGGGTGTTTTGGTGGGAAGGACGGTTACGGGCAGGTCAGAGCAGTTAGCCAGGGGTGATCAGGTGACGGGGAGGAGTCAGGATGGGGGGGGAGGGGAACAGATGTGAACTACTGATAAGAACAAGAACTTAAACTTTAAAATAGAGAATTAAAGAATAAGAGAGCTGAACATACCAACTCTTTGAAGAGAAACATGGGGTTCACTGTAACAGTCTTGCCGACAGTTTCCTGAAACCCTCCCCCAGGTAGCGAGTCCCAGTTAGAGAGAAAACTGCTAGGCTTGTCAGATGCCAATGACATAGGACAGCCCTTTACTTCTCAGATGCTTTATCTATATTCATCCCTCTGATGCTATGAAGTGTTTCCCTGTAAAATGCTGATTCAGACCTTCAAAGGCCGCTTCCTGGTCTGTCTTCATGGTAAGACCACGAGCCACGGCATGGTATGTTTGATGTTGAGGGACTGCGATGTTTTGACAACTTTGCAAGTTTCTGCAGCTCCTTATTAGGATTTCCTGGGTCAGCAGTGAGTTTTCTCTGTGTTTCATTTGGTTTTGCTTCCCTCAGGCTGCAGGAGAAAGCTGCAGACACCATCGAGGCCCTACAGAAGGCTGGGATCAAGGTCTGGGTTCTCACGGGAGACAAGATGGAGACGGCCGCGGCCACGTGCTACGCCTGCAAGCTCTTTCGCAGGAACACGCAGCTGCTGGAGCTCACCACCAAGAGGATCGAGGAGCAGAGTCTGCACGACGTCCTGTTTGAGCTGAGCAAGACGGTCCTTCGCCACAGCGGGAGCCTGACCAGGGACACCTTCTCCGGGTAAGCAGCACGTCCCCGACCCCACCCCACACTCCCGCAGAGGGGCTTCAGAGCCTGTCCTTGTCCCACTCCACAATCCCACAAGAGGGATTTCAGACCCCGTCCCACCCCACACTCCCACAGAGGGGCTTCAGAGCCCATCCCTGTCCCACTCCACACTCCCACAAGAGGGACTTCAGACCCTGTCCCTGTCCCACCCCACACTCCTGCAAGAGGGGCTTCAGACCCTGTCCCCATCCCACCACACACTCCCACAAGAGGGATTTCAGACCCCGTCCCACCCCACACTCCCACAGAGGGGCTTCAGACCCTGTCCCCGTCCCACCCCACACTCCCACAGAGGGGCTTCAGATCCCCTCCCCGTCCTACCCCACACTCCCGCAGAGGGATTTCAGACCCCGTCCCCGTCCCACCCCACACTCCCACAGAGGGGCTTCAGACCCCGTCCCTGTCCCACCCCATACTCCCACAGAGGGGCTTCAGACCCTGTCCCCATTTCACCCCACACTCCCACAGAGGGGCTTCAGACCAAATGGACTTCACCTGCAGGCTGGTGAACCACATTGTCCTTCCTTGGAATTCAGTTCTCCCTGGGGCATTAATGCCAGCTTCTTAGGGGTCAGGTGAATACTGAGAACAAGACAGGCTGTTTTTTCCAGCAATGGTGGTGTGTCTTTTTGCACACATCTATGTGGGTTCAGTTTCAAACTGCTGGGTGACAGAGGCAAAAAGACATGATTGACAGAATATTTTGAGTGGGACAATTCTCATTGTTCTGAGACTTAGGGCCTCTGCTGCAGACCCCTTCAAGCATCAGCTGGAGGAAGTGGGGATATTCATAATCTGCGGTTGTTCATTAAGACAGAGCAGCCGGCCACGGTGGCTCACGCCTATAATCCCAGCACTTTGGGAGGCCAAGGCGGGTGGATCACGAGGTCGAGATCAAGACCATCCTGGTCAACATGGTGAAACCCCGTCTCTACTAAAAATACAAAAAATTAGCTGGGCATGGTGGCGCGTGCCTGTAATCCCAGCTACTCAGGAGGCTGAGGCGGGAGAATTGCCTGAACCCAGGAGGCGGAGGTTGCGGTGAGCCGAGATGAGATCCTGCCATTGCTCTCCAGCCTGGGTGATACATTGTTTCAATGCCATCCTTACTGGTGTTAGACACATTATCTGAGATTAGATTTTATTTAAATCATGTCAGTTTCATTCATGTAGATAAAGCACGAGCAGCCCTCTAATTTACACAAGCTCTAAGTTATTCATAAATAGCACAGACATTTCTCTCTACCTTATCTGCAATCTGCAGAACTCCTTTTAGGGATTAGAGATGTTCCTTTTTTTTTTTTTTTTTTTTGAGATGGAGTCTCACTCTGTTGCCCACGCTGGAGTGCAATGGCTCGATCTTGGCTCACTGCAACTTCCACCTCCCAGGTTCAAACAATTCTCCTGCCTCAGACCCCCGAGTAGCTTGGATTATAAGCGCTCACCACCACACATGGATAATTTTTTTATTTTTAATAGAGACAGGGTTTCATCATGTTGGCCAGGCTGCTCTCGAACTCCTGACCTCAGGTGATCTGCCCGCCTCAGTCTCCCACAGTGCTGGGATTACAAGCGTGAGCCACTGCATCCGGCTCCTTGTCATTGTGAAAGCCAGCAGAGAGGAGCTTATGACCAAGTTCTTTCCAACTTAGGTCATCCAGGCAGAAAGCCGAGGACTTAGCTGTGCAGACAGACTGTGCCCAAGGTTTCCAGTAAAAACTGACCAAGATCTTAGACAGCAAGAGAGATGCCTTTCTGTTGTTTCAGAAGTGCGGGGACTTGGCAAGTCCACAAAGAGAGTATACACTTGCTTTACCTAAAATAAGAATGTTTCCTTAAAATACACTTTTCAGTGTAGTCTAAGGTGCTTAATGCCATGGATTTGTAGCATCTGTAGCTATCCAGAAACATACGGCGTCTTCTAAAATCTCTAGATTTCGTTACTGAGCAACCTTTCTGACTCGAGTGCTCTGACAGACTTTCGGCAGATCTGCAGGACTACGGTTTAATCATCGACGGGGCCGCGCTGTCTCTGATCATGAAGCCTCGACAAGACGGGAGTTCCGGCAACTACAGGGAGCTCTTCCTGGAGATCTGCCGCAGCTGCAGTGCGGTGCTCTGCTGCCGCATGGCGCCCTTGCAGAAGGCCCAGGTCCTGCCCGCCCATCCTCCACAGCCGCTGGTCAGGGCATCCGACACACAGAACCTCCCATTAGGTCTCACCACCTTGGACTGTTGAAAATTCTAGCAGCGTACCACCTGTTAAAAATAGAAGCAATCGTGGTAGAGATTTAAAACTCGGACCTTCTTTTGCTTGTTGGGCCAGCCTCGGTGATTAGTGGGTGTTGAACAGACGTGTGACCGTTCCAGAGGCAGCGGCCAGGACAGCTGCCCTGGCTGACTCCTGGTTTTTGTTTTTGTTTTAAATACCTATCTCAGCCAGTCCTGAGAATGTACACTGAAGGTGTAGGGGAAGAGAGCTGACATTATGAGCACCTGGCGTGCACTCCCGCAGACCTGAATGCATTTAGCCTCAGGGTCACCCTGACAGGCAGTGAAGGCATCCAGCTTATAAATGGGAATAATTTGCCCAAAAGGCTGCAGTCAGGAAATGCCACGAGGATTTAACTTGTCTTGTCCGTCAAACTCTAGACGTCTCACTCTGCTATGTTCTTTGGGAAACACACACCTGAAATTTTTTCTTTAAATACTTTTTTTTTTTTTTGAGACAGAGTTTCGCTCTTGCTACCCAGGCTGGAGTGCAATGGCGCCATCTCAGCTCACCGCAACCTCCGCCTCCTGGGTTCAAGCAATTCTCCTGCCTCAGCCTCCCAAGTAGCTGGGACTACAGGCACGCGCCACCATGCCCAGCTAACTTTTGTATTTTTAGTAGAGAAGGGGTTTCACCTTGTTGACCCAGATGGTCTCGGTCTCTTGACCTCATGATCCACCCGCCTCGGCCTCCCAAAGTGCTGGGATTACAGGCTTGAGCCACCGCGCCCGGCCCTTTAAATACTTTTAAAAGCACTGTGGAATATACGTGTAAACATGGATGTCTTTCTGATGTCAGGAAGCCTGGAAAAGTTCCAACTTTGTTATACCACATTTTAGATAAATTAGACCAATTTGTCTTGAACTGTTCATGACTAAATTCATAATTGGTCAGAGCACCCAGTGGGTGAGGTAAAATATGTCTCGCACAAATTCTGGAAACCGAAGAGGTCAAAGGTTGAGCGTTTGTGCATGTGGGTGCACTAATCTGTCAGTTTCACCAAATATGCAGAACAGGCCCCTTCTCAGAACGACAAGCTGAGCCCAGACCTTCCATGTGGGGAAGACGGTCCGAAGTCCCCTCTCCCTCACATCTGTAGCAGCACGTGAACCTTATAGGGTTACTTCCCAAATGGAACAGCAGCTAAGGGCTTTCCATTGGCTCTTCATGTATTCCATAGTACTTTTCTAAGTCCTCCCCTGGCTTTTGAAAAGTTTCACACAAATTAAGTTGTGTCTCAGTTTCCCATCTTGAAAGAAGAAGGCACCGCACACATTTCCCCCATCTCTTCATTCTTATATCTTGCACATACATGGAAAGAAAAAACACCATAAAGCAATTGACCAAAAACTTGGAAATCATTTTTACATAAAATTTTTTCATATTTGATTTTGTACATGTTACAAATTTGAAAATTAAAAGAGCATCATTAGGAGTGATTTATTTTTAGAGAGAGATGCTTTATACCAAATAGCTGGAAGTAGCTTGGAATAGTAATGTCTTCTAACAGAATCAAGGTTCACATTTGCCCCTGTATATTTAAATGTATTTTCCCAGTATTTATACATTTTCCATTTATTTAAACAGATGAATGTAAGGTAACCGAGGACCACTTCACGTTTCTCACGTCTCCACACCGGGCTTTGCCTGCCAGCCCTTTCCAGCTCACGCCACTTTAATCATACCTTGTTTTGTTTTGCTTCCAACATGAAACAGGTTTTATCCTATATGGAGAAAACAATGTAGTAAATTAGCTCCAGGTAAACAGATGACTTTTTACTTGGCCAGACTAACTTTACATCTTCGTTATTTCTGCTTAGTGAGTGAATAACCTCTTTGGAAGTGAAACAGACGATTAATTCTGCCTTTCTCTCTTCTGCAGATTGTCAAATTAATCAAATTTTCAAAAGAGCACCCGATCACCTTGGCAATTGGCGACGGTGCGAACGATGTCAGCATGATTCTGGAAGCGCACGTGGGCATAGGTGAGCCTCACCCTTGCTGCTGGCATGTCCCAGTGGCCAGGTCACCCCTCTGCTAGACAAAGGCCCGTGGCAGCACGCAGGTGGTGGTTCAGGACACCCCCATCACCACCCTCCTGTGTGACCAGCAAGGCTCGTTTCGTCGGTTCTCCTGTCGCTGCCCGGGTATGGTGTGCCGAAAGGGTGTCCTCAGCTCCTTCCCCTCCGCCTTCTAGGTGTCATCGGCAAGGAAGGCCGCCAGGCGGCCAGGAACAGTGACTATGCAATTCCGAAGTTTAAGCATTTGAAGAAGATGCTGCTTGTTCACGGGCATTTTTATTACATCAGGATATCTGAGCTCGTGCAGTACTTCTTTTATAAGGTAGGAGATGGCCGTCTGTAGGAGATCTGCTCTCTCAGCAGCAGATCAGGCACAGGGTGGCCCCACCCTTGTTTGAGCCACTTGATGCCCCAAGAGGTCATTGATCTCAAAGTAGAAGCAACTGTCAGGAAGGAGGGGGGAATCTGATTGCAGTCATCCCCCCTCAGCTGTCCCTGTCAGGAAGGAGGGGGGAATCTGATTGCAGTCATCCCCCCTCGGCCATCCCTGTCAGGAAGGAGGGGGGAATCTGATTGCAGTCATCCCCCCTCGGCCATCCCTGTCAGGAAGGAGGGGGGAATCTGATTGCAGTCATCCCCCCTCAGCCGTCCCTGTCAGGAAGAGGGGAAATCTGATTGCAGATATCCGTCCTCAGCCGTCCCTGTCAGGAAGGAGGGGGAAATCTGATTGCAGTCATCCCCCCTCAGCCATCCCTGTCAGGAAGGAGGGGGGAATCTGATTGCAGACATCCCCCCTCACCTGTCCCTGTAAGGAAGGAGAGGGAAATCTGTTGCACTCATGCCCCCTCAGCCGTCCCTGTCAGGAAGGAGGGGGAAATCTGATTGCACTCATCCCCCCTCAGCCGTCCCTGTCAGGAGGGAGTGGGGAATCTGATTGCAGTCATCCCCCCTCAGCCATGGCTTTGCTTTCTGCAGTTTCCATTACCTACAGTCAACCCAAGCCCAAAAATGTCAAACGGAAAATTGCAGAAATAAATAATTCCTAAGTTTTAAATTGCATGCCATTCCAAGCAGCATGATGAAGTGTCCCGCTGTCCCACTCTGTCCTTCCTGGGATGTGGCTCGTTCCTTTGTCCAGCTTGTGACACTGTGTGTACACTACCCGCCCCTTAGTCACTCTGCAGCTGTGTCAGTGACCAGGTTGACAGATCACAAGAAGAAGTAGGGTGAATACAGCACGATAATATATTTTAAGAGGAAGAGGGCAAGACCAAATTCATGTCACTTTTATTATGCTGTGTTGTTATAGTTTTTCTGTGTTGTTGTTACCTTCTTACTGCACCTACTTTATAAGTTAAATGTTATGACGGGTATGTATGTGTCAGAACACACATACCCATCTGCCGTGTAGATAGGGTTCAGGACCATCCGCAGTTTCTGCATCCCCCCGAGGTCTGGGAGTGTGCCTCCGAGGATGAGGAGGGCCTGCTGTGCCCAGGACGAGACCCCTAGTGCTTTCCTTCCTTCTACAGAACTGAGTGTGAAAGCAGGGAGAACCTAGCAGGTGGCACGTCTGAGGCGGGGGTATTTTAGAATTCCTGATCCATGGTGCGGTTCAGTTCTTTGCTGTTTATACTGATACCCGCACTGCCACCTTGTCCTCTGTGAGCTGACAGATTTCCCCTTTATATTATCTGTCCTCAGAGTGGCCAGAACATGGTCGCATGTGCATTTCAGTTGCCCCTGAAATAAGAGGATGCTTTCCAGGGCCCATGAGTGCTGTTCTGCAGAAAGCTGAGCACGCGGGGATCACTCTCCCTCGTGGGCAGGCCGCGTTGGTAGGTGGTGGCCGCGTCTCTGAACTAACCACTATGCCTTGTCTTTCAGAACGTCTGCTTCATCTTCCCCCAGTTTTTATACCAGTTCTTCTGTGGGTTTTCACAGCAGGTCAGTCCTGGGGTCTTCAGGGACAGGCTGTCTCAGCCTTCCTTTCCTTTCCCCAGGGGTGGCTGCCAGGGGGAGGGGAGACTTGGGAATGAGCAGCATTCCAGGATGTCCAGCAGCAGGCAGGGGTGAAGGGCCAGGGAGTTGGCTGGCTCCAGGTCTTCTGAGTCTTGGGCCAGTGATGATGTGGCCTCCCCAGGGCTAGGCCAGGCTTCGTGACACCACTGCAAGGATTAATTCCAGCTCTGAGGTCCTCATGGGCATGGGCCACCCGGCACTGGCATGTTAACGGGTGCAGTGTGCCCATAGGGGAAGAAGACAGTTCCCATCTGGGAGGGGTGAAGCCTCCCCCCAGGCACCTGCTGCAGATGTGTGTCTGCTTGTGGGAAGTGATCGGGACCAGACCCTGAAGGTTGAAGACGGCAATCAGAATCGCTGATGTTTTATATGACTTTCCCTCTTTTTTTTTTTTTGAAGTTTGTGCTGATAGAATGGAATGAGTTAGTGTTAGGCTTTTTGCCAGCTGTGACTTTCATCCTGAAATCACAGTTTATATCACAGACCCTAGTTTATATCATTAAGCTTTGAAAAATGCTCTGGTCTTTCTGTGCATTTCAGATGCATTTTATGCTTGTTTTGTGATTCTTTGCAAATAAATATATTTAATGTAAAGATCCAAAAAGTTTGTAAAAACACACTGAGGTGCCCCTTCCTTGTGACTTTCCTCTTTCAGACTTTGTATGACACCGCGTATCTGACCCTGTACAACATCAGCTTCACCTCCCTCCCCATCCTCCTGTACAGCCTCATGGAGCAGCACGTCGGCATCGACGTGCTCAAGAGAGACCCGACCCTGTACAGGTACCGTCCTCCAGACAGCCTCTCCTGAGAGCAGAGAGAACAGCTAGGCAGCACTCTGGCGGTTCCGTCCAGCAGATGCCTGGCAGACCTCAGTTAGGGCCAGAGACACTTGGCATCTGCTGACACTCTTGCTTGGGCGGGAGCCAGTTTAAACTGGAAGCAACATAGTTCAAACGGAGATTCTTCCAGCCTCGCTGGATGGTTGACGCTACATGTGGAGCGTCTGTGTGGAGCCAGTTTGCACTTCCCTGAGCTTTCTGACGGTCCTGAGGAAGCCAGGGTACAGGTGTCTTCCTTGTTGTGACCCCAGGAAATCTGTGACCTAAGTTATTCTTTAAAACCATGTGTGTTCCCTCCAGTGAGGAAAATAAAAACTAACGGCTCTGGCTTCAGTGTGTTTTCTCCCCCAAAAGGTTCTTATTTTTTTAATGGTATGGAAGAGATATTTTTCTGCTCTTCAGAAATGCCCCCCAAGGTCTCTGGCAGATTCTGTATGTTAGTGTTTTCCGTTGTCTTCTAAATTGTTTGAGTCCATTTTTGTCTGCTGTGAAGACACACCCGAGACTGGGTAATTTACGAAGGAAAGAGGTCTAATGAACGGACTCGCAGTTCCACATGGCAGGGGAGACCTCACAATCATGGTGGAAGGCAAAGGAAGAGCAAAGGCACATCTTACATGGCGGCAGGCAAGAGAGCATGTGCAGGGAACTGCCCTTTATGAAACCATCAGATCTTGTGAGACTTAGTCACTATCATGAGAAAAGCACGGGAAAAAAATTGTGATTGCCTTACCTCCCAGAGAATCCTTCCGGCAACACATGGGCATTATGGGAGCTACATTGCAAGATGAGATTTGGGTGGGGACACAGTCAAACCATATAAGTTAAACTTTTATTTTTCAGATAATTTTAGATGCATTTGCAGTTGTAAGAAATAATAGATTCTGTGGGCCCTGATCCTGTGTCCCTTAGTGGTGACATGTGAGAAACTGCAGTCCAGCATCACATCCAGTGATGTTGTATCCTTCACCCCTTCCCCCATTCAGATCACCCAGCTTTGCCTGCACTCATGTGCATGTGTGCACATGACACGTGTGTGTGTCCAGGTCTGTGTAGCCTTCTCATGTGTGCATGTGTATGTGACACGTGTGTGTGTGCAGGTCTGTGCAGACTCCGTGTGCATATGTGTATGTGACGTGTGTGTGTTCAGATCTGTGCAGCCGCCTCACATGTGTACGTGTGTGTACATGACATGTGTGTGTGTTCGGGCCTGCAGTCTCCTCACTTGTACCTGTGTGTGTACATGACACACGTGTGTGTGTTCAGGTCTGTGCAGTCTCCTCACATGTATGTGTACATGACACATGTGTGTTCAGGTCTGTGTAGCCTCTTCACATGGGTGTGTGTGTGTACATGACACTTGTGTGTGTCTTCAGGTCTGTGCAGCCTCGTCATGTATGCTTCCTGCATCCACCACCACAGCCAAGAGCACTCACTCCCCTGCCCAGCATCCATAGGATCCATGCATCAGCCTCACCGCCCTTAGCAGAATATTTGGCCATTCTATTGGATCTTGACAGCTCAGACCCAAAAATCAGTGTAGGTGATTAAGGACTGTGATAAGAAGGCAAACTTCTGAGTTCTTTGTACACACTTCATAGTCGGGAATAAATCTAAGAAAACAGGAGAGCCTGTGCTGTTCTATACATGTAGGAGGGAATCCTGCACATTCTCTCTCTGAACAGGTATAAGGTATCACATCAAGAGTGGTTGCAAGCTCAATGAATGTCAGGTGTGTTTCTTGTGCTCTGTGTTTGTTACTTTCAGAACCAGAAGCATCTCTGCCTGTGACGATCTTGCAGTGAATGAGGGAGAAAATATCCAAATGAAAGTTAGCCAAGGACATGAGTGCCTAGTAGGTTAACTGGTTGTAACGAACATTGTGCATTTGTGGCCAGAGCACAGACTTGATGTTTACTGCCCACGCACATCTTATCACATCGAGACAGCGTCCAGGGGTGGCCACCCAGAGCTCGGGGAGGCGCCGGGCCCGGATTCTCGAGGACACACTCTGCACCTTTGTCCTCACACAGGGACATCGCCAAGAACGCACTGCTGCGCTGGCGCGTGTTCATCTACTGGACGCTCCTGGGACTGTTTGACGCGATGGTGTTCTTCTTTGGTGCTTATTTCATGTTTGAAAACACAACCGTGACGAGCAACGGGCAGGTGAGTACGGAGCTCGGTCGCGCTCACTTAGCTGCTTAGGAATAAACCCTCCCGGGCCCATGTGCTTATTTCCTCAAAGCAATGAATTCAGTGCAGCCCTTGCGACTTTCCGGTGGGGTCAGTCCCCACTTGGGCCTCCCGATGGGGTCAGTCCCCGCCTGGGCATCGCTACGGGTCGCTTACAGATGGCATTACCTGAGGGCTCAGTTTTGCTGTAAGGAAAGGTCCTGCTGAGGTCTTTCAGACTTCGTGTAACTTACAGTTCACCCTCAGCTGATTACCTAGTGGTACAATTATGCCAGGAAGACCTTGCTTTTTTAACGCGGGAGTCAGTTCCATGGGGAGCCCGTGTTAGAGGATTTGCCCGAGTACCGTACGTGAGCCTGTTTCCTTTGCACTGAATCGATGCGTAGTTTCTAACGGACATTCAGCTCTGCCTGTTTGCCTAATCCCTGGGGGTTTGTTTTATTTGTGTCTTGCTTTTTTCTTTTTGCCACCGGCTTCCCTTCCCACCCTCAGATAATGACTACCAGCACGCACATGGTAAGACAGTTCTGGGTTTGTCGTTTTCTGTGTTTTTGGAGTGCGTTACAAAAAAATATTTCTCGAAAATATTTTCACACGTGACTTCTGTGTGCTCTGTTGGTAGAAATGCTGTTAGCCGCTGCTGCCCTCGCACCTGGAGCTCACTCTGTTGGGAGGGTGTGCACATCCTGGGCACGTCCCTGGCCTGTCCCCGCAGTGTCCGTGTCAGGGTTGGCCATTGAGTCCAGGATGTGCTCCGAATTGACTGGATTCACGGGAGCTTCCCTTGGCTTTAAATTAAAGGCAGCACAGGCAGGTGAGGGAGGCCCGCTGGGGACCTGTGCTACCTGAGAGCCACGCCAGGCCCTGAGTAGAGGCCAGAGACCATCCCTGCTTCAACGTCCCAGTGTTAACTAACCGAACAGCAAACACCAGTGCTGACCTCAGAGAAAGTCCCTCTTCAGCAGCCCCTTCGGGGTGGCTCCTAAACAGAACTCCGCTTCGTCTCTTGTTTAGCCTGACCCCTCTCTCCCTGTGTTTGCCCCTCAGACTGCTGGGTTCAAACACAGCAGTCCTGCCGCGTGTCCTGTGCACCATTTACCTGCCCGGCCGCTTTGATTTCTCACTGCTGAACACCACTGTTAATCCTTCCTTATAACTTAAATCAGTTTTTACCAGGTCAATTTTGAGAATCCATTCAAATGTTACTTCATTTTAAAAACTTTACATTTTCTCTTAGTTTATTTTAGTTGAATAATTCCTGAATGCCACCAGGCCGTGAACATAGTCAAATAGAGCTACCTGTTGATTCCTTGGTGTCTTTTATAAGATTTTCCTCTGGGTTGGGCATAGATAAGCATCTTGCATGGATCTTAAAAAGAACTAAGATCTAGTGTCCTGGGCACTGAGATCCCATAGACCTTAAAAAGAACTAAGACCCAGTGTCCTGCCCACGGAGGTGGCCGACTCCTGCCACCTGCCAATAGCAACAACAAGTCCCCTTTGTCCCGTGCTCAATTTCCCAGCTTTCTCTCACAAGCATCATCCTGGGCCTCTACAGCCACCCTTTCAGCTGGACATTCAGATCTTGTGAAAGCCGAGGAAAGAGAGAGTCAGACAGACTCGACACCCTGTGCAGGTTCAGCTCCTGAGGGCAGGGCCTGGTGACACCCAGATGTCCAGCGTGGACCTTCATGGTGTTGCCTGCTGTGTACTCCAGGTGGTTCTGGTTCCGAATTTCAGCGTGAATGTGAAGGTGCCTCCCAAGAGCCCCCGGAGATGGCCCCCCTTCAGGTGTGAGGACACGGCAGCCACTGTCCTAGGAAGGCTGCCCAGCCGTGCTCCTGAACGAGGTGCTGGCAAGGCAGTGCCAGGGGCTTCTCTTGGTCTTCCCAGCAGGGCCTCTGCAATGTCTCCACCTCCTCAGGTCCCTGGAGCCCTGACGTGTCCCAGGCAGCTGCACCTGGTGGTCAGTGGGCACGGTGACTCTGCTGCCCTTCCTGGGACCTGAGGGTTCGCTAGCTCCTGTTTCCCGGGCTCTTCTGGCTGTCCCCTCCAGCCCCCAGCTGCATTCTGGAAGGTACCTTGAGCCCCCACAGAACCCAATTCACCCCCGGGGTGATGTCAGCACCCAGGGAACCTGAGGGCAGTTCTAGTGGCTGACAGCCCTCTTGGTCCTTGGGTAGCAATTGGGGGTTGGGGAGCTCACCCCTGAGAATTTTCCCTTCCAGCCAGGACACTCCTGACGGGGTCACAGTGCAGAGGCCCTCAGGAATTGATCGTTCGTAGGTGAGGACTGCTTTGTTTTAAAGACCTAAATTATTCTATAGGAATGTTTCTAGATCCTGTGTGGCCCTAAAGGAACAATAGAATTATGGACACCTTTTTTGAAAGTTCACCAGTGGAGCGTTTTCTGCACTGATGTCGTAAGCCAGAGTAACTTCTCATTCTTATGCCACAAATGAGCACTAAGACATTACTTAGCAGTAAGCTGCAAAGACAGCAGCTGCATGTTCTTAGGTGAACGTTCAAATGCTTGGAATATGCTTCGATGGACCTGGGAGCAGTGAGAACAGCTGAGACATGAGCGGTCCATGTGTGGGCGGAGGTGGGAGGCGCAGGGATCTGCACAGACAGGACACAGTGGGCGCTGCTGGTGACGGTGACCTTGAGAAGGCGCGAGTCATGCTTGCCACGGGAGATTTTTACACAGAAGTTAAATTGGTCTGGGTCTCAGGGCTTTCTTGAGCAGAAAACTTCCTATAGGAATACTCATCCTCAAAGGAGGGAGGAAGTGGGGGAAAGGGGCTTAGCCTGCAGCAGTGGAGGGTGGCCAGCCCCAGAGGCAGCTCTGCTGAGGGACAGGCTTTCAGCTGCTCAGGTTCTCGGCTGAGAGGTGCCTGTCACGTGAGGATGGTGTCCTACAGAAATCCGAAGCAGGAACCGCATTGGGGATGGTGTTGATGTCACTTAGAAAAAAGGGGTTCCTGTGAACAGCCCTTTGAGAAACAAGATTGGTGTCCCAGGGATGGCTGCCACCCCCAGAATCCAGTTGGAAATAATGACCAGCAATCGTAATAAACTATTAGTCCATTTTCACACAGCTCTAAAAAGCTACCTGAGACTGGGTGATTTATGAAGAAAAGAGGTTTCATTGACCCACAGTTCCGCAGGCTTTACAGGAAACATGGCTGGGGAGGCCTCAGGAGACTTAAAATCATGACGGGAGGCAGGAGGGAAACAAGAACCTTCTTCACAAGGCAGCAGGAGAGAGAGCGCAAAGGAGAAAGCGCGGCACGTTCGCATCCAGAGAAGTCACTCACTGTCCTGAGGTCAGCCGGGGGCGTCCACCCCGTGATCCAGCCACCTCCCACCAGGCCCTCCCTCCAGCACAGGGGGATTACAGTTCCAGATGAGATTTGGGTGACGACAGAGCAAACCACATCACGGCAGTTCACCTGGGGCCCCCACTTCAGGGAGCCAAGGGAATAAGAGGGCTTTCCAGACCTGTGTCTCACAAAAGCTCCAGGGCAAACCAGCTTCCGAAGGACGTGGACACAGGTCAGTGAGGTCAGTGCTTCTCAGGGTCCTGACCGAAATGCCTGGTTCTGGGGCCACGTAGCTGTGCTTTGTATAGAGCTTACAGCTGTGGCCCACGTGCTCTGCAGGGCAGGCATCTGGAGGCCTGATTCCCATCCCAGCTCTGCCATGACCCCCAAACCCAAGGAGCCCCAGCAGGGAGCATAGAGAGGCAGCATCTCAGCCCACAACAGGGAGAGGGGAAAGTGAGGAGGCTGTGTGAGTTGGCTATGGCTGTCCCCTGTGATGCTGTTGGTGACACATGCTGCTTGACAGGGCATCCTCGAGTTCGTGTCTTGCCGCCCTCCTACTGTTTTAGAGTTCTGTGTTGGGATGGCCAAGGCGGGGCCCGGGGGGGATGAGGAGAGCCGGGCAGCATGAGGGGCTTTTCCTCCAGGTCCAGCTGCTGTGCCTGTCTGGGTGCAAAGCTGCCCTCACCATTTAGCCTACAGCATTGGCTTCCAGTGACAGCACAGCAGCCTCTTGCCCTCTAGCACCGTGCTGGCCACACACACTCATAGGCTGCTGCCCAGCCACAACTATTCCTAGAGTCAGGAAGTCTTCTGCCCCAAAAGTGAAGACACGAAGAGAGAGCACTTTTTGGTGAGAGCACAACAGGCCTCTCACCCTGGCTCTGCTGACATTGGGGCTGGATGTTCTTCCTCCTGGGCCACTGTCTTGGGACTCAGCAGCCCCTCACCCCAATCCTAGGCTACCAGACCCTACACCCTAGAAATGTCTCTGCCATGGCCAGGCATCTCCCTGGGTACAAGGCTGCCCCAGCCAAGAACCACAGCGTGCGTAGAGCTGAGCGACACTGGGTCTGTACTTCCAGCCCAGAGAAAGAGGCCCACTTCAGACCACGACGAACAAATGAGGATAAACTCAGGGACGTGTGGATCGGGCCCTAGGAGGCCGGCGTTCACTACAGAATTTCAAACACTGTTTTCTACGATCTGCGAGTAAAACGTGACCCCACGGGCTGTGTTGGAGGACTTAACCTGCACCCTCACCCAGCTGAGTTGGGGCTGTGGTGATAGGGAGACTGTTTTGGTCACAAGTGAATTCTGAAGAAAACCCATTTGTATTACAGCTTTTTAATTCTTTAGAAAATCAAATTCTCTGAGAGGCAGAGTTCGCAGAATCCCACAAACCAGAAATGGCCACAGTGAAGGAAAGCAGTTCTCTGGGATGAAGGTTCCAGTCAGGGGTTTTCCCCAAGGCAGGGGGTCTGGGTAGCAGGCCCTGTTTTTGGCTTGTGCCTCGTGTGCGGTGGAGAGGCATGTGGTCCTTAGGGGTCCACTGTGCCATCCTCACGGACAAGGCATGTGGTCCTCGAAGGTCCACTGTGCCATCCTCACAGGCGGGCATGTGGTCCTCAGGGGTACACTGTGCCATCCTCACGGGCAAGGCATGTGGTCCTCAAAGGTCCACTGTGCCGTCCTCAGAGGTGGGCGTGTGGTCCTCAGGGGTCCACTATGCCATACTCACAGGCGGGCATGTGGTCCTCGGGGTCCACTGTGCCATCCTCACAGGTGGGCGTGTGGTCCTGAGGGTCCACTGTGCCATCTTCACAGATGGGTGTGTGGTCCTCAGGGGTCCACTGTGCCATCTTCACAGGCAGGCATGTGGTCCTCAGGGTTCCACTGTGCCATCCTCACAGGCGGACATGAGGTCCTGAGGGTCCACTCTGCCATCTTCACAGATGGGCATGTGGTTCTCAGGGGTCCACTGTGCCATCCTCACAGGCGGGTGTGTGGTCCTCAGGGGTCCACTGTGTCATCCTCATGGGCAAGGCATGTGGTCCTCAAAGGTCCACTGTGCCATCCTCACAGGTGGGCGTGTGGCCCTCAGGTCCACTGTGCCATCTTCACAGGTGGGTGTGTGGTCCTCCAGGATCCACTGTGTCATCCTCACGGGCAAGACATGTGGTCCTCAAAGGTCCACTGTGCCATCCTCATAGGCGGGTGTGTGGTCCTCAGGGGTCCACTGTGCCATCTTCACAGGCAGGCGTGTGATCCTCAGGGGTTTACTATGCCATCCACATCGGCAAGGCCTGTGGTCCTCGGGTCCACTATGCCATCTTCATAGGCGGGCGTGTGGTCCTCAGGGGTCCACTGTGCCATCCTCATGGGCTGGGCGTGTGGTCCTCAGGGGTCCACTGTGCCATCCTCACAGGCTGGGTGTGTGGTCCTCAGGGGTCCACTGTGTCATCCTTAGGGGTCTGTCTGTGTCTGTGCTTCTCCAAACCTCGGTGCCCTCTGCATCCTGCTGTGTTGCCAGCTGGCAGCTGGTGGGTCCTGCAGGCCTTCCCTCCTCCACGGCCTCCTGGGTGTGGCTGTTGGCAGATCTGTGGTTCTGGCCACACGCAGGGCAGCCTCTGTCCAGCTCTGTGCTGCCTGCCTGCTTATCTTCCCCTCCTGAGGAAGGTTCCCCCGTGAGAAGCCCCCGCGGTTCCACCTCTATGTGGGTACCAGGCTGTTTTCCCTGATCGTTCACTCACAGAACATTCCAGCCTCCGTTCTTCCACAGCAGGCAGGAGTCTGAGCTGAGTTCAGAAGGGAACAGACACAAATGTACAAGACTGTTCCTGAAACCTGTACAGTGTAGCTGGGTAATCAGGCGTCCGTCTCTTCTACATAAAGCACAAAACAGAAAAAGGAGGTTTGCAGGTCCCCGGGTTCGCATTATGGATGTTTAAATGCCAACTGTGAGGGAGTTTCTGGGCTTAGTTTGAGACCTTGGGATCAACCGACATCTGTTGTGGCTGAGAGCATTGAGCAGGGCCGGTGTCAAGAGCGGGCAGAAAGTTCCGGATGGGGGGCTCTGAGCCCCTCATTGAGCCACAGACTGGTGATGGAAGATGCAGCCGGGAAACTGGGGTGTCCTGCCGTGCCCCAGGAGTGGGGGCTGTTGCATCTTCTTTTACGTGGTAATGAGAAAACATAGTTCTCATATCTTTGGGGTTTGAAGTGTTGGCAAGCAGGAAAAATGAGATGTATTTTCTGAAACTCTACATAAAAACAAGATGACTTGGACTATTTTCCCCAAACAGATATTTGGAAACTGGACGTTTGGGACACTGGTGTTCACTGTGATGGTGTTCACAGTCACACTAAAGGTGAGTGCTCCCATGCTCAGTAACACTGAAGGTGAGTGCTCCCACGCTCAGTCACACTAAAGGTGTGTGCTCCCACGCTCAGTAACACTGAAGGTGAGTGCTCCCACGCTCAGTCACACTAAAGGTGAGTGCTCCCATGCTCAGTAACACTGAAGGTGAGTGCTCCCACGCTCAGTCACACTCACGTCCCCTCCAGCCACAGCAAATCCCTGCTGTCAGTCACACCAAAGGTGAGTGTTCCGATGCTCATGTTCCCCACCCCCAGCCACAGCGAGTCACTGCTCTGTAGGCCTCACCCCTCTGAGTTCTCTGAATTAGAACTCCGTACTAAGGCTGGAAGCCACCCTGCACCCAGCTCAACTCCTGTAGCACCCCTGGGCATCCTCATCCTGCTGTTTAGACAGGTAATGCACAGCCACTCAGCACACCCGGCCACCCCGTGTGCGAACCCCAGAGGTATGTCGAAGGAAACCTCAGGAGAGCACCGCCTCTTGGTGAAAGAATTCAGGCTAGAATTCTTTTCAGGGGCAAGAAGCCTTCCCCCCAGCGCCATCAAAATGCATTTTAATTGGAACAAATTAATGTATTTTGGAAAATTTCATTCTTTTTAAAATCCAGTGAAATTCTGTACAGAATATATCATTGTGAAATCTCAAAACCCATCAGACTGAGTCTTAAAAGTGATACCAAAACATTCCTAAAGTGATTTTTTTAAATAGTGATATAAACAACACCTGAATCTAAACTAACTCTCTGCCAGACACAGTGGCTTACGCCTATAATCCCAGCACTTTGGGAAGCCAAGGCAGGCGGATCGCCTGAGGTCAGGAGTTCGAGACCAGCCTGGCCAACATGACAACATGGCCATGTCTCTACCAAAAATACAAAAATTAGCCAGGCACGGATGCATGCCTGTAATCCGGCTACTTGGGAGACTGAGGCAGGAGAAGCACTTGAACCTAGGAGACAGAGATTGCGCGAGCTGAGATTGCACCACTGCATTCCACCCTGGGCAACAGAGAGAGACTCTGTCTCAAATAAATACATTTTTTAAAGTACCTTTTTTTAGGTAGTGACATAAACAACACCTTAATCTGAAGTGACTTCCTTCGGTAGTGATGTAAACGCCTTAATCCGTGGCCCCAACGCCCACGTCTGGGAAATGATCCATGGCCCTTTCCCCGGGATCTGGGACTGTGGTGTCACCACCGCCTCCCTCTCGCAGGCCGTGTGAGGTGTCGTTCTGCCTTCCTGAGCGGTTTTCTGTGGGCATTGAGTCGCCATTGCTGGGTCTCGTGTTTGGTTTCGTTTCTCATCACCCCAGCTCTCTCTCCTATCACCGATCCAGGCTCCTCAGATGACACCATTCACTGCCTTTTTTTTTCCTTTTAGCTTGCATTAGACACACACTACTGGACTTGGATCAACCATTTTGTCATCTGGGGGTCACTGCTGTTCTACGTCATCTTTTCGCTTCTCTGGGGAGGAGTGATCTGGTAAATATCCGATAAACAGCCGATAATCTGGTAACTATCACGTGCTTGTTACTACCTCAGTCGTTCTGCACTATTTTTTAATTGGGTTGAAGACGCATTTTCCAGCGAGGCTGCTGGTTGGGGCAAGTGTTCGTTGAATACCTGCTGTGTGCTGGGCGTCATGTGGGGTCCTAGGATGGGGTTGGGGGCAAGGACACACGGGGGTCCCTGTTCCTGTGACCTGCACCTACAGGAGGAGGGAGATGCTAACTGATAACAGCTAGTGATGAGTTCTGTGGAGGAACAGACCAGGGTTCTACACCAGGGGACCTGGGTCAGACTGGAAGGCTGGAGATGACTGCTCAGAAAAAGTCATCATTTAAATTGAAACCTGGAAGAAGGGCACCATCATCACAGCTGGCAACTCCCAGCTGCTAACTGCCTCCCACAACAAGGCGCTGGCCAGGCATTTGACAGGTCCTATCTCACTCCGTCCTCACAGACCACAGACAAGTTGGGCCCAAGCATGTGTGTGGCAGGGCCAGACCTTGTCCACGGCAGCCTGACTCCTGGGACAGCCTCTGGTTTGCGGGAGAAGCAGGAGGAGCGCGGGCCTGGGTGGGAGGGAGGAGGTCTTCAGTCAGTGGGAGCGGTGGCCAGTGGAGAGGGGCTGGGACCAGGCTGCAGAGCAGGCAGGGTAGCCTCCTGGGCCACCGGCCGTGGGGATCCTGGCTTGAGGCTGCCGTGGTCAGTTGTGTCATTGGAGGGCTATGGGCAGAGCACAGCAGAGTTGGGTGGCTGTTTTAAAAAGCCCACAGTGGCTGCGTGTTGAGCTGATGAAAGGGTGGTCAGTCCAGAGACTGTCACAGGAAGCCAGGAAACAACACTGGGTGGTGGCCCCAGACCAGATCCCAATCTCAGCCCCAGCACTGCAGCCTCTGCCACAGCCCTGTGCAGACCTGGGTCCAGGGAAACCCTCAGGACCCCTGACCTGGGCGGGATTCTCAGCTCAGGAAGCGTCCCTCCAGATTCTCTCGTTCAGCCAGCGGCCCCTGGTGGCCCCAGGTCGCATTACACAGTCCCAGAGATGAGAGCTGAGCTTCAAGGATTTGGAGGCCCGGCCTCCGAGAGCCCAGCGTTCTAGCAGCCCCGAAGGCCGTGGCTGAGTAAGAATACTCCATCCCAAAACCTCTCTGACTGCTCCTGGGCTTTGGAGCCAAGGGGCCACAGCCCGTCCGCCTGGGTAGAGCCCTGGCCTGTTGCTTCGTTTCCTAAAACACTGACCCCGAGTCTCTGATGTGCTGGGAGCTCGCCATGTCACCCCTGCTTGGCGACAAGACCCATCCTCCTGCCCGCCACCGGCACTGCATGGGTGCCCACAGCCCCGTCCCAGGCCTGCCAGCAGCTCCTCGTCCCCTGTCACCCACCATGTGTGCTGTTTCCCTCCATGGTCCACACCCCAGTTCACTGTGCTTCCTGGGGTGAGCCCCATCTCTGTGTCTCTGCCACTGTCCGTAGTGCCTGGAACGTGGAAGGCAAGTAGGAATCCTTACCAGGACCACGAATAGAAGTGGCTCTGTGGGCTCAGGCTGGCTGTTGGGTCACCGGTCCCTCCTCGCCAGCTCAAGGAGCCCGACGAAGACATCTTTGAATTATCCTCCTTCCAGGGAGGGCGTCATTGCCCGCTCTGTTTCGACGGCCAGTGCTCAGCACACCCTTCCCATCTGATGGCCGAGGTGTCGGGATAGAAAAACATCCCCGTTTCAGTCCCTTTTCTTTTTGCTTCTGTGAAACTGAACTTCAGAGACTTCCATTTTGCCTTTGAAATGATGTCACAGAATTCCTCCTCTCGTTCTTCTTACGCCAGCACTGCCGGGAGGTTCTATACATTCATTTTTTACATGATAGATGCAGAGCAGGCTACGTGGCTTGCCAAGCAACTCTGACTGGCAAAAGTGCAAACCCCCAGGACAAACAACCCCTTCCAGTGAGTAAAGAGGCTGTCCCCGGAGTACAGGCCTCACCTGCGGCTTCTCTTCCCTGCCCCTCAGGCCGTTCCTCAACTACCAGAGGATGTACTACGTGTTTATCCAGATGCTGTCCAGCGGGCCCGCCTGGCTGGCCATCGTGCTGCTGGTGACCGTCAGCCTCCTTCCCGACGTCCTCAAGAAAGTCCTGTGCCGGCAGCTGTGGCCGACGGCAACAGAGAGAGTCCAGGTATGGAGCATCCCCAACCGGGACGGGGGAGCCTCAGCGCCCCGGCCCCAGGACTGGGAGATGACCATTTCGACAGCATGAAAGGTTTGGGTTCCATGAAAATATGATCAATCCAAGCATCACTAATGAGATTCCCAGTGACGCGTGATGTTAAACATCAGGGAGATTTGACGACTGATGTTTGTTTCAACCTAGACAGTCATCTGAAACAAGACACAAATAAGAGAAAAAGATTCATACGGAAGGCAAATTATTTTATGTAAATGCAGGACGCTTTAAAATTAATCATTACTTTAAAAGGCTGAATTATATAATTTTTAAGGATGGTAAATTTGGCTGGAAATGGAAGCATTTATATCAGGAGATGCTGGTATTGGTAGAGCTGCTTATTTTCCACACTCCCATGTTTTAGCCACCAGCAGAATTCTGGGTCCAAGGAAGACGTGACAATGCCGAGTGCCCCCCGCCTAGGTTCAGCGTTCGACAGGTGTAAGGACTTGGCCCCCAGCCCCCCCATCCTTTGCAGCAGCTGGGCTCTGGCTTCAAGCTCAGGCCTGGAGTCAGGGGACAGCACAACCCTAAATCAGGGGCAGTGACTGTGCCTTCTGCTGCTGTCCCAAGAAGCCTGCCTGCCCTCGGAGGGCCACTGCACCTGTCACAGGACTCTGTTAACAATGCAGGTTTCAAGTTGCATTACCCCCAATTTTTTTTTTTTTGGAGACAGAGTCTCACTCTTTTGCCAGGCGCCAGTCTGGTGTACAGTGGTGTGATCTTGGCTCCCTGCAACCTCCGCCTTCCAGCTTCAAGCAGTTCTCCTGCCCCAGCCTCCTGAGTAGCTGGGACTACAGGCTTGCGCCACCACACCCAGCTAGTTTTTGTATTTTAGTTGAGACAGGGTTTCACTGTGTTGGCCAGGATGGTCTCGATCTCTTGACCTTGTGATCTGCCTGCCTCAGCTTCCCAAAGTGCTAGGATTACAGGTGTGAGCCACCGCACCTGGCCCATTCCCCAAAATTTCTAATTGCCCTGTGAGGTGGGGCCCTGGACTGGGCAGGGCAGAAGCCCTGTGGGGAAACGAAGGGTGGGGAGGCCCTGGCAGTGGCCACTCCTGCAGGGTGTGAGGCTGCCCAGGACGGACACAACAGCGCAGATGGTAGGAAGACAGGGAGCAAGGACGTTCTAGGGCCCCAGCCCTGACTCATTTCTGCAGCTCAGACACCCGGGGCCTGGCTCCCAGCTGGGAGGGAAGACAGGTCGCCCTCCTCGGGGGCACAGCCCCACCCACCCCCCCTCCAGCAGTCAGAATGGGATCCTGGCTTGAAAGCTTTCTTGGGACGTTGGTGCTGATTTAAAATGTTGAAACTGACACCGCCAGTTCCTGGCACTCCCTCCTTCATGCCTCCTGCCACAGTTTGTAAAATCAGAGCGAGGAAACCCCCTCTCAGCATATTGAAGATGTCCACACACAGCTCCACTGCCTCGGGGACCACAGGCAGGAGAAATGCAACAGGGTGCACATGTCAGCTGCCTCTAAGACAGTCCCACCGAGGGGTCTCGATGCAGGGAGGGGAGCCCTGCCTGTGACCAGCCAGTGGGGCAGGAGCCGGGGCCCAGGCTGAGACTCCATGGCCCCCAGTGCTTCAGGGAAACTTGCTGGTGCCAGGCAGCCACTGCCCAGCCCTGCAATGGCCTGAGAAGCAGCGGTCCAATGGCGCTTTTCTCGAAGCATGGTCCTTGGCTCCTGAGCCCTTCAGACGTGCGGTTCTACAGTGGGCACACATGTTATGACAGGGCTCTGCGCACGGGACACACGTCATAACCACATCCCATACATGGGGATGTGGCAGACAGGTAGGTCACGAGGACACCGTGCACAGAGGAGGCAGCAGGGCTGGTGTCTGACACCAAGAGCGAGCAGATATGGCTTGGGGGTGTCCGCTGGGCCCCCAGCTGTGGCCATAGCAGTGTGGCTTGGGATTTATGAGAGTCTCAGCCCTACCTGGCCCCAGAGCGCTCATGGATGCAGTGGCTCTTGGTCAGAGACACCCGAGCACACAGACGGTGAACTCGGGGGGTTAGGAGGGCCCCTCCCCTAGGACTCTGGGCTCTTCGTAACAGTGTGCGTGCAGCCTCCACAGTTGGGGCTGCTGAGAGTCATGCCCCAGACGCATCTGACCACAGGCCTTCTGCTCTGCGGCCCATCCCCAGGGTGGGCGGGCCCCAGGGGCACTGTGGGAATGCCAGTCGGGACCCTCCCCGTCCCTCCCTTTGTTTAGAAGCCCCTGTTCTGCTGTGGGTCTCGGCATCCCACAAGGGCCCTGCAGGAGACATAAAGCCGGGGGTGGAGGGCTGGCAGGTCACGGCGGGGGCACCGGTGTCTGTCCAGAGTGGCCAGGTGAACGTGCATGTGGGGGTGAGCCTCTGACTAACTTCGCTCTGTCTCTTGTTTCTCTTTCCTTCCTGTTTTCTTCCGTCTTCTGACCGCTTTGCCTAAACTCCCACACCTTGTTCACATGCCCCTGTGTGTGGCCACTGATCTCGGGACTCAGACTAAGAGCCAGTGCCTTTCTGTCGAGCAGTCAACCATCTTTATGCTTTCTCAGACTTCCAGCAGCCTGAGTTTCTGACGGAACAAGGTGATACTCCCCTGCCTTCCGCGCGCTTGGGATGGTAGACCTGGGGCAGCAGGGCTGCACCCATCCCCAGAGCCCCAAGTCCACATGCTGTAGTGCAGTGTCCACTAGCTGCCAGGCACAGCAGCCCCACATCGGGAAGCCCACCACCACTTCACCTGCAGACTGATGGTGGGCTATGTTTTCCATCAGTCACACGTAACCAGGGTTTCTCCCTCTGTCCGTCCACAAAGCCCGAGACCCCACCTGTGAAGGCTCAGACACAGCTGTCAGTGAGAGCCAGCCATATGACCCCTCACACAGGTGTCAGAGGGGTCCCTAGGCAGGAAGGTGTGGTCACACAGGCCCTGAGCTCAGCACAGCCTTCCCTCCACAGCCTGCAGAGCAGGGACCACCAGGCCTCCTCCCTCACGCACCCACTTCCGTGCCCATTCTGCAGCTGGAAACACTGAGGGCAGCTAGGATCACATGGTGCGCTCACCCGTGCATACTTCAGAAAAGGGGGGCCAAGCTGAGTCACGCAGCTGGAGATAGGGACAGAAGTGTTTGGTGTCAAATGTTTGACCAAATTCCCTTTTTACGTTTCTTTAAATGAAGACTTCATTGTTTTTTTAAAAAGCCTTTTATTACTAATTTGCCTTAAAAATGGCTACCCTGGCCCTTCTGGGCAACGTAGAGGTGTTCACACGCCACTTTCCTGTGGTGGCGTCCGTGGCCAGAGCTCTCGTCAGGGTGCAGGCTGCAGGGGCCACGCGTTGTCAAGTCGCCTGCTGTCTTCCAGCCGTGTGCTCCTGCACCGTGTGCTTGGGCACTGTGAGAACACCAGTGGGGACCCTCCCTGTCCCACCCTGTGTTCACACACACCTCAGAATCAGTGATGCTTTGGAAATGCAAACCTGGTGTTACTGTTTTACCAAATGCAACTTAGAAAATGCCCAGAGCAGGAAAGGGCTTTTTCCTTAAATAAGACCGTCTTCTATATATTTTAAACACTGTTTTTAACTGGCGGCATGGTCCTTTTTAAGTCCAAGTGATTAATAGGAATCAAAACTTTTCTAATTTAGTGTCATCAGAATTTGTTAGATTAAATTACAGAATTTCACCGTTTTCATACTTGAAAGCATTTAGCAGGAAGTTACTAGGAGCACTTTAATAAGTCATAGGAGGTCCTTAAGAAACTGAGTAAATCACACCAACTCTGGAATAGAAGTAAACATTGTTACTATCGCTGAAGTTCACTGGGAGCTGATTTGCTTCTGAGCACGTGCAGAAGCTGAGCCCGGCTGCTTAGAGTCCGCAGCTGGCCGGGAGGTTGACCTGGCCCCTGTGAGGCCCCAGCATGACCCCTGCAGGCAGGGCTGGCACGCACCTGAACAGAGTGCCCAGCACACACAGGACAGGCTGTGGTGCTGGGACCACCCGCGTTCTGCAAAACTTTGGAGGAATAGACGTGTCAGCAGTCTTCACGCGGGCCTTCGGAAGGATGGCTTCCTTTTAACCTGTTCCTACGGAAAAGAGAAACCTCGCGGGCATCAGCTATGTGCGTTATATATGTGCAGCTCACATATATAAGTCCGCACTGGCGTCCCTCTCTGCGTCTGTCTGCATGCCGTTCACCTCTCCGTCACTGTCCCTGGGAAGGCTGACGGCCTCATCCTTCGTTTCCTGCTTGACATTTCCCACTCGGACCCGCAGCTCCAGGCTCTCGGTTCTTCAGCTCCTGCGCTTCCCTTACTCTTTGAATAGACTAAGCCTTGGCTGCAAGATCTCAGGGGAGCTCTGTGAGCACGTTGGCCTCAGGACACTCGGCCACAGGGCCCTGGCAGAGCGGCTCCTGGGGCTGGCTGGCTGCCGTGGAAGTGGGCGTGTGGCCAGATGTGTGGCTTCAGGATTCCAGAGGTGCCCGTGGACCTTCCACCTGAGGGACTCAGACCCTCTGCCTCCCACAGGTGCTGTGACCTGTCTCTGAGCCAGAGGCTGCCTCAGTTCTGGGCTTGGGCTCCGCATGGGAGCGGCCCTGCTGGGACAGCGTCTGTTTTCCCGGAGAGGCCCGAAGCCCTTGCCCTGGCAGCAGCTCCATGATGCCCCATGCAGACTTTAACAGGGGCTCAGAGCCTCTTCCTGCTGGGGCCCACAGATGGTGCAGGCAGAGGCTGGGGTGCTCCTGGTGCCCATGGGTGCCAGCTCAGCAGCTCCACGTGGCCCGTGTTGGGTGTCACCACTCCATGTCTTTCCTCGCCTTGCAGAGGGGCGTGAAGCACAAGGCTCCGGTCCAGGCCGCACAGAGCAACGACAGGCCCCTCCTGAAGGACCTCCTACAGCGGCCAAGGCGCAGTTAGCTCCATGCTAGGTAACGTGCGGCTGCTGGGTGCCGCCGGTGTGTTGTGCCTCAGACCTGTGTTCTTCCAAAGTTTTGTTGTGCTGTGCTGTATTTGATAACAAAGTTCACAGTGGAAAAGAGCAGCCCTCTTTACACACACATGCGTTTGCTGTCCCAGGTAAGTCGCCCGCCTGAGGGCAAGCTGACTACACATGGAACATTCTGTGCACACACACGCACCCCAGGTGCACGCCACGCAGCCTGAGCAGGCCCAGCAACGTCAGATACTGGCTTACCATCCTGGTCTTTCAGGAGAACCAGCTTCACTTAAAAGGCCTCACAGGAAGGAGCCTGCTTTGAAATCACGTGGATATTGCATGATTCGTGTGGAACCCGGACCCAGGCAGGCCAGCCAGAGCACGTAGCTTGTCATCTGTCTGACAGCCATGGAGGCCGTGAAGACAACTGCTCCTGCTGGCGTTTCCACTGTGGCACCCTGGTCTGAAAGTGGGCGGACCTAGGGATGGCCCCCCAACAGATGGTGCATGCTGCCGGCCTCCTGCTGCTCCCCACACCAGTCAGAGCTGCAGGGCCCGTGCACATCCGGGGCCCCGATGGGCTGTCAGTAAGAAGTCATGCAGGCCCCGTCCGCGTGCTGACACCCAGGGCAGCAAGCTGAGGGGACACAAGCCACACACACCCAGCACATCAACCTGGTCCCTGTAGGGTGGGGCCTCCCCTCTCTGGGGCAGTGAGTGAACTGTTATGTCCGAGGGTCTCTGGGTACGGGAGGGCATTTGACCTCTCACTGCACAGGACACCAGCAACAGGGAGGAGGCCTGTAGGTTTCCTGTCCATGGCCTGTATCCCTGGAGCCCCTGGGTTCTTCCATGGGATGGTGGGACAGGAGGACGGTACTCTGTTAGTACCAAAAGGGAGAGGTGCTCGTTCCTACGCAGAGACCCCTTGCCTCTGTGTGGCTTCTCTGGGGTTGGGGGGTGGGGTGGATCTCTCAGAATGAGGCCATGTCCTCAGTTGAGTCTGGCAGTTCCTGCAGGAGGTGACGGTCGTGAGTGCATCCCAGAGTGACTTAGCCCCATGGGGATCCCCGAGACTGACTGTGTGTCTCTCATTCTCTCAGCAGAATGGGTGCGCACAGCCTTGGGACCGAGACTCAGAATTCACCCCTCTTGCCTCTCTGCAGAGCCCAGGCTACCAGAGCACCTGTCCCTCGGCCACCTGGAGCAGGTCCAGGCCTCAGCAGGTGACACTCGCAGTCTGGAAGGGGAAGGTGTCCGCGGAGCCCCCACCTGCCCCTGGCTGTTCCCATCATTCCTGCAGTTCCAGCTCAATGCCCGGCTGCCCTGGGTCCCTTGTGGGAATGCTCGTGTGATGGGCGACCCCCAAGCCTGTGGAGACTGTGCTTGTGCCTATTCCTGGCCCCCAGCAGGCAAGGAGGGGCCACAGGCCTTACCTCGAGCGTGGCCATTGGCCATCTGGACTAGCGCTGCGGTGGTTCAGCCATGGTGGTGGCCTCTGGGCCTTCAGCTCAACTCAGAAGGGACATTCTGCCGGCCCACCCTGTGCACCATGCAGAAGAGGCCGTTCCCCCAGGCCTGTGTCTTCACCCACCTGCCATCATCAGTCTTTGCTGTCACTGGGAGAGAAGAGCCATCCAGGGACCCGTGGTGGCCCACGTGTGGACGCTGCCCACTGCTGTGTCCTGCTTGCCTGGCCGCCGCCCATGCCCTCCGTAGGGTGAGGTGAAGCTGTGGCAGTGTGCCCTTTACTCAAGAACCCTCAATCCTCATGCTGTGGGAAGGGCCAGGTCACTCGGATACTGTCATCCCCACCGACGCAAGGCTGTGCCCTGCTCATGTGGGGGCGTTTCCCCGCAGGTAAAGCTGAGCCCGCCTGCCCTGTGTGTCAGGCTGGCTGAGTTGCGGTCTCTTCCCATCACTGGCAGCCTCCTGGAGAAAGCAGTGCCACGTGGGAGGACAGGGCCATGCCAGCAGCTCCCGGCCCTGCAGCAGAAGTGCCAGGATGTCCGTCAGCCACTCGCCTGAGCACAGAGCCATCAGCCCACCCCCACCACTTTTATGGGAGAATGTTGATCTCGTGTGTGTGAGGGCCAGGGGGACAGATACTTGGCTGTGATGGGCAGACATCCTCTGTCCCCGTGGAGGGGTGACCTCCAAGGTGGCGGTCATGCCCCAGAGCCTGTCTCGGGCTGATTGGGGTGGCCCACAGGAAGGGGGTCAATTCCAACAGGCAGCACTGCGCCCCCACCCGCCAGGCTCTGCCTCGCCGCATCCCCTTGTCCCCGTGTCCCCACATCCCAACGCAGGGCTCTCCTTCCTCTTAGGATTCTGTTCAGCGACAGCTGCTGTGATAGGAAGTCCCTGTTGCTCTCTATACCGGCATTTCTATTTCTACAAACCTTTACGTAGCCTTAATGGTCCTTAAAGAAGACATTTCAGTGTGAAATTCAGACTTCAGACGCTGAAACTGCTGCCTTTTGGGAAAGCATCATCGGATGTGCAGGTGCCGTCCTCACGCCCGCCCGCACACACCGCACCGGGAAACAGGGCCGTGGCAGGGGAAGCCCAGGGCGGTTCCGAGGTGCTTGACAGTAGGTGTTTTTGGAAGCTCAAATTTCACCATTTGATTGTATAATCTTTTACCTAGAAAATATTTATTTGAACTAGAGGATAAATCAACTGTAAGAACAGTGAACACAGTGGCTGGGATGAACTAAGGTGACAAACACCACACCAAAGATTAGGGTAGGGAGCAGCTGGCTTGAGCAGACAGAATGCAGAGGACTCCACGCTGTCCCGCGGGGCCGTCCCGCCCCGAGGTCCCTGTGCGGCCGCCCTGGCTTGGCAGTCCTGCCCATGCCACCCCGCGAACAACGGTGTGTGCATTTTTACAGCCCTTTTTAAGAACCCAATGTGGGTGTAAATGTAATACCTGTAGGGAGACAGGCTCTCTGTATGCTCAGTTAACAAATTATTTGTAATGTATTTTTTAGAAATCTTAAAATTGCCTTTGCACTGAAGTATTTTCATAGCTGTTTATATCTCTTCGTTTATTTAACATACAGTCTAATTTTAAAACTATGTTTTTAAAGCTTTCCTTTTTAAGTTTATGAAGTTTTGGCCACTTTACATTTAGATTCTGGGGAGAGTATTGACTGAACGTTCCAGTCTCTGATGAATGTGAATTTCAGGTTTGATTTTATCCTACACACAACTTCCTTTCTTGGTATTTCTGGTGCCGGCGATTAGTTGAACAGCATATTTAAGGTACGATAATTTGCTACGCTTCTTCTTTACAATTCATTGCAGTTTCATCTGCTTTCTATGTGTTGTTAATTTCCATCCTTCAGCCTTAAAAACAGAAGATTCTCACGTGAAGGGTTAGTAAGCTGGGGCCCAGTCTGCTTGTGTCGAGATAGTCACCACGTACCTCTGACAACAAGTCTTAGTGTGACAGTCACTCAATCTTACACACTCCCAAACATGTTTTTAAAAGTTGCTTGGGAAATTATTAAATGAATGTGCCTGATAATTTGAAATAGACAAGCGGCACGAGACAAAAAATAAAAGGATGGGAAGACCCTCAGTGACTGACGTTGCAGCTGTGACTCCACAGTTTTCCACCTCACACTAGTTAGAATTTACTTGCCTTTAACTTTGAAGCAAGTAATGTCAACTTGAAGCACTTTGTTTTTAAAAATCTTATTCGCTGCTGCACATGTTAATAAATTACCAACTTGTAACTCAGCATGTTGGTCAGATACACGGTTGCTGCTCCACACCCAGTCCCTGCCACAGACCGTCTGTCTCATACACTCACAGGCTGCACATGAGTTCCCTGCACTTTGGCTCTACTTCGCTCACAGCCATGTACACATGGAGGCTTGCACACAGGAACACATGCATACATATGCACATGGACACAGGCATGCAAGCTCCAACAGGCATGCATGCACACAAATGTGTGTGAGCTCCTACACATACACGCACACACATACGGACACCACAAAAGCATGTGTGACCTACACACATAGGAAATCCATGCATAGATGTACACATACCACAGGCACATGAAAGCTCCTACACACACAATGCATGCATGCACACACACCACAAACCTATACACACAATGCATGCATGCACACACATGACAAACCTACACACACAATGCATGCATGCACACACACCACAAACCTATACACACAATGCATGCATGCACACACATGACAAACCTACACACACAATGCATGCATGCACACACACCACAAACCTATACACACAATGCATGCATGCACACACATGACAAACCTACACACACAATGCATGCATGCACACACACCACAAACCTACACACACAATGCATGCCTGCACACACACCACGTTCCTACACATGGACACGTGAGTACACACATGCATGTACATTAAGCACGTATGTACAAGCTCCTACAGGCTGCTCTCACATGCCTACGCACACCAGAAATACGTATGAACTTTTATACCTGTACACATGCATACATACACATGTATTCACTACAAACACGTGTGCAAGTTCTCACACACAAACGTGTACACACACCGCAGACATGAGTTCCAAGACATGTAAACACACATGCACACGTGAGCTCCTACACATGTACATGCACATGCACACACCCCCAGACGTGCAGGCTCCTGCACTCATGAACACATGCATGTATACACATGTATACGTACATAAACACGTGTGCACACATGAATGCATACACATATGTGCCACAAACACATGCACCCTTGCCTGGTGTCCCACACTGCATTCTTCTTCCTTCCTGAGGGCCCTGTGAGGGGCCTCTGGCCAGGCATGAGAAGATGGGGCTCCCTGGACCCTACCCCATGCCTCTGTGTGATGAAGAGTCCTCCTGATAGAATGTCTGGGTTTTGCAGAGCAGGCCCTGGGGGGTGAAGCCACAGCTTCACTTACACAGCTGCTCTGTGACCAACACTTGGTGCCCTGGACAAGGCCCTTTCCCCTTCAGGGAGGTCCAGCCCCACAAGATGAAATGTCCCCTTGGCTCAGCCCTAAACCAGGCGGCCACAGTAGGACTGGCTGCACCAACGCCACACCTCATCCCTGACATGTCAGGGAGCAGCTTTCTGCCACAAGCCAGCTGGGCAGGGCCACAGCCTCTTCAAGCCCCAATCAACCCAGCTTGTGTCTGAGCAGACGTGGTAAACAAGCAGGCCACACAACCTTGAGGGAGGAGGCCAGAAACGGCCAGCCTCTCCCACACGGTGACCATTCGGCTTGCCGAGCGTTTAAACACGTTTAGACATGCTGTTGTGACCCCACTGAGTTGAGCCTCGGCCCAGGGTCCAGTGCCCAAGCAGGAAACCCCCAGCCTCCTCCTTCAGACCACTCTGTTCATGTGTTTTGCACTGACTCGTGTTGAATAATGCAAACCACTTTTATTTAATCTTACTGTTATTTATCTGACAACTCAGCGTCTGACAGCTTGATGTGCAGGTCCTTGCATCCTACATTTCTTTAGGAAGTTACCCATTTGTAACTTTAAAAACAGGAAATATATCAGTTGGCAAATGTGATCTTTTTTATTTTTAGCTAAAGGTGGGTGAACGTGAACGAAACGGTTCTCATGTTGTGTCTATAAGCAGCTTTGATGGGACGTGTTAGAAGTGTCATGAAAGTATGATTCTACTTTTGCAGAAAACAAATCTAAATATCAATTTATATAGCTTTATTTTTTACCTTATCAAAGTATACGGAATTTTAATATGCATATATTGTGTCTGACTTAAAATTAAAATGTCTGCGTTACCATTTAAAATGTCTATTCATTATGTAATGTAATAAAAGAAGGTCTTCAAAAATGTATTTAACATGAATGGTATCCATAGTCGTCATCATCATAAATACTGGAGTTTATTTTTAAATTATTGAACATAGTAGGTGCATTTAACACAGTAACATTTAACTGTTAATTCATTAATCTGCTTTGAAAAATTAAGTTGTGAATGAAACCAAATATAGCATTTCTGTAAAGCTTATTTTGTATGCTCCTGGTTTTAACTTTTATTTCTGTAGATGAACTGACTTGATAATACTATGTTGGACTTTTCTCTAGACTATCTAAGCAGGAGACCTGAATCTGCTTGCAATAAAGAATAAAAATCTGCTTCAGTTTCTTCATAAATGAATTCACACAAGTGGCCTGTACATTTTCTGCCAGTAGAAACAGTGTAGTAAGAACACTTTCTCAGCGTGCTTCTGTGTGGGACGGAGGTGAAGAGCCCAGTGTGAGTGCTGCGGGCCCTCCCTGGCTGTTCCCTGCAGAGACCCCAGGTGTCCTGGGTGCTGACCGCCCTGGACGCCAGGGCCTGCACAGAAAGGGAAACTCAGGACTGGGTTTCCCAACCCTTCTAGTTCACCCCACTATTAGCTCCTCCCTGACTGATCTCTGCTAAGCCCCTTCCTTCCACCTCGTTCCTGGGGTCTAGGCACCCCCTTTCTATCCCACTTCTCCCTTCCTCTTGACCAAACCCCAGGCTCCTCCAGGCCCTTCAGCCTCCTGGACTCTGTCAGCCGAACCCAGCTTTGCCCACTCTGAAGTGGGGGACAATTCCCTGCCCCCTGCCCCTCCCAACATTGGCAGAATTCTGGGTGTTCTGCCACAGATCCCCCATAATGCCCCTTGGCCTCTGAGGCCGTGGTCTTGTCCCAACCCTGACCTCGCCCTCTCTCAATCCGGCCCTGCCCATGTCATACTCTCAGTCTTATGCCTTGTCTGGAAACCAACTTCAAAACGCCACCAGCTTCCAGGTCCTGAGATCCCTGCTCCATTGGGGCGCCCGGAGGGGCCTTCGTGTGAATCCTGGACTGTCCCTGCTGGCCGGTGCCTGCCTAAGTCCCGCCTGGCCACACCTCCTCTCCCTGCCCAGTCACCGGCTTCCCACGGAGTCTCAGCTCAGGGCCACCTGGGAAACACCTCCAGGAGGGGTAAGCAGGCTGCCTCGAAGCCTGGAATTCTATCCATGGGGGTTTTCCAGGCTCCTGAACACCACACAGGCAGGGGCTGCTTTTCCCGCGCAGCACACAGGCAGGGCTGGGAAGCACCTGCAGGTAAATGACCTGCAGCCTCCCTGGATTTTCTCTGAGATGCTTTCCTCTCCTCTTGGATTCTCAGCATCTTAATGTGGGCTCACCTTCACCTTTCCAGCTCCTCACCCTGAAGCCATCTTTCCTACAACCGTCTCTCCCTCTTGTAGCAGGAAAACAGATACTGCTGTGATTTTGCGGGGTGTGGGGACGAGGGGAGGGGCAGAGCAGGCTGGTCACAGGGGTGGCACTGGGGCCGGAAGGCCTAGCCCTGTTGAGTGACCCAAACTCGCTCCACCTCCCTTTGCTCTCCAGACAGAAGACACCAATCCAGAAAGCGAGATGCCCAGTGACCCTGCCCACTGTCTGGGGAGGAGGAGGCCTGGTCCTCCCAGCCTGCCAGAGCTTCCTGGGGAAGCCCGAGGGGAATGCAAGCTTGCCCTCCTTGCTGGCCCATCTGTCCTGTGCCACAGATCTTATTAACTGCAGATGCTAAGTCACTGGGGACCTTAGCAAATGTCATCAACCTCACAGGCCACCTGAGACCCCACAGCATTGGTGCTGCATGTGGACCTGAACGGGAGCATCTGTGTGCCTGGAGCAGTGAGAATGGAGGGAGGCGTGGGCCCAGGCGGGATCTGAGCTTCGGTGTGTTGAGGGGGGGCTCCTCCCGAGGCTGCTGGAGCCCTGAGGCAGAGCCGGATGGGCCTGTGCAGGAGCCAAGACCTCCGTGCCTTCGTTCTGGAGGCAGGCGTGAGGTAGGGGCAGTACCGCTGTCCTGTCTAGGCAGGGTTTGTGCAGATTTGGGGCTGGAGGAGGCCAGGGCAGCCCTGTCCTGCACCCTCCAGCTGCCCAGAACCCCAGAGGGACCAGGCCTGATTCTGCCCGCCGTGTGTCTGACACAGAAAGGCAGATTCCGAGACAAACCAGGGCAGCCGCAGGTTTACAAGGGGGCCTTGCGGTCTTTTCTAAGTGGGAGGACACGGCCGCCCCTTCCTTGGCTGTGTAAGGCGACCACAAAGGTGTTTCCCACCTAAGATACGGCCACTCTTCTTTCCCATGCAGACATCTTCGTGAGAGGGATGCTTCCACACAGTGTTTCATCTCCAGTGGTAAAGTTTCAAACACTAAGTGGAGAAACTGGGACCATTTGGAAGCAGATGAACCTTCCTAAACTGCTTATGGGACACAGTGACCACAAGGAGATGCCCTGGAAGGATTCCAGCCTTTGGGGTCCCGGGCACAGGTGCCACAGCTTCCCAGGTGCCTGCTCCTGAGCTTGCTGTAAGTGCCACACGGCTCTCATGGAATCCACAGCGGCAGCCGTACGCCCTGCTTCGTGTGCAGAGCCCAGACACACGTGCAGAGTCTGCAGGTGTGCTATACACAGCGTCCACCCAGCCTTCCCCACAGCCTCACCTCCTGTGGGATCCCCTCATTGGTAGGTAGTGGCACCCTGGCAGAAGTTCTCCCTGAGGTCTCTGCTCCTGCTGCCCTCGCAGGGAAACCCATTTGTGTCAGTGATCTGCCGGTGCCCCATTGGGCTTCTGTGGCTGTGGATGATGTCCTGGTGCCCCACTGGGCTTCCACAGCGGTGGGTGATCTCCCGGTGCCCCACTGGGCTTCCGCGGCTGTGGTGATGTCCCGGTGCCCCACTGGGCTTCCGCGGCTGTGGGTGATGTCCCGGTGCCCCACTGGGCTTCCGCGGCTGTGGGTGATGTCCCGGTGCCCCACTGGGCTTCCGCGGCTGTGGGTGATGTCCCGGTGCCCCACTGGGCTTCCGCGGCTGTGGGTGATGTCCCGGTGCCCCACTGGGCTTCCGCGGCTGTGGGTGATCTCCCGGTGCCCCACTAGGCTTCTGCGACTGTGAAAGCTGGTGCAGCACAAAGGGCTTGCCAGCCCTAACACGCCGGGCACCAAGGGCAGCCTGTGATGTGCTGCTCTGGGCCTTTGTCTTGGCTGAATTAATTTCCTCTTGAGTTGCTTCCACTTGAGAATTCACCCTCGCCTTTTCTGAAGACGCACAGATCTTGGGGTTTTGTCCTCTGTATTTTTGCTGCATTGGTTTACTGCGTGCCAAGGTGGAAAGCTTTCATGGGGAGAAGACGTTCTGGCTTCTTGTCTGTCCGTCAGTCCCCGAGGGCTGCGGGCCAGCCCCATTTCAGGGTATCAGGTGGAAATCCTTGCTTCCTGGCAAAGTATGTTCCAGCATGGTGCCCGCTGCCCATGAGCCTGTGGGTTTGAGCCTGCACCCTGCACAAATGTGTGAAGCCGGGTCGTGGCTGGCTAGGGTCACTGCCTGTGCTGTCAGCTTGCACCTCCTGCAGGAGATCCTCAGGGTGGGTTCCCATGAGCAGCCTCCTTTTGGACTTTTACTGCTCAATTAAATGATAGTTAACTCAGCCTGCCGGGCAGTCTGGCAGAATGTGTGATGTTATCAGAGGTCCTTGATGCCAGCATGAGAAATGGACCAACTAAGCAACCAAACCAGGTAAGAAACGCCCTGTGGGCCCACTGTGGCCTTTTTAACTGTGGCACCTTTGAGAAGGAAAGCCTGCTGCAGTCCGACTCGGCGAATGCATCGCTAGTGACAAGGCCTTCCTGTCCCTGCAGCTAATTATGTGAAAAACGTTACTGGGTTGAGGGAGTTCCCTTGGGTTTAATTTCCTGTCCTTCTCAAATCAACCCTCCTCCTTCCCGGAGCCTGGCCTCCCCTTTCCCGCCCCTGGTGGCAGGTTCTGCCCTTCCAGGACCCCTCTCTTGCCCCTGCACAGGAGCCCAGCCTCCCCTTTCCTGCCCCTGCTGGCAGGTTCTGCCCTTCCTGGACCCCTCTCCTGCCTCTGCACAGGTCTCTGCCGGGCTTCTCCACGCTGGGAGGGTCTCCCCAGTGGAGCCACTCCCTGCGGGTCCAGTGGGGACCAAGGTCTCAGCACAGTCACTGCTGCTGCTGCTGCTCCAGGGAGCAGGGGTCCAGTCCCTGAACATGTGGGCTTCCCTCAGGAGAAATTCTGCAGCCAGGCATGGTCCACGAACCCTCCTCCTGGACTCCGCCTGTCTGCAGCACACACCTGTCACCTGTCAGCGTTCTCACCTCACTGGGCCCGGAGTGGGGGGCTGCACTGTCCGATGCCTGCCTTGTTCATGGTTATCTCCCTCCTGCCAGACCTTTGTTTCCATTTCTTTCAAACAGGCTTCCTCTTTTACCCACTAAATGGAGCCATTTTAAACCCCCAACTGAAAGTGCAGAAGTCTGTATCTGGGTCCACATTTTTCATGCTTTCATCTGGGTCCACATTCTTCCTGCTTTCACCTTTTTCTGCCACTTCACGTCTGTTTGTTTGTTTTTGTTCTCAGTAAACTGTTTCCACTGAACCTCGAAGACACAATAATTGAATGGTGGGGTCTTTAATAGCTTTTTATTTTTTTTGAGACGGAGTTTCTCTGTTGTTACCCAGGCTGGAGTGCAATGGTGCAATCTCGGCTCACTGCAACCTCCGCCTCCTGGGTTCAGGCAATTCTCCTGCCTCAGCCTCCTGAGTAGCTGGGATTACAGGCACGCACCACCATGCCCAGCTAATTTTTTGTATTTTTAGTAGAGACGGTGTTTCACTATGTTGACCAGGATGGTCTTGATCTCTTGATCTCGTGATCCACCCGCCTCGGCCTCCCAAAGTGCTGGGATTATAGGCTTGAGCCACCGCGCCCGGCCTAGTCTTTTATCGCTTTTTTGCAAACAAGTGCTGCACCGTTAGGTACCAGAGGCCTCCCTGGCAGAGGCACAGCGTCCTGTGCTGTGAGCCACAGGCTCCTTACCCACTCCAGTACTGGGGAGGGAGGTGGGTTCTTGTACCTTTTTACCCTAAAAGAGACATGGGAAGCCCTAGCCCTTCTGATATATTTCGGGGCAGCCCTGATTTCCGCTGTTAACCTAGTTAACTGGTCTTCTGCTCTGCAGTACTGCTGGGAGCTCTGTGTGCACTAACCCGTGGACCCGAGGGTGCCCGGGGGCTAAGTACATTCTAGTTCGGCTGCACAGATGAGAACACAAGCCAGAGGGTTTTTGAGTGACTTATCTGATGT